CAGCGCTTTTTTACCGGCTGGTTACAAGGTTTTGAACGGTGGGTATTATTAATTTTCAATTGTCTATCAAAACCGCAAAAGATTTATTAGTATTTACCGTAAAAATTTTACGTTATGAACTTTCAAAGTGAAAAAAGTGCGTAAAATTCAAACTTTTAGTGATAAGCTCGGCAGGAGTTGAGATATGGGGCTCATCTCAGAGGCTACAGTAGCCCTGATCATAAGGATCATTTTGACCCTTCAAAAATGAAAATCCGACGACTAGAACAAAAACGGGAGCTGACAACGTGATTTCCGGTAATCAGCCGGTTAACCGGTAAATCCTTAAAATTTTCAAGAGTGACCTATACCAATCGACTCGTCTCGACGAGCCTGACAAAACTGCACTAGCACTTTTTTCATGATTTCCGGCCGCGCAAAAAGTTTTTTGAAATCATCTCGGAATCAATCAGCTTAGTCCAAATGCATGCCAAAAATGTTTTGACAAATAAACGTGGAGAGACCAACACTCGAAAACGGCATCCTAAAACTAGGAAAGGGAAATATTTTTTTCCTGGAGAAGAATTTTTAGTTGAGCGAAAAGTTTCGATCAAATTTGGATGATCGAAATTCGATTGATTTTGTTTGGAAGGCGCCTGAAAGCTCAAAAATAATGGAAAAAGCACGAATCTCAGAATGGGATTGACCTTGATCTGTTGTTAAATGAACTACTGTTCTCTTTTTCTTTTTGAGAAAAAAGATATGGGAACGTGTGCGACAAGCATCGGGACATTTGCTTTGAGTTTTAAGCTGTTGGAAAAAGGAAATATTTAACTTGTACGCGGTCTGCACGATTAAACGGGCAAGTATTTAGAAGATAACATATTTTTTATAAAATGTTTGAACAGAAAATTCGAAGAAAATCTAATAAAACTTATCTGTATTCAAAAATTGTTAATTTTCATCGTATTCTTTCATCTTCAGAAGGAGCAAGAAGCCAGACAAAGAGGGCAGAAAGTGAACTGATGGAACCGTAATTCTTAGGTAGAGGTTTTTTATCGAGACAGTAATTGTAAGCCTGGCGGGGTCTTTCTACCAAGTAATTCTACTGAGCCTCTAGATAAATTTCCAAAGAATTCTATAAAAGAAAATTTTGCTCCAGTCTAACAGGGCATTTCGTAAATACATTACGAGCTTTGTATTGTCTCTTTGATGGTACGTACTGCTCTATTTTGACCAAAATAAACCAAAAAAAATCGTTGAACAAATTTACCAGTAACAACAGGAAAAGTTTTACAACTAAACCAATCTGCGGCTTATCGATTTGTTTCCGACTGAATATTTCTGGTCTGGCGATAAGCAATTGAACGCAAAAATAATTCACACGGACATGGCATCTAATTTTGGAGTAACTGAAAATAGAAATTCGCCGTTAGGATACTCAAAACTCCATCGAATTCAACTTTTGAGCCTTATCATTTTAGCGGATCTCTTATCGTTATCTTACAAGAGCCTGAAATTATGCCATTCGAGATTTCCTTCGGGAAATTGCCGCCTAGAGAGGAGCCTTCTAGCACTATGTTCGACCAGATCCAAAGTGCTTCGTCAAAAGACTGTAATTCTTCTTTGGGGGGTCTGGTCTGGAATGAGTTGATTCCGCGTTTCAACAAACATCTCCAAGTCGCGCGTATTATTCCGCAAAAAAAGGTTATATTAGTCTTCTCCGAGTTCTGCATCAGCGTAAAAATAATTTCATGTTGGACCGTACGTTGGATTTCCGTGGATCAGAAATTCAATATTCACTCAAAAATATCACCATTTCGCCATTTCAGGTAAAACAGGAATAGAAGTAACGTGAAGGCACCTGTATCTTCGGGGACTGACATGATGCGATTAAGGTGATACTTTGGATGATTTTAGCGTGTATTAAAGAGAGTCTTCCCACGCTCTTTATAAAAATTTTCTCCTCTCGCAGCCGAAAATCGCTTCTTTTGAGAAATCATTCGATTCTAGCACTGACGTGTCCGGTAGAACACTTTTCGTTTCTCTACGACCAAGATAAGGCAAATTCAAGCTCTGTTCTACATTTTTTCTTTTTGGCCTTTTTCAATTAAGCTCGTTAGCAAAGAAGCTCTGCGGTCGAAAGATAGCGATAGTAGGACTACCAGGACAACGAGGTTGGTTTAATTAATATTCTAACACTGATGGAAGTAAAATTGGAGATATTGGCCCGCTACAGGAAGGCAAAAAGGAACAAGAAGGTGATAAGCGAAAATCTATAGCGCGATAAAGTGTACCCGCAAGTACTCCAATTCATCGCGGAAAATGGAAAGTTTATCTGCTCAATTTTGCACATTCGACATTTACCCAGGAAAGAAGCCGAACATTCTTGTTGAAAAATTAATTGAAAAGCCGATCTTTTTGAAGACAAACTAAACGACACAACAAGAAACAGAACCCTTCATTTGTAATTATCTCAAATGAAGTGGGCTCCTAAGAAGACGTCGCGGAATCAAAGAATGAACCGAGTTTTCCCGGTTCGCGCATTTCTACGAGATTCCTCAAAATGTGAACCGAAATCGTTGCGGGCGGATCTGAAAGACGCTTCAATAATATTTTGGAGAAACGGGCTCTATCACGTTTTTCTAGGGAAGATCGAGCCATGGCATTTTATAAATATCCAGCCAAGAATTCAGAACTAACTGCTGCTTCTTTTTATGGAATCATGATTTCCAAACATAAAAACGTGGCAATCATAAGGGACTTGGCAAAGATTTATAAATAAAATTGATAAATCAGGACCCCCGGAAACTTGGGCTCTGCACCTGTTTGAGAAAACCTGAGTCAGGATTCGAAAAAAGATAAAAAGGAATCCTGACTCAGGTTTTCTACAGAAGTTGCAGAGCCCAGCTGCGGACCAAAAAAAGCAGTTCTTGCAAAGTTAATTTGCAAATTATCAAATTTTCATACCAAGCCTAAACATATCTAATACCAGTAGTTTTGATGAAATGTCAAATTTGACCCTTGTTTTGAAGCGTCACTTCTTTTCAAAGTAAAGAAGGTCGGCCGCAAACAAGAACGGCTCAAGAAACCCCGAACGAAAAACAACAAAACTGGAAATGAAAATACAGTAGGAACTCGGAAAAAGCTATTGTGCTCAAAATACATTGTTTTGAGGCGAGCTTAAGGTCGCGTTAGGGTTAACTTTTGGTGGATTAGGGTCAATTCTATCCCCTCGTAAATATCTTTTCTCAAAAGAAACCTTTTCTTTTGGTTACACAATTTGTTTGCTCCCGTAATTCCCTGGATAAAAGCAACGGAGAAGATGAAATTTCGAAATTCTAGCGCCAAAAATTAACGGAAAGAATGCCCCCACCATTGTCTCTCAGTAGAGATTCAAATCCGTTTTGAATAAAAATTCAGAAGGGTCGAAATTTTACTGTTTCTTCTACCTTTTCCTGTTCAAAATCGAAAATTCAAGGAAGCGGCAAATTCATTTCCATCATTCTTTTGCATGAGCCAATTTCCATCTTTGCAATTGTAGACGTTTTCTAATTGCTTGTTTCGGGGTTATATAATTGCTTTAATCGACGTTGTTCTGCGGCCCGCAGTCGCCTTAAGTTTCCGGCAAATTTACGTATGGCCACTAATTCGGGGTAAAGTAGAAATAACGACCGATTATGAGTTGAAAACTTGTCATTTTTAAAGGCCTTGCTTTAGTCTTTCTAAAATTGTTCAACAAAAAAATCGGTCTCGATCAATTCTACTTATTAGTAGTAATAGTTCTTTTAAAACACCTCTGGTTTGGAAACAAAAACAGATAAGATAAAACTAAAGCTGTGAAAGCTATTGCCGTTTTTCCAATTTCATAATATTTTCCAACAAAAACCATACGCCAGTTTGCTTACGATAATAATTATCTCCACTGCTGCTTTCACATTTCTTTAGAAAGACCTATAAAATAGAATCATTCAATTTCTTCTCGAGCCAATTTCCATTCCAAAAACAACTGTTAGCCATTAATTGAAGTGTCACGTGGTCCCTAAAACGCGCTAGTTTTAGAACTTCAAATTCTTTCACCCATTCCTTCTCGCAGATTTTATCAACTTGAGGTGAGTGCTACTTTCTCGCACAAGACGATATAATTTATCTTTGATAAATATAAATAGAATCACTATAATTTAAGGAGACGAAAATTATATCGGCAAATGGGCTGTATCTGCAGCTGTGCTTGTAATTAATCGACCGGTTCTCAAAGATAGCTTCTCAGGCCACGTCCTTTCCCACGAAAATTATCATCAAGAAGGCTGTTCATTAAGAATTTATAAAAATAATAAACAGCCGGGTTTTAAAATCGGTAAAAACGAAGGTCAAAAATGCAAAGAAAACGAATTTGCAGCGTGTTTTGCAACGATGAATCGTCGAAAATTGCAAAAGTGAAACAAAACAGATAATTAATTGCCTTATTTACTCCAAAAGCAAAGCTCGTCTTGTTTCGTCTTCTCTCATCCGCCCGTGATTTTGTTTTCTGACCCCCTACGTGGACTACCATCATAATCTGTAGCAGGGGCTTGACATCAACAATCGCATTTTTTTCAAAGAATCCATTTGCCGACTTTTATTATTTTCGGCCAAAAGTAGGCTTCAAGCTTTATTTTGCTAGCTTTCAATAATTCTATTCCAAAGTCTAAGACACCAAGCGTCAAAGCTTCCGCAGAAAAGACGCTTGAAATTCTTTCTTTGCCAAAAGTTTATTTTCTGTAATAGTTTTTCCAAGATACAGAAGGTTAAACACAAATGGTAAGGGCACACAAACACAAGATAGGGATTATCATAAAACTTCGTAATTACTTATTTTTCTTGAATTTTTTTAACAGCACCCTTGCGAGGAGCATGACAAGCGGCCCGAAGAGTATTTTCACTAGTGGTAGATATTTCGAGTACAGAACAATATTTTGACCGAGATAGAAGAGCGCGAGAAACTTGCACAGGTAAAGAATTGTTGAAATCTTCATTTTATTTTATGATTTTGGGCTGGAGTTGAATAAATGTTCAGTCGTTGCGCTGGAGCTGGAGAAGATTCGATCGCGAGCGTTGGGCTTTACTTCTGTTTTCTTGTTCGCAGCTTGGTCGGTTTCTGCTTTTTTGAATCCCTCGGAAGACCAGCCCTAGAAAATCTTTTATATTTCTGAAAAAATTGCAGTTGGGTTATTTCTTCTTTAGAAAACGAACTTCTTTCTAAACAGAAAGTTCAAAATGACTTTGAACCAAAGACGCGAGTTGCTGTATTTTGTCAACTTGTTTCATGCTTCGGCGTGTCTGAAGAAAAGCGAAAGGCAACTCTCTAGTCGTGAATTATGTTAAACTGAGTTGAGAAAAAGAAATAATCTCTGGTGGCGCATGAAAATGTTGTTCTGTGGTTATTGCTTTTTTATCGTTACGTAGTAAGCGCGACCCGCCGATTACGCCCGCTCACGCAAGAAAAATGTCTTCATCAAAAATAATTGCTTTAGAAAATTGTCAAAAGAATGTTTGAATTAACACCTTCGTAGAAGTTTGCGGAGAATTCTAGAGTGGTTGGATATTTCTTGGTTATTTAACAACCGTAGCTTTTCACCGTTTGAGAGGGCTAAAGCCAAAATTACGATTATACCATTATAACGATTAAATTCAGGTAATTTTAAAATAATTACTAGTATCTTTGCTATTATCAGCGTATTCGCTTGAAACTCATAATAACTACGTATACTCAAGTTCGCACCTGCCGTTTTTTCTTTGAGAAAAAATATTGCTTTCCTGGATCGGAGAACACGGCAGATTCGTGACTTAGTGTCGCGAAAAACATCACCACCTGACGTAAACTGATAATACATGCTAATGAGGACTAGTAACACTGCCAAAAGTTCAATAAAACGAGTAAGAAATAAATATTTCTTTCGAGTAAATGTCAGACTTTTTAGTTTATTGCTGGTATTTGTGGTCAAAATAAGCTTCCGGGAAAATGATGGGCTTTTGTTTTCCTATTTTGTAATCTTTTTTGTTAAGTGCCTCTTTTATTATTAGATCAAATAGACAAGAAAAGTAAAAAAATGTCATTACATCATGTAACCTGCCCAAAAATTTAATGTCAAAATGTTAAAATTACCTTTACTGCGTTTCCGTAAGCTAGCGTTTCCCTCAAATAGCTCCCCTCGAATTCGAAAATCTGCGATTCGAGCTTCTTCAATTGACTTTTAACCGAATCGACTTCGTCCAACAACTCTGCCTGGATTTTTTCAGTGTCGACAATTTGAGGCATACTTTGCTTTCTTTCTCCTGTCTGAAAATAAAAAAATTGACTTCGCTTAACAGAAAAGTAAGAGGAAAGTCGCAAGAGATAATTTTTTCCGGAGAGCGCTAGGTAATCGCATAAAAGTTCCGGGTAATCTCGACAATCGGGCAACGAAATGAGCGAAAAAAGGGGACACGTGACCGTTCTTCGCAGAGATTTTCGAACGGTTCTAGTTCAATTTTTCTACATTTAAAACCAAAAAACGCCGGTTTCTAAAATGAAGTCCCCTTTTTAGAAAGGGGGCATCAGATGCATGTAGTACTACAGTATCAGGAGTAGCAATTTGTAAATTATAGATAAGAAAAAAGTGCAACGGGGCTATTCAGAGTGGAATCTCGGGGCTTCTAATTAAACTCGTGACCTTCATTCTCGATCGACTACCGGATAACCTTTCCTTACTTTGTCTATTCTAGCGCAAGTTCTCATGTAAACAGATTTACTGCTAACTCATCTTAACTTCAGATATTATGTTTGAGTCGGCTGGGTTAGGTGCATCATAATCAAAAATTTATCCAAAAACCTCCTTCCCAATTTTGATAATTGCCACGTGACCATGATTTTTTACCAACCTCAAGCCTATTTATTGAAAAGACGAGAATGAAAATAACTAAAGAAGATTTTATTGCATTTAAACCCAGGGGCGAAGGAAAATAATAATTAGCTCTAAAGCTGTTTTGACAAAAAAGGGGCTCTCCAGAATTTTCAATTTATCGAAATCAGCTGATAAGGCAGTCTATCACTACGTTTTGAAAACAGAGCAAATAAGAACAGGAAGATGGAAAAAATGGATTCTAAAAGAGTAGTCGAATAATCTCTAATCAAGGACTTGTCACCACGCTAGATCCTTTATCGAAGAATAAGGAAAATAACTGATTACTGAATGAGGAACATGTGAAGGCAGGATCAGAATCAGGGTAAGAGATGGGGAAAGCCCTTATTTAGCCGATAAAGTTCATGACAACGAGGTGGAGGACGAAATGAGCAAAGAGAAAGTCGCCAAAAGCCCGCTCGTCAGACCACTGGAATTGATCCTTGTTCTCAGGGTTCAGCTGCAGTCGAAGGCTCACTCCAAGCACTAGAAGTGAGAAGGTAGAGGTTTATAAAAAGGGTAGCTTACCAAAAGAAGTGACGCAGGAGATGAAGCCAGAGAGAAACGCATTGAAGGGGAAAGTACCGACCAAGCAGCAGTACACGAACTGAATTAAATATTTGAATTTTTGGGAAATATTTCTATAAATCCCGCGGTTTGAAAAAAGTACTTTGGTACGCGCAGAATTATCTGTATTTCGCAACGTGATAAACGGCGCTACAACTTCGTCTTGTTGTGATCCTAAACAGAGTCTTATCAACTTCTTTTGAATCTCGATCTCGGGCTGTTCTAATTTGCCTCTCTAAGTTTTGCTAAAGCTTTCGATTTCTGTGCCAAGCTAGAACGCTGAAATTTAAGGGATTCGAAAGACACGCCCGTCAATTTCGCCTAGGCGGTGTTTTGCTTAAGCCTTCACGGAGCTTAGAATAATCCTAGAATGATTTGTACCAAGTATTGTCTTCTTTAAAAACAAAGCAAGAAATCTTCAGGTATAATCAGTCATTGTGAAGGAGGATAAATACAGAGACGGGGGAGGACCTTTTGGTTTAAACCTTTTCGTAAATAAACAGAGCAAATAAAATTTACTTTCTTTCGATCAGCAGTTACTTTTCAAGTTGTAAGTTAGTGATTATCGTACTAAAGAGTTTCAAACCTAAACGACCCTTAGATTAATCTTTGTTGTGCTCAATTATCATTTGTTTTTAATACACTCATTACTTGTTGCAAATCATTTCAAGATTAAAGTAAGCCCCGCTGCGGGCTCAAGTTGAAGTAGAACAGATTGTTCGAGCAAATCACAAACGGATGTTGACAATTTAGTTATAACAATTTTCATCCCGCAATCGCTCATTTTACAAAAGTACTCATTTCAATAATAGTAATTCTTTAGGAAAAGGCGATTTCGGCAATCGTATTTATAATAAATAATGCTAATACTGTTCCTAGAATAAAAAGACGCTTCGTCAAAAACCTAGCTTGACCGAGAGTGAGGAGGCAAGAAAGATAAGATAATATGGTCTCTCATTATCCTGGGCTTGTCAAATGTTCGTGGTCACGTTTTCGAGTACATGATTTTGAAAATAGGGATAAAGCCGATAACTGAGGCGATTACCTGAATCACTCCAGTGAAGAATGTATATCCAAGATACGCGTCGATCGCTTTCAGCTTTTCAAGCGGCTCAGAATTTATGAAAATTTATATTGAAGCAATTTTAAAAAGGTAGAAAAAAGTATCGTGGCGTTTTCTCCGAAAGAACTGTTTCATTTTTGTATTCCCCCTAAACAACAACATCTTAATTTCATCATCATAGCAACCCTCAATCTTTCAATATTGCTTTACTACTCTCTGTGTTTTTATTGAAACAAGATTGATTGGTAAATTAGACATGATTTGGTACTGTTAGTTATTTCTATTTGCCGCGTTCCTTGACGGGAGTGGATTTCTGATAGTCGTCAAAAAATTTCGATACGATTTGTCCGAATTCAGAAGCCGCGTTGGTCGACTCTTTTGGAGCGGCTTTGGTAACAGTTTTGGTCGTGGACTTGGTCATTTTTGCTTATACGAATTCTGAAATTAATGTCTTTGACCTGCGAAGAAATAACGAGATTTTGGTGTTGTACAAGTTTGAAATATATTATGCCAAGTTGTTTTTTTTTTAAGTAATTTTTTACAGTGAACATGTAATTTTGTTGGTTTTGCAAAAAGGGGGATTATATACAGTGAGTGGTGAAATTCGTTTAAAAATAGTGGTGAAATAAAAGGTATAAAATAAGCCGGGCGTGAGTTTTTTTAGAATGAAGAGTCTTCATTGAATACTATTCAATGAATAGGGAATGTGAAAAGTGCCGGGGCAGGTGAGGTGATCTTCGGAATGGGGCGAAGTTAGATCTCGTAGCTGAAGCCGTAACCGATCGCAGAGCTACAAACATAGTTAGTAACGAAGAAGGCGGAAAGTAAGAATCAAAGTTCAACGAATCAAAAGAACAAATCACCTTGATTGATTTCGATCTGTGCGGAGTGTTTTTTACCTTCGGATGTGACGACGACTTCCAAGATTTTCGCCGAACTCTTCGTAACTTGGTGGCGGCCCTTCGTCGAAGTGAGGAGCTGATTTGATCGATGTGGGTCCGCCAAAGGGAAGATTTTCGGCGCTTTCGAACTCGAGGGAAGCGTTCGAATCGTTTTCTGAAAGGATGAATTGAGTTGAAATCAAGGAAGAGTACGAAAAGTCAAATATGTAAATCTTGAAGCTTCTAGCTACAAAAATACTTTACCTTTGTCTTCAAGAATCGGTTGACAGATTCTATCGTTTTGCTGCTCGACTTCAATTCGCTCATTCTCCGAAAACAGCTTCTTCTTCGGTTTTACCTCCGTTTTGGCACCTCGCTGTGCAAGAGGAATCCTCGATGGACCTCCTCTTACTGGCTGAGGCGTCCGGAATGTGTTGATCCGAGAAGTTACTTTGGAGAAAACCTTGGAATATGGTTGGAGAATGTTCGAAGCGGACTTTGATCTGCGTCTGGACTTTTTGGTTAGACGTTGTTCTTGAGGAGGCTGTTCATTCTGAGCTGGGCGAGCTGGAGCTCCAAATCTACGAGGATAAGTTAGGGAGGAAAATTTATGTTAGGAACTTACGGTCGTCGAAAAGGAGGAATATTTGGAATCCTGGAGAACTTCGACTGCGCAGTGATGTCGATTCTTGAGCGCTTTGTATCAGCGAGGCTCATTGTGGAACCAAAGGCCGTTCGTTTCGTAGGAGTTGTTCCGTACGTCTATGAAGAAGGGATAAAACAGGTTTTTTTTGAGGTGAACATAAATTGGTGGAGCGTTTTTGAAGGGGTTAGAGACGAGATATTTCAATTCTCTCTTTTGCATCTTGTTGGGGAGGGTCTCTAGTGTGTTCTTTGAAAGATTTTCTTACCATTTCTCTGGCTAGTTCAATTTTTTTCTTTTGATTTCTCTCTAGCCTTTCCATATTTTTAGACTCGCACACTGCGTCCCACTGCGTCTCGATATACTTTTTGAATCCAACGCCATCGACTTGGAATTCTTTCTCGTTATCCTTCTCCCACTCGTTGATGTCCGCTTTCAATTGGTTCTCTAGCGTGGTGAGCTGGATCTTGACCTTTTTGAACTCTTTCTGCTTTTTGAGAAGAGCTCCGCCGCGGTTGTTTTTGAAGCGATTGGGATCTTTGTCCTCTGCGTCCATTACGCGGTACTTTTGGAAAAGCTCATTCCATTGGTCAACGCCTTTGAACATGTTCGCATGCTAGAATCGAACGGTTAGTGTTTTTTCTAATGGCTCTCCGAATAAATAGCAGTCTCACCAATCGATTCTCTTCTATGATTTTAAGCGAATTCTTACCTGTGAAAATTCCTCCTCTAGTTGTCGAACCATGCTTTCGTGGTCATCCAACAACTGCTCGTTGTAGTTTTCCGAGTAGTATTCGTTGAAAGACTCACGCTGATCCTGGCTGAAGTACATCTTCTCCCACAGCGTTGCGATATCTTCGCGGCAGGACTCGACCAGCTCCTTGAGCTTGCTCTTTTTCTCCGCTTCCAAACTATTGAGCTCTTGCTGGAGTCTTTCGAGCCAGCTAGAGCTCAGATCGTGACGCTTGAATTGGTCGACGTATCGCTGCTCTTTCTCAAGTCGACTAGAATAGTCTAGCTAGTAAAAGAAAATATTAATAAGTACTTACGTTGCCAATCTAACGAGTCTATCCTCGAGAGTGTCTTTCCTCTCTTGTCTCTGATCTCGTTTCGCTTCAATCGTTTTCTTCCTCGCTTCCATTTTCGTGTTCACATTCTCCTTGAGCACGACAAATGGATCTTCGCCGGCTTCGAGAATGTCTTGCAGCCAGACTTCTTTCGGCGCCTCGCCAAGGAGATCGAAAGCAGAGGTGATCGCGTATTTGAGTCTTCTGAACTGGTCAAGTCGAGCTTGGACGAGCTTTTCCATCATGTGAATGTTTTGCTTGATCTGCTCGAGATCGTGAACTTTTGGGACGACTTTCAGCGAGACTGGTACGCTTGCGTACTCTAGTTGCTCACAGAGCTTTTCTTCGATATCTGAAAATCCCCGTTAGATACAATTGTATTTAGATTTTACTGGCTTGAAATCAACGAAGACTTAAAAAATTCAGCTCCTTGGATTCCAGTGAATCTTTTCAAAAAAAACCTACTTTTCAATCGATGAAGCTCAATCATCGCCGTCTCCTTCTGTCTCTCGAGCTTCTCCAGCTCCACCTGCACAATTTCAGCCTTCGCGACGAGCTGCGGCGGTCCATCGTATCTGAAGGGTGGCCTGCCCAGCTCCTCGTTCAGCTCGCGGATGGTCGCAAACGACTTCGCCAGGTCGGCTTTCATCGTCTCCAGAACATCCTGCTCCTCAATTTTCATCTGATCAAACAGCTGCGAAACGTGCTTGTTTGCCGTTCTTATTCGCTGTTCGATCGCTTCTCTGTCGAAACCTGAAGACAAAACGTGTTTAGATCAATCTTTTTTATAATTTTACCTAGATCTATCCAGATCTGCGTCAAACTGGCAAAGGTTTCGTCTCTGTGCTCTCCATTTAGTCCTGGCTGCTGGTCGACGTGCTCTTTCACAAAACGGTCCATTTTTTCTGGCTCGATGTATGTCGAACTGATATTCAGATCTTCCTCCATCTCTTTTTTCAGCGTTTACGCTCTTTGTCGCCGGTAAACTGCTCTCTCTGACGCCAGAATAACAATTTTCGTTATTTCTATCTAGAAAACAAATCTCTTATTTTCAAAAGATTTCAATATTCAGATTTTTTAAATAGACTTTTGTTCTACTATTGCGCGCGATCAATTTCAAATTAGGCGCCTCTGGGTGAGACGACGCGCGATTGGCTATTTGAGTAATTGGGCGGCGCTCATTGGGCAGCCAAGTGGCGCGCCATTTGAATAGACCCCCTTCACTACACTGAGTAAACTTGGACGCGGGGAAAAGTAATCAAACGCGAAATCAGAAGTCTCGTAAAAGCTCAACTGTAAAATGTAATGGACCTCGTAAAAAGGTCACCAAGAGCGAAACCGATTGACATCTGCGACAAATCCCGTTGTCCGGCGCTTATGAAAGCACGACAATGATGTTTTTGAAAGCGGGAAATTTTTGAATAAGGAAGTTGTAAAAAATCACAGATCAAAGAAACGAGCAAGTTTTACAGCTTCGAAAGAAGAAAATTTTTTGAAGAAATGGATTATCTTCTTCAAACCTTTTTCTCTAATTGAATTGTTTCAAAGGTCGCCCGCTAAAACCCGATTATGAAACCCCCAGGCGCCGACTTTTCAAAAAATATACCCGATAAGATTGAAGTTTGAATTGACTTGTATTCTTTATTGTTGAAAGCTTTTTTCGGTAATAAGGATTTTCATCGCTTGATAGGAAAGTTGAGTTAAGACAGAACACGGAGCACGGGAATAAAAATAATGACAAAAAAGGAAAAATGGAAATAATATGTTGTAACAAAAAGGTGTAATATAATAAAAATAATTAATTGAATACAAAATGAATCAGTATCAAATATTGCAAAAGCCGCACAGTTTCGTTTCAAAGTTTTTATTGAAGCCAGAATAAGGAAAGTTGTAGAAAAAGAATTTTTAGAAGAAAGAAAATGGAGGAAATTTAAAAATTTCTTTTTCGCTATTTCTGCTTTTGAGATGTTACATCCGCCACAAACATTCGTGCTGATCTCCACGCATCTTCCACTGTTTTCTCGTCGTATTTCTGAAAAATACTTTATTGGCAACGATTGTTTTTTCAAGGGGACTTACCACTGGGCCCATGAAATTTTTGAAGCTGAATAGGGACTTCTCCTTTTCCTTCTTAGCCTCCAGGTGGGCGAAGATCGGTCCCGTGTTGAGAGTTTCTGATCGATACCGTCCCAAAGAGTCGATGTGGCCTAAGTACAGGTGGCCACTGAGCGGACGGTAGTAAATCAGTTCTGGGCGAGAAAACGAGGCAGTCAGGTTGATTCCAGAGCTTTGGAAGGAAAATTATTGACGAAGGAGGATGAAAGACTTACTTTGAGCTTGTGTCGCTTTCCCTGTTTTTCTGCGGAGCCTTGGAATCAAGATTCAACCCTGCTTGCTCCATGATTCCATTCAGAAAGTTGAGAAACTGCGGTGAGCGCAAAAAGAGCGGTAGATAAACTGTTTGTAACGTCGTAAGCGCCTGCAAAAGAAACAATCAACCCGGTTCTAGAACGAGTTACTGACCTGTCGAGCTGGAAGTTTGAATGAGCTTGCTGATGGATTTTTGAGACCGACTTCGACTTGTTGTTTCACATTGTCAGAAAAGCCGATCGCGCCGAGCTGCTTGAAGATCGTTTTTTGAAGTTGGTCTCGGTCTTTTTTCGGAATCTCGCGGAAACGAGCCGCGAAGTCTTTCGTATTCAGGTAGAAATCAAGCACTTCTACAAACGGTGATTGTGAAAAGAGGAAAATTTAACGAGGGAGAGTTACCTAAAGACTTCTCTTTTGACATGAAATCTCTGAACAATTCTCGACTTTGGTCAAAAGACAGGATTTGATCCAGCGAAATTTCGTGGTCCGTGAACACTTCCACCAATAATCCTTGAATTTGCATCCTTTTAGTTGTGTTTTTTCGGGAAAAATACCTTTGAACTTTTTCGACGTAAGAAAATCTGGAATCTTTTTCGAAAGACCGAGTTCGACTAGCTTCGACAAATCGGCGAAATCTTCGTCTACCACTTTCCCTTTTTCAAGCTTTCTTCTCATATTTGAAACTGCTTTGGCTTCGAAATTCAATACGTCACTAGAAAATTGAACGAAGATTATCAAGGAATGTGGGGTACCTGTAATGACGAATGATTCTTTGGGCTTCTGCGTTGAATTCTTCGGCCGTTTTCGCATTTACGTTCACAGAGTCTTGAATGATTTCCGTGACGTTACTGAGCGCAGAAGAGAGGATCTGATCCCGCAGAGCATCTTCCGCGCTTTGCTCGCTGTTCTGATTGGCATCCGGGCAGGCAGAGACGGCCACGTTTGACCGGAACTTGCCGATATCTAAAGAAAAATGAAAAGGGGTTCAGAAAAGATGTTCATACCTTGGTAAAGAGTTAATAATCGTCTGTCATTAGGCTTGAGGTATTCTTGGAAATAAGCTCGGTAAGTGGCGTCATTGAGTATATTCTGGATATTCGGCGCCCATTCCCTAAAGCGCGGCATCAACTCCGCATCTGAAACCAAGAAAAATCAATTCAAGATTCATTTTCAGGAGGCTTTTTAGTTGCAGACAGATTCAATCTCCATTCAAGATGATCAGATGTAAGAAGGATCATCTCTTTTTTAGTTTGAACTTAGAAATCACGTGATTAGGGGAAACAGAGATCAGGAAACGGGATTCTTCCACTGTCTTCCTTACTCTCTGCCCCTATCACACGTGACTTATAGATATTGAATAATATATCTTTTTTGTTGACTTCGTTAATAGATCATATGATTTGTATCAAACGTTTTCGTTTATTGGATAAACTTCATCAGGATACTAAAGTAAATATGAACGAAAAGGAACAGAGGAAAAAGAATACTTTTATGTTGAGAGAGCAGTGTGAAATTGCTAACTGAGGAAAACAAAAACAAAATCAAAAAATATGGCTGTTTTTAGTCGAGCGCCAAGGTGGCCCAAGGTGAGCTTAAATTCTCTTGTTCTTCTACTAAAGAATTTAAAAGTGCGTTTACTAAAATCTCACCTCAAATAACATCTGAACATTCTATTTGGAGCGCAGATGTCGTGTCAATGTATCCATCAATTGACAATTCAAAAGCTATTAACGTTATTATCGATATTCTTTATAAAAATCCTCTTCGATATTTTAGCCCCGAGGATCTTCCAGACGGCACAATCAGTTATTTTCCCCCTAAAGATGTTTTTCGATCTATTCTTGTTTCAGTCTTACAAAAGTTCACCGCATTTTCCACGCAAGAAGGTTACTATAAACAGAAATTCGGGTGCTCAATGGGCTCCCGACTCGCCCCTCTAGTGGCGAATATTTACATTTCTAGCCTGGAAAGTGAATTTCTTACAACTGAAATTAAAAAGGGTAATATACTGTTTGTTAGTCGTTACGTCGACGACTACTGTTTTGTAACCAGAACAAGTGCCAAAAAACGAATTTTTAATTGTCTCAATAAGTTTGATCCGTCCATAAAAATGACCTGTGAAGATATGAAAGACGACTGTCTCCCTTATCTTGATACTTGCATTAAACTTCATGACAACCAATATCACTTATTCTTCTATGAGAAAAGTAACAAAAATGACATTCTTCAAAACTTTCGTACTGGAATCGCTCCCCTCAACAAGAAAATATCAACGCTTACCGGCGAAATCTATCGCAGAAATAATACAACCTCATGTCCGTATGCGTTGAATATTGCTCTTGAACAGTTAACTGATCGCTTTCTTAAGAACTCATATCCGTTTCACCTCATAAAACGTAAAATCAATGAAATTAAAAATAATAATTTCGAGCCACTGAAACGTGATGATTCTAAAGTAGTGAAAAAGTTCAACTTATGTTTAGATTTTACTAGTGAAAGATGCTACTCTATTGGACTTAGTCTTCAAAAACTCTTCAGAAAAGTAACACCTTCCTTTTGTCTAGTCGTTAGTTGGAAAACCATACGACTCGAAAGAGCCCTAGGCAAATTTCTTAAAAGAGTCCCCGAAAAATACGACTTGTGTGATCTGATTTACTCTTGGAAATGTGATTGTAAAGCGCAATACATTGGTCAGTCCAAACGAAGAGCTGGTGTTCGTTGGATTGAACATGTTAATTCAAACAACCAGAATAAAACTGCTTCTTCTTCCATCTTCAAACATTTTTCCACTTGTAAGACCTTTCAAAAAAGCTATGATTCTTACATCAGTGAGCCAAGCACAAAAAATCTCACGAGTCAATACAAGACTAAAACTGCCCAATCGAAACTTGCTTTAGAGTCCTTTCACTCTAAAAATCCTCCGAAAATTCGTTACAAATTTTCAAAAATGACTTTGCTTTAAAATATTTTGATGTTCTACAAACTAATCTTACTTACGAGAAACGTTGAACAATTTCTTATTTTACTGCATAGACCCTCCCTTAATGAACAATCTGATTTCAAACAGTTCAAAACTTTTTAATTTAGTCGAGCACTGTTTTGGGCCACCTTGGCGCTCGACTAAAAACAGCCATATTTTTTGATTTTGTTTTTGTTTTCCTCAGTTAGCAATTTCACACTGCTCTCTCAACATAAAAGTATTCTTTTTCCTCTGTTCCTTTTCGTTCATATTTACTTTAGTATCCTGATGAAGTTTATCCAATAAACGAAAACGTTTGATACAAATCATATGATCTATGATATTGAATAATTTACAGATTGAAGCGTTTCTGTAGTGGTAAAAATGATTCGTAAAATGATGTTAAAATGCGATAAATGATTCTTAGGAAGGTCATTTCTTTAAAATTCTTAGAAGTCTATCTAGCAGCAGAGTTCAAAAACCCCGGGCACAGGCGGGCGCGGGCTCGGAATGGAAAAATGGTCGGGGGCTCAGGCGGGCGCGGGCACAAAATTGATGAAGCTCGGGGGCTCAGGTGGGCGCGGGCCCGAAACTGAAGGTGCCCGCGGGCTTAGGCGGGCGCGGGCAACAAATTCAAGGTGCCCGCGGGCTCACGCGGGCGCGAGCCCTTGCCCTCCTGCTCGCGCCCGGCCGCGCCCGCGAGCACAAAGGGACCTAATTTCAATCGGTATTTTCAGCTTCAATTCGATGACTTGAATAAGTTTGCCGTCAAAAAATATGCGAAAATGATAAAAAAAGTTCGGAAATTCGCGAAAATCTTGATTTTAGACGAAACTTTGAGCCAATTTTTTGGGGTCATTTTCAAAGAAAACTCTTTTATGGGTTACCGAAAAAAGTCTCAATTTTTATTTAAATTTTCAAAGTTTTCGGCGAAAATTTCTTCTTCTTTTACGAAAACTGGCCGCGGCCCTGACGGGCTCGGGCGCCTGAGGCCGCGAGGCCCGGGGGCTCAGGCGGGCACGGTGTAATCATAAAAACTGGCCGCGGCCCTGACGGGCTCGGGCTGGGCTCGGCAAACTGAGCTGTGTAAAAACCTGTCACAGGTCCTGTTTCCTGTTTTTGGGGAATCTGCCTGAGTACCTGTGTAAAATCGGGTAATAATTTGGGCCTGTCCTGTGTACCTGTGTAAAATTAAGGGGAAAAAATTTCTTTAGCTGTCCCTGTTCCTGTTTCTGTCTTAAACAGGCCTGTGTTTCCCGCTCAGGTCCTGACCATAGACAGGTTCCTGTGTAACCAGGTCAGGAACTGCATAAGTCAGGGAAAATATTAAAAGAAATCAATCGCGAAAGACGTAAAAAAGAGTTCAACAATCAAAATAACCGATAAATTCGCGTCTTTTTGTTTCTTTGTAATATTTTTTCTCAGAAATATCCTGTTTTTTGTCCTGTCACAGGGCCTGTTTCCAGTTTTCTGACCTGCTCAGACCTGTTCACGCAGGCCCTGACCTGTGTAACCTGTTTGATAAGCTGTGTAAAAAAACCTGTCTAAAATCAGGATATTTTTGCTTCCTGACCTGTGTACCTGTGTAAAATATGGGACAGAAATTTTTTTTCCTGTTCCTGTGTCTGTTCCTGACACAGTTTGCCGAGCCCAGGGCTCGGGCGCTTGAGGCCGCGAGGCCCGGGGGCGCAGGCGGGCAGCGTGCCCGCGCCCGGCCGGCCGCCGCTCCCCTGCCCGGGAGCCGAAAATTTTTGAACTCTGTCTAGCAGTACAATTGGTCTGTCCACCGAGCACAAATTTGGAACTGGCTTGAATTCGATGAACTCGCTCCCCGTGCAAGAGAACCTCTCTTTCCGTGGGAGCCCCAAAACCGCAAAATTTACAACCCCACATTGGCGTTACAGGATGGACAGGAACAGGAGCTCCTTTGAGCTTCTCGGAAGCTTTTGAGGAGAAAGAGTCAGGAACGATATATACAAGCGAGGAGAAGATTTCGGCGGCGGGGTGATCTCCCAGGTGCACTCCCAGCGTCGCCGTCTTCGAAGTTCGAAGCGGGCAAATCAAGCAGCGGAACTTATTCATGAAGGGATCAGCGTGTTTCTTTGCGCGGCAGTGGTCTTTTAAGTTCTTGAGCGGGTGCACATCTCGTAAATGCATCTACAAAGATAAAATGAGAAAGAATTCTCAAAAATATAATCAAACAGGGGCTCTAAAAGGCTCGTTTCTTTTCTACAAAACCTAACCTGGATAGTGCTGGAAACCGATGGAATAAAATTTGGGCAAAGAAAACATCGAAAGCTCGCTTCGTTGGCTTGAAGTGCTTTTTCCTGTTCCTCTTCTTCTGAAAGGGCTTTTTTGATCATCACCTTCTTCATCGTTTTCTTCCCTTTTGAGTCTTTATGACCGTGCTTTATATGTACAGTAATGTCGGCTTTGTCGAGAAAAACCCGGCCACACGGTTTTCCATCTGGATTGAGCGTTGTGCACTTCCAGCCTTAAATTCGAGTTGAAAATTAGGGGACGGAAACAAAGGGATGAAAACCTATCTGGCCATCGTTAGGGATTTGAGGTAGTTGCGGAGGGGATTGTACAGGAGGAGATGTTCGATCTCCATTATTGTTGTTGAGTCGTTCACTCTTTTTTCGGCCGTTTTGAGAACCTGCATTTTCAGTTTTCGGCGGTCGACCTCGCTTCTCAATCTTCCTGTTTGGCATTGTAGAAGCGTGGCTGACCGATGCATAATGAAGATCCTCTTGCCGAAAGATCTTTGAAGGAGCGGGATGAGGCTGCGTTGGAGGACGCTCAGATTTGCGTTTCGTTTTTAACCGAAAGCTGGGCATGACTGCGGATTTTCCACCAAACATCTTTTCTCCAGCACCTTATTTTTTGATCAAAATGATAGATTCAAGCCTTCATACTTATATTCCACGGTGACAGAAAGAAGAATCTACTGGGAGAAAGACACAACTTGCGATGTTTTAAAAGTTGGAATGCTGAGTTTAACTCTTTCCCATTCTAAAGAAAATTCGATCAAGAAAAATCTCAAATTGTGAAAAAGAAGATCGAAAATATAGAAATAAATTTTCATTTTTATTAGCATGAATTATTGTGAACTTTCAAAAGTTTTGACAGAAACGGTTTTTTTATTAAAGAAAAGCTTTGCCTTTTTAATTAGTTGGAGCGTCGACGACGATGGCTTTCATTCGGAGGACTCTTCGGCAGACGAGCATCTAAATACAGCTTCAGGATCGATTCGGACCGATGGAAACTTACGAGGAATTCTCCGTAGTCGATTTCACCATCACCATTGACATCGACGGCATCGACCATCATTTGGACCTGGCGGCGGGTGAGAAAGCGGCCGTGGCGAGTCATCCAGTCTTTCAGCTCGTCGCGAGTGATGCTTCCCGAGCCGTCCACATCGTAGGATAGGAAGGCTCGCTGGACGCCGTTGACGCCATGTTGCTTGAATTTCGAATGATAGAAAGAAAATAAGCGAGTATTGGTTACCTTGACCATGAGAACGAGAAACTCGGCGAAATTGAGCGTGCCGCCGTTATCAAGATCGACGCTGTTCATGATTCCTTCGAGGAATTTTTCGACAGCTTCGAGGTCTTGTTCGAAGAGCTTGTTCAACGATTGGAGGTCGATGTTGCCGCCTTGTTCTGCGTCGAGTGCGCGGAATTGCGCTTTTCTATCTAAACGACGCGCTTTTCAAAACAGATTTTCAGGGGAAGGGGAGTCTTACCGTCAGAAGAAAGAGCTTCAACGATCATATTTCTTTCGTAAGCGGATACCGGAAAAGCCATTCGTTTCGAACTACAGTACGTTAATAAAACCCTCACAAACAAAACAAGTGAGAATAGAAATAACATCTTGAATCCCTTACCCAGCTGTAGCATATCGAAGAGAACGGGCAAGTTGTCGAAAAGGAAGCATTTTCTCTGTTTTTAAATAAAAAGACTTTTCCACGTTGCCGACTTGATTTACGAAAATGAAGAAAATTAAAACTCGGTTTGCGGACGATCGCAAGAGGGAGTATTTTCAGATCAGCGCCGATAACGGTCGGAAATTCAGTTAGTTCACCCTTAGTAGGGTGAGTAGATGTGTTGAAGCTGGTAAATACGCAGCTTAGTTTTGCTCAGAGCAGTTGAACATAAAGGTTTTTCATCAACAATAATCAGCAAGAGCTAATATTATTCGTCATTGCCGTACCTTTATCTTTTTACTAAAACCCAGATTCTAGCCTATGGCTTTTCTTTATGGCTTTTGCGCGAGAAAGAAGTAGAATTCCTTGGATAAATTGAGTTCATTTCATATTGGCAGTTGGGATAATCAAAACAGTTGCATCAAAACAAGCAGTTTTTAAATAATTGTTTGAATTTTAAAGAATTCTAATTTTTAATTTTAGAAATAATAATTTTCGTTTCGTCTTGTCCTTCGTTCGAAGAAAGGCTTGAAAGTTGAACCACACAGAAGAAAGAGGGAGAGATGGAGAGAGAATTGACCGTTGCGAGTATGCGTTGATTTCATCTTTTCTTCGTTTTAAAATTTCAAATCTGCGCGCCCATCTTTTGAAACGCGGTGGCACCGGTTGGCGCGTCAGGAGACGCCATCGTTACCGTTGCTGCTTTCCGTGCCAGGAGCTCGCTCTTCGCCGGCCACGTCGGGAAGTGCTCGCGCGGCTAGAAAGAGATGATTGTAAGGGCTTGATTACAAGAGGGTATCAATTAATCTTGAAATCAACAAGGAATTTACAATTTGACGAGTTTTTTATTACTTTTCTATCAAAAATTATACGATAGCGCAGAAATAAATATTTTAACCTTTTTTTAAAGCATCGAATTTATGGTTCTTCTAAAAGATTATCTTGCTAGAGAAGTCTTTTCTTAAAAAAAGTTACCGTTGGGATCGGAGTCATCTTGAGCCAAACGTCCTCCAGCGCGCGCTCGGCAGTCCAGCGCTCATTCGGATCATAGGTTAACAAACTAAATTACAGGTTAATACATCCTTGCAAAAATTCAAGGTCTGTTGTGGCATCGGATAATGATTGAATTGACAGGGGATGAATACACACCGAACGTGTTCTCGATTTCCTGTAATTTGAATTGTGTCTAAGAGTTTGTTAATTTTTTGTTCAAAATGCCAGCTAATTACCCATTCAGGAAGTTGTAGCCCTCCTTTTTCATTTGGTCCTTGTAGCGCTTCCGCAGCATGTTTCCTCTGTTACGCTCCCAGTTGATTTTCTTCGCGTGTGGTAGCTCGGAAAAGCCAGGCCAGACGTTGTCATCTGGGGTTCCAAGTTCCTAGAGGCAATTTTAACTGGGGCTGGGGATTTATCTGGGGTAATTATCGAGAAATGGGGTTCGTTTTGGGGATAGCCAGCAGTGATTGCCCCAGATAGAGAGTACTCGCATCTGATTGGCCGAAAAACGTCGATATCCCCGAAAAAGCAAGGTTAAAACTTACCTTGAATATTAATTTACACTGTTCTTGCTCTGTTTTCCCGGGGAAGAGAGGCTTTCCTTGTAAAAACTCGCCCATGATACAACCACAAGACCATAAATCTGAACAAAGATCATCAATTAACTTCTTCCGACCGTTTATTTTTCCTCACCGATATAAGTGGAATATTTTTTCTGACCAAGAAGAAGCTCTGGGGAGCGATACCAAAGAGTAACGACGACTTCTGTAAATTCACCGAGTGGGGAGCCATATTCTCTTGCCAGCCCGAAATCGGCTATTTTTAGCACAGCTGAAGTGCGATTTTTGATCACATATTGCCGGGAAAGTCTACCTTTATGATTTAATAAAAGATTGGAAGTCTTCAAATCCCGGTGCAAGATCCAGTTATCGTGCAAATGATTGACTCCCCTGAGCAACTGTATCATCAGCGTCTTAACTTCTCCAATGGTGAAGTTTCCCTTCATCGTTTCCATGAGTGTCTTCATGTCGTGTTCAAGATATTCCATGGCAATGTAGATCTTGTCTTTCGTAGCACCAACGCAGATTTCCAGCACATTTATCACATTTTCATGTTTTGCTATGAAAAACATTGAAATCAACAAGGACCAACTCATGAAAATCTACCTTTGAGAAGTGTGACGATTTCTCGTAAAGAGGTGATTGGGAAACCGAGCTTTTCTTTCTCCATTTTCAGCTTTTTCAGCGCGACGACTTGTTCAGATCTTTTGTCGACGGCACGGAAGACGACGCCATATGTTCCTTCTGCTATTCTATTCAGGAATTTATAACTGTCGTCGACTTGCCGACAGCCTTGTATCGATGGATAGTAAAAATCTTAAAATGACACTTATTTTTGGCTCTTTTCTAAACTCTTACCTAGTCTTCCTCCTTCTGGTTCCTGATCATTTTCCAGCGCCTCTCCATTTTCGTCATAAAGGCCCCCCAAAACATCCTCCTGCGCTGGAGGCGGCGGAGTCGCCATATGAGCTGGACTGGAGTGTTGAGAAAGAGAACGCGCTGTCATTTCTTGCTGGAGCGATGTCACCGCGGCTGGAAGTGCTGCAAGTTCTGGTTTGTCTGCTTCATCGTCGCTAGAATCACTTGCCCATTTGGACTTGGTTTTCTCTCGAATGAGGTCGGAATTGACGGAATCTAGCCGGTTACGGGAATGGTACATTGGTTCGTCGCGCACTGGAGTTAATCTTCTTTCAGATTCAGAAAAGTTTTCTCATACATTTTTGCCAGAATTATTCAAGATTTGATCTCGATTCCAAACGATTAGTTTTTTCAAAAAAAAAAGGAAGAAGAATCGTCAAAAGTCGTCATTTTTCTGAACCATTCCTGTGAGAATCTCCATTCTGCGTACTTTTCCTATTCTTGCTGCTTTCCATAATAACATCAGTCACCAATTTCAAATCGTTTTCATTCGTTTCATCATTGATGAGTTCGTTGATCAAATCGTCGGCCGTGATTTTTTCATCTTTTATTTCTCCTTCGTCCGATTCCGCGTCAGAATGCGCGTTTCGTTCGCCCCGGCTAATGTTCTTCTCGTATTGCTTTGTCACGGGATTGAAGACGACTGAGGAAAGGGATGAAAAATGACGAAAATTGAACAAAATTCTTGATAGAAAAAAATTCTATTGAACGCCTCTTTATTGGCTAGATTTTCATCCCTTTTCAGAAGGCGAAGATCGATCTCTCGAGCTTCTCTTTCTATCTGACTTGTTCGAAATCGTCACAGTCCTTGACGGTCTCGCTCTTTTTCTCTCATCTTCGCTGGAAGTCCTCGATTTCTTCCGATCTCGATCGTCCCTCTCATCGGAATATTTCCGACTTTTCTTGCTCGATTTTCCGATTTTCTTTCGCAAATCTTCTCGCAGCTTTTTCAGCTCGTTTTCGCTCATGTTATCTGCGTTTTTCAAATATTCGCCAGCGAAATCATCTGCAATTTCTGAAAAGACATTTTCAAGTTGACTTCAATAACTCAAGAATCTTCTAGAACTCTTTCTCTTTTCCAGAATTCGTCCCTTTTCTCTAAAATCAACTAGATTTGTTATTTCGAATCTTCTTACCAGAAGCCAAATCGTCCCAGATCGCCTCTTCTGACATGGAATCGAATCTGAATCGTCTCTAGAACAAATAAGTTACTCGCTTCTGAGTAATTCTCCTTACGCAGCAATTTTCATTGGCTGAAAGAAGGCGCGCTCAGCCAATCATAACCTATACTTTCTTTCAAAATTGGAAAAGGACTTCAAAACGCGAGACCGATAGTGATGCCTTAAAATGAAGAAGCTGATGTTGTAGCATCCATTGCAAAAATGAAATATATTAAAAACTGACAAGAATAGAGGGATAAAATGAAGAAGCAAAACTCCTACTAGTTGACCCGTCAATTGCAATGGTCGATTGCTTATAATCTTACTGAATACCCCTTGCAGTAACTGCCCTAATCGTCGAATTGAAATTAACGATTTCCATTATTAATACTTATTTTATATTTTCATTTATCATTTCATTCTTTACTTTTTCTTCAAGCAACTTCAACATCAGGAGACCGAGATGTCCTGATTTATCAACAGAGAGGGGCCCTCTGCTACAGTAATTTACTCGAAATAATCTGCATTCGCGGATATAAAAGCAAATATGTCCTGAATAAAGCCGACGCTAAAGTTTGAACACATGCGCTTTCCCAAACCTTTATTCGCTTCGTTCAAATAATTTTTTCCTCAAAATGAAATTACTTTTATTCTTATTTTTGCTCGCTCAGAGTTATGAGCTCGCTGAACTAGAGAAGAACTTGGATGTTTTAGTTGAATCTCTTCGTCTTTCAAATGCCATTCCAGGGGTCTCACTTGCAGTCGTTGATCTGAAAAACGAAAATTTCATTTCGAAAGGATATGGAAAACGCCGAGTTGATCAGGAAGACCCTGTTTCTGAAGAGACCTTGTTCTGTCTCGCCTCTAATTCGAAGCTTTTCACCGGCGTCTATTCCGCTTTGGTCGAAAAATACACTGGAATTTCTCTGGATACAAAAATAAACGATATTCCCGAGCTTAGAGACGATGAGGACATATTTCTTATGCTCAATTCTTGCTCTTTATCTCAAGACGTGACACTACGTGATTTTCTTTCCCACAGAACTGGGACTAAAGCAAAGTTCAAAACTATTTTTTACAAAAAGTTCATAAATTTCTCATGCTGAACTCGAAAATAGATGATTCTCCGACCCTTACTCTTGGTTGTGATGTTGACACCCGTGATATTTTTGCTTCTCGCTCCCGGCATATGGAAGAACTCAGCCCTATTCGATCTAAGTACAGATACAGTAATTCTGGTTACACTCTGGCAGGCTTCGTTGCAGAGAAACTCTGCCAGACATCTTCTTATTGTTTGAGCCAGTTGGGCTCGACCTGGGAGGACGGAATAAAGGCGATTTTCAACATGGCGCAGATGGATTCTTCAGCAGTGGCTCAAGATATCGTCGGAAACTTTTCTTTCTATGACGATATTACTGCTCGATCTACGTTGGTTGATTGGCAGGGGAATCAACATCCTAATGAAATAGCAAGGGCTTCTTGATTGTGAAATTTTTAAATTATAAAATTCAAGAAATAGCCAGTAAAAGAGGTAATTTCACGATCGAAAGCGATGGAGCCAAGTTACGGTGTCGTCTCCAACAGTAAAGACATGGCCCGCTGGATTGAATTCATTCTCAGCTCTTCGACGACTGCAGATTTGAAGCTGGATCAAGACGGAATCCCTTGCACTGGCTGTAGAAAAGTCTTTTCCAAGGGACCAGGACAGTGTTGTTAATTTTAATATTGGTTCATTATATTTTCATAAAAACAAAAAATAATTAAAACCCCTGGAAAGGTTCACCGCCAACGGACACGGAAGTCGTCTACGCTCTCGGAACAAGAACTGGAATGTACAGAGACTATCGAAAATGGGTTCATTCTGGCTCTTTTGGCGGCTACAATTCTTATCTCTATATGCTGCCTGATATGAAAATTGGCGTTTTCACAGCGGTGAATGGTGGAGGGGATACTTATGGGGCCATGAGGAAGATCATTCATTACGCTTTTGATACAATGCTCGGACTTGCACCAGACCTTTCAACAAGCAATATCGAGAGAAATGATCACGTGAATCAGGATAATCGAGAGAGGAAAGGATTGCCAGATCTTTTACCGGCAAATTTGGAATCTAAAGAAACGGTTCTTTACCAGCCAAAGTCACTGAAGCCAGAGTTTTCGAACCTTATTGGCTCCTACTATCATCCTCTTCTTGGAGAAATGAAAATCTCTAAGAAAAATCGACGATCTTGCCAGACCTACGAAATCTACGAAAGTCTCTATGTCCAAATTGGAGAGCTCGGGACTGGTTGGATTGAGAATTTAGCTTTTTACGATACTGGCTTGATAAACGAAAAATACATGTATCCCTTGTCAATCGATCCCGCTGAAAACGAGCAATGCTGTGTCGGAATTCGATGCAATGTTGGATTTTTATCGCTTTCTCATTAAATTTTTCTCTTTAGGAGGTACAGAAGATCATTCCAGGAGTCTACCCACTCGTTGAAAACAACGATTCTCCAGCGCTAGATTCTTGGATCGATGTTGATTTTATTTGGGACAGTCGAGGTAAAGTACCCTCAGCTATCATTAAAAAAGGATTTAGTTTGGTACGTGTCCGACTACGATCCAGTATTCACATTCAAAAAGAGCTCATCCGGCGAGTTCACTGTTGAATTTCGCCGGGGATCATGGTCTTCTGATGTCTATGTTTTCACTCGAGAACGAAGAGATGAGTTTGAATGGACAGATAAATGCAACCTCAATTCTTTGTAAGAATACCTTGATCTGACTGTGGATAATATTCGTGAGAAAAACAAGTGCGCAATTTTAATGGTTTTCTTCCTTGATTGCAAATTTTCAGCAGAAATGCGGCGGAAAGTTATTCAAACCATATTATTGTTTATTTATTTCAGAGTTATTTCATTAAATTGAATTCAAATTTTGTGTGCAGCATAAACTGTAGACGGAAATAATGGTGGGTGATCGCACTTCTGTGTAGCTTTTTCATTTTAAATTCTCGGTTAATTATATGAATTGGCCTTGGAGGCCCTTTGATATCTCTTCACATTTTTTGTTAAAATAAACTCGCTTTATTTTATTTTGCGAATTTTTTCGTCCTGCAGCGCCGCACCATGGCATCAATTTTCGGCTTCAGCGAAGATTACAAGAAACAAGCTCTTCTTGAAATTATAACGAATTATGATTCTAAACATAGGGCATTTTTCGTAATTTTCATAAGGATATTGATGATACTGTACTCTTGAAAAATAAGGAGACGCACAGGAAGTGTTTTTTTCTTTCTTTCATTTTCTCAAACAGAGATAGAAAAAAATTAACCCTACGAATGGTTTTTCACGAGTGGTATTTTCCTGATAGCTCTGACAAGCTCAAATCAGCGAAAAAAGTACGTCTTCAAATCATTTAATTTAAAACCTCTTAGCTCATCTGTCCATCAATTTGGGGTTGTACTGGAGAAATGTCAATTGAACAATTTCGGCGAATTATCATTTCTATGTGGGCTTTACTCACGGGTAAAATGAATTTTCAGTCGTACTTTTGAGGTCTTATTAGTTTCGGGTATTTTGGTTCTCACAACTGCTATCAAGCTTCCTTATGGTGGCGGCGTTGCCCCTGCTGCGACATATATTGTCACTGCAACGGGGACGATTATTCTAGGACTCATTGTCTGTGGATTCGGGACGAGTATGTACTCAGCTCAGAACAAAGACAGTGCAGATATGACTGTCAGAAAGGGACTCTTTTGCATGACGACTATACTTTTCCTTTTTGCGGACTCAATCAGCATTTGCTTCTCTTTCATCATCGCTGTTTTCTCCTTCGACCCATTTTTCCTAGCTTTGAATTTGCCTCTGTTTGTTATTTTACTCGTACTTTTCGTGCTGGCACTCGTCACTCTCATCAAACAGGTACGGTAACAAGGTAGAAAGACTGGAATTCAGGTTCATTTAGACATGCTGCCTGTGGAATAAAAACGATCGAGAGTGGCTAGAGAAGAATGAAATTACCAATGAAAGCGACGGTTCTGGACAAGGAATCAACGAAGAGAAAAATTTTGAATGACTTGAACAAAATAAAATACTAGAAAAATATGAATCCTTTATTCAAAATGTACAGATAAAGCGATGTAAATAACAATATTGTCAAAAACGTAAAATTCACTATGTATAAGTCTGCAATTAACTGGTAACGGTACAGTAGCTGTTCTAATAATTGAAGGCAGTTTGAAGTTTGCTCAGGCCTTTTTTCATCTGTCGGCCAGTCGTAATTCCGTGACGCTGTTTCCATTTTTCGTACTCGATAGAGGCGCTCTGGGTTGAGGTCATCGACATTGTATCACTAAAAGAATGTTCTTAGCTGAAAATATTGCTATTTCTTACAAATGCTGCTGCCTTCTTCTGTCGAATTCCTGAAGAAGCTTTTCTTTGCTGGAAACGGGCGGTAGCGTCGAGGATTTTTTCAAAACTGAAGGGGGCATTGATTGAGCTTGAGAAATAGTTCTTGGGAGGGTTTGAGAGCTAGAACTCGTTGGTGGAACTGGAGCTGGAATCGACGGCGGAGTAAAAGCCTGTCGAGTTGGCTGACTTGCTGGTGGTTGATACGAATTGAAACTCAGTCCCTATTTTGTTGAAGATTTTTGAAAAAGACTACCAACTTACGAGAGGGTCGAAAACATTGATATTATGAAAAGCTGGTCTAAGAGGAGCGCAAGTTTTGCAAGCAGCACAGGTTGCACAGAGCTGCTGTTGTGGTTGTTGCTGCAGCTGCTGTTGTTGCTGTTGTTGTTGAATTTGCTGCCTTTGAAGTGCCTTTTGTTGTTGTACTCTCTGCTGTTCTTGTTGCTGTAGAAGTTGTTGCTGTTGAAGTTGTTGGAGCTTCTGCTGCTGTTGGAAAGCTCGGTAATCAGTGAAAGAAGGTTTTCTGATTGGAGCAGAGTACATTCTCGTCAGGCCGGCTTCGGAGTCGGAAGAAAACTAAAAAATCAAAATAAACGAAGAATTAAAAAAAATCGTACCGCTTCGTGATGATAGAATCCACCAGTTGGTAACGAGCCCGTAAAACTTGGCCTGGTGTAAAGCGGTGGCGGGGCTTGATTGAAAAACTGTCCATTAGAATGAGCTGGAGCACTTGAAGAAGACACGATTCGGGCAAATGACTGCCTCAGCAAGTTGTTGTCTGCTTGCCAAGAAAAGGGACTGTTGGGTTTTTTTACCAATTATAATCCGAAGGGATAAACATGAGGAAAGACTCTCATCTTGTAAATACTGTACAAAATAATCTTCTTGTTATCGCAACGTTTTTAAAACGAAGCTGAGTTGCTAGCGAAAAGTATTTTATGAAGAACTCGTTATATATGTTCGCGGTATGCGTTCCCTTCCGCCGATAAGGAAAAAACCCCTTCCTTTCTTCACCTTGATGATGCTGAGAAACGCTCCTTGAGAGGCCAAAAACACCAGGTTCGGAGCCAAATTGATACGGATCGGAGACTTGGGCGGGGTAAGTTCCATAGCCAAACGAGGGCTGCATTTTCTTGATTTGATTGAGCACTTCTCGCGGATCGCTCTCAGCCAGAAAGGCTCGGTGGTCCAGGTTCTTAGACAAAGGTGCATCAACAGCTCATGTTTTTTTGGTTCGGATTTGCATACTCAAGACAGTACACACCTGAGTATTTTAAAGATAAGTTTTTCTCCCCAACCTTTCTTGAAAAACAAGTCAAAGTCAAAGATAATGAATAGCGATACACAATTTCCGAATTTTTATCGACCTTTTCCCACCGCTACCTCGATGTCTAGTCGACAAACTTCGGAAAGCTGCTTTCAGATTATCGAATTCGAAAAGAATAGGAATTTTGCTTATTATGGGAATATTCAAGACACGTTTCTTTTTTTCGCGCTCGAGTAAAAATCGCGGACACTTGAGTCTAATCCAGTTTCACCCCGTAAATACGGCCATGGAGTGTGTAAAATTTCATGGTTCACGAAAAGCGCAATTCTAGACAAGAACAAAAAACGATTTTACGGAGATCTAAATCTTCAAACTTGCCACGTAGTTACGTTTTTCGTTGTTACATTCTAGCTCATTTTAGGATAAACACAAAGGCTGATGGACCCTTTCCGAAATCGACTTGGATCGATTCAGCGATTTCCAGCCAGTAGACACTTTCACCGGTCTATCTTCGAACCAGTTCGTTGTCTTCATCATCCTCGAAATATCGGCCACTGATTTTGAACGTTTCTTTCGTTCGTTATTGCTCATTTCTTTTGAACGGCCCCGAGATTGCTCAGTTTCGATGGAGCTGCCGAGTGAGTGCTGATCTTGACTCCCCGAGTGGAGAGACGTCTTTTTCAAGTTGCAAAAAAACTCGTTAGAAATATAGATATAAAATAGATATAAAAAAACGTCAAGAATCAAGACGTTGATTGAGCGGTTTTTGTAAAACAAGCGTTTTTGCTAAACCTTTCCTGATCAGAATTATGCTCGGAAGGAGGCTTCGCTGCGTCGAGGTCTGAATACATTTGCTCTAGCTTGCTTACCTTTTCCGAAGTCACCATCAGTCCAAATCCGTGCGGGCAATCAAAATACTAAAACATGATTGAATTTCAAATTTATAAATTTCTAGCGTTTCCGAATTCGAGGACCTTGAACTAGTCCACCACTTCTAAAAATAATCTTCTCTAAATATTTTTCAAGTTTTCGATAAACCCAAGTTGGGTCTCAAAATTCAAAATTTAAAATATCTATCCTGGCAATTTCTATGTTTTTTGACTTACTTGTCGACTTCCGAAGATTCCAGAGTTGTTTGTCAAAGGTTCGTCAAGTTGGACTCCGACGAAGACTTCGCCAAGGAGATCACGTGGTAGGTAGTCCTCTAGAATCGGTCCAATGTACTTGCAAAAGCCTGAAAAATTCAATTTAGGCTCCTTTTCTGGACCGTTTTATTGACTTTCTTGGAGGAAAAAAAACTTATTTAGGTCAAGTTAAAACAAAGAGTCAAGCTTGAGTCTCGTTACTGTCATTTCTTACTGACGTGTTTGGATGCAAAAGCGTATTTATAATCAGCACTTGTACGTGGCGCTAGAATTTTTCTCTCGCTTCGAAAAAAATGGGTATGTTTGAAAAAATGATGAAATTCTCTTCTGAGAGAGGACTCGCGGTGAAATTTATCTTTGTACGTCGAGAGGACGTTGGCCTTGGGCCACGTTGAATGGTGGATGTGCCACTTTTGGATGATGGCAGGCGGGAAAGGGATGAAGCGGGATATGAAAGGGCAAATATCCGAGAAATTTTTTCAGCCCCGGGATCAGCGAAGCATCGAGACTTTCGATAATCACTTGTGCCACTTTTTTTTATTCTGGATTAAAATTGAATTAGTGCAGGAAAACAGTAAAGCCCTTTTAAAAAACGGTCCATACGGCATCGTTAACACGATGTCCAACAAGCACCAAAACACCAGGATTATGTCCTTCGGTGCTTATTGTAAGGCGGAGTTTAGAATCTAAACCTCGTGGCAAGTTAAATTAATAAGTTTCTTCGGTGTTTTGGATTCAAATCTTATTTTGAAAATTATCCTCAAAGGTAAAAGGTTGCTACTTTCGAACGCAACTATTTAGAGTGGTTTTGGAGATAAGAGTTCATTAACTTTAGTTTACTCAAAATAAACGGATTATGCTGAGAAAAAACAAAATGAAGAAAAGGAATTACAATTCGGCTGAAGATTTGAGCCATTATGAACCTCTAGAATTTTAGAGGATGCCTGGGTTTGGCCCTAACCGTTAGGGTTAGGGTTACAAAAAAAATTGTCTCTTTCTTGGTTCAATTTATTGTCTCTATCATGAAATTTCAGAAGCGACATTCCATACGAGGAAAAAAGTAATTCAACGAGTTCTTGCTCAGGAATTCAAGGCGGAATTCTAGCTCACTCCAAATTCAAGGGAGACTCTCAAGCTCACGGCTAAGCGAAATTCCATTCATTTGCACAATTATGCTCCCGAGATTCATGGCTTTCAAACTTGAAACTCAACACTAAAGCTAAAGAAACTGCTTTTAAAATCGATCCTTCTATTAGAAGAGGAATTTTTTCAGTGTCGGAAGTACTCTCTTTTATGTTTTTAAAGAAATGTCAAAAGAAGGATTGGTTTAATATTTTTATTCTTATCGGCGATAAGGCGCGCAGCGGGAAGCGTAATCCGGTTGCAAGTGCTCACCGAATTTTTCGCAATTAGATGACCGAGCATCTTCTAAAGGAAGCGGCGCGAATTCGAGCGTTCTTTCGTACTTTGACCGTGAATTACTCGCTGCTCGTATGCAAGCATACGCTTGTCACCGTATTAGCTCGAATCTGGGACGAACATCATCCGATTTGAGATTATGAAATCCTTGAAATGCAGAAAAATGTCAGAAAAAATAAAATATTCGTCGATAATTATTAATTTTAATATCGAACCGTCAATTTTTCTTTCAACTAAAGAACTTTAGTTGACAATCTTGGACAAGCTTTGTTTTGAAAAATTTTTGCAATTATTGGAAAAATTAACACACCCTTCTAAGACGCCCCGTCTTTTGATTTTTACGATTTTATTTTTAATAGGTGGGTTTTCTAAAAAACAATCAGAGTCAACAATTTGACAAAATGAGCAGCAGATATAAAAGCAAAGAGTAATATCCACCAGTATCCGCATTTTTCTATTTAGATAATTTAAGAGGGCGAGATTATTTTGGTTTTCCCGATTTTTCGACTACAGTAAGAGCCACCCTTGGTTTACCAAACGATGAAGAATTATGTGAGGCTATGAAAGGTAAACTTTTTGAAAAGTTGCCGAAAGGATTGTTTCTTTTAGATATATATACATCCGGCCGGGAGTATCTAAAGATGTGCGATGATCTCGCTGATGACGATGATGGCATGGAAAGCTTGGACAATTGGCAGGAAGGTATCGACTACGTCTATCCCTCTTGCGATTTGGTAAGGCAAAAATAAAAAGGTTGAAAAGCAAGATTTCTTTTCGCTTTTTAGATTGTTTGCCCTCATATTCGCAAAACCCTCGAAGCAAGAAGCGGATGCAAAGAAAACCACCTTGGAAGCGTCACAGTATTCATATTGATGATCTTTTTCATGATGAAATAAAAGAATTTTCTCCCATGCATATATATTTGCATGAGAACAGTAAGCGTTAGAAAATCAAGTACCAAAATAATTCCATCAGCAAAAGTGACGCGCTTTCGGCCTCTAATTTATTTTTCCTCATATCAATAATTTTCTCGTTTGAATGCAACTCCAAGCTCATTTCAACAAGTGTTTATAATCCATTTTTTCAATAATCATCAATTCTTAAATTCTTACCTAGATATTTTCCCTTGACAAGAACTCGATCTCCAACTTGCAATAATTGACTCTTCTCGGAAATTCTCGGTGCGCTTTTGGATTTTCTGAAGGCTGGATTTTGGACATCGGCTCTCTTCGTCCTGAAATTTACGGGGCTTTAGTTAAGGTCATGTTGCAAGGTATCCACGTCTTGGGGCAAATCGCGAAGTCAAGGCTCGTTTGTACTTTCTTTCCGGACAGCTTGTTGCGGAGAAGGGTTTATGGGATTATGCGCGAATAAGGACTTATGCCTAGGCCTTTTTTCACTGTGCCGGAATGTGCCGAGTATCTTGAAAATAAACGATCTGCCCCGTTTGGAAAATAAATGAAAATGAAAAGTGTGATGACATTATGACAAGATCACTAAGCGATGATGAAAACAGGATAATTCTCGGTCGTTGCTGTTGAAAACAGTAATTTCAAGTATGAGTCAAATACCGGTAGCCGCAATGACTTTGGGAAAAATTCTCACCATGGCTCTTTTTTACGCATAGACGGTAAAAACCACAGATAACCATGAAAACGTAAAACATGGCTGCGTGAAATATTATCTGGCTAGGTAATTCTATGACAGAATTTATGTCTATGAATTGTTTGAATTTATTGGTGGTTCAAAAGTTTGAAATTCAATGATGATTTATGAAAAATGAGTTACAGAAAAAGCTCATTATTAGAACATCCCTGAATGGCGAATATGAAAGATGACTTTATCTACTTATGTTATTATAATTTGCACTACAGTAATTACTCAATCGGCTGCACTTGGGCCTGAATAAGATCAAAATTCTTGTCGATCGTTTCAAACATCTCTAGAATCCCACTTTCGCTGTAATCATCGTCGTAAGCCTCATCGGAATCTCCCTGACTCGAATTCAAGAACTTGCTTGAATTTTCCGCCGACTTCTCTCCTCGCTGGGAGGGGCGGAAAGTGAGCTGTTCGTACCTTGAGCGGCCGCGGCTTTGTTCAGAGCTGGAGCTGCTTTTGAAACTGCTTGGTGGAGAGTGGCCTTCACTTCCTGCGGTGGCATGGGCGTCTTCGTTGTGTTGAAGAGTTCGGGTGAGGGTTTTTAAACGCTCGAGGAGTTTTTCGTTGCGTTTTTGACTGAAAAAGGGTTGAGACGAGGATGAGAAAGATTGATACAGTATCAAAAAAAATAGTCTATTTAAAATAGGCCGCGCCTTAGTTTATTCTCGGTAAAATTTGAATTGAAAATGACACTTATCGATGTCTATCTCCTTAAGAAGCGTGTGCACGAGAGTTACAACAGTAAAATTCAGAAGTGACTGCTCTCAGGGTCAAATTTATGCCTCACTATTAAGCCCTCCTCTATGTAAACTTGTATCGTCTTGTCGGGTGGATTTTCGTGGATGCAAGGAAAATCTAAGTGGCCCTCGAAAGTACCCGCGTCCGACTAGCATGGCAGATTTGACGTTTTTTGGACACTGCCGCTCGACCCAGAAAAAAAGCGGATCAAAAGTTTAAATAAGTTCTTCTAGCAAGTTTTAGATAAACGTTTCTTTGGCGAATTCGGATCTCCTGTAAGCGGAAAATCGACTTCCAAAACAGATCGAAAAGAACGGTCTATCATGGTAAAATGGCGTTCCACGTAAAACTGGTGGGGATTAAGGGTGTGGCGCAGGGGCATCCAGGGGTTTAGACGGAAAATATAAGATGTTGGCGGTGAGTGGGGGAAAGTTTATGAGATAAACGGGACGATAATTAAGTTTATTCATACTTACAATACTTTTAAATGATTATTTGCAGAATGATCTATTGTCAAAAGACTATTAGCGCTTTAGCACACCTATTTTTGTTGAATCAAACTAATAGGGGTGGCAAATTATTTCTGAGTTTATCTCATTTTATAGATAAATATAGATAAAGTTCATTGAAGAATGTGTTACGTAGAAAGCCAAAAATTTTTGCACACGACATTTAATGCCATCAAGGTGGTAGGTCCTTAGCGGAGCCTCATCACAGCCTACCTAAGAAAACTGATTAGCAGCTCAAATCTCGCTCTAAGAGTCCACGATTATGGTAATGAAGTTTCACGAACGTCAGAGTAATTTCAGATGAACCGAGCCAACTGAGATTTTCACGGTCAAAGTCGACCGCCAATAATTTTCGATTTTGTCATTCATGGACTTCAGTTTCTGGTTGGATGATTTTATTAACCGGAAGGTTGTCCGACCTTGACTCAAAAATTTACACGAAATTATCATTTTCAATTGTCAATTGATCATTTTCGATTCTAAAGGCAGACTTTTAAGGCTTGGCTAACTCTTGCTACACCAAATATCAAGATAAAATAAGTATTTTAAATAACCCTTATCTAAAAATCCCTTCGACAAGATCATCAAAACCGCAAATTACCGGGAATAACCACGAATTTCAATCCTGACCATGATAATCCTTGTTTTGCAAAACACTTGTTTTGCAATTACACTTTGCAAAATTTTCATTATGATAATAATCTCAATGTCATCCCCCCAATTTTCTGATCAACTCACGCTTCTCACCCACGTTTGACCTATTTATTTAACCGTTTGAGAAATCACTTTTTGGTCAAAAATTGAGCCCCTAGAATTTCGAAGGCGCGAATTAGCCGCATTAAAAACAACTATTCACTGCTGTGAAAGTATTTTTAGATGATTGAACTTACTTGAAAGTGTCTAATTGCCCCGGTTTTACGAGTTGGGCACACTCGTCTTCACTCGGGCTCGAGTACAGCACCCCAGAATGTTCATATTCTGGTCTTGGCGCCATTTTTCAAACAAATCTCTCAAAAAAAAAAGTTGCAATTAATTCTTTGCCTGTTAGGTCACTCTTCTGTTAATCACGATTTTCTGCTTTTCTGTTCAAAAAATCGTCAAACTGTGCCAATGAAGGTTGAAAAAACGCCCTTTCGCGGAGATCAGGAGCGCGCACGATTAGCCGCTCGTGGCGCCACCTAGACCGCTACCCGCGCGCGCAATCGGTGGTGCCCTAGTGCTTGTGATTCCGCGGAGCAGGCCCGTTTCAAACTCAGCAAAACATCTTCCAATGAAAAGACACGAATACACGGTACAGAAAAGGAGGAGCATGCATTCCAAGGTGAAATTCGGCACGTCAAAAAACTTGGTTCAACTGGCAGTTTATTGACAGTAGCAATTTTTACGGACGCTGTAAGAAATTCCAGCTTCTTTGAATACCGCCTTTTCTTCGCGATTCTGCAAATGAATTCTGACTTTGAAATTTTTGTTAGTATCCCCATTCTTACTAAAGTAAAAGCACTGCGTAAAATTTAAAAGCCGCTTGCGGCTTCGAGAAAGAGAAGACGAAAAAGCCGCGCTTCGCGCGGCCTAGGTTTTCAATTTCTCGAAGCCGCAAGCGGCTTCTCGATTTTCGGCAGTTACAGTATTTTTTCCGTGGAAACAATGGGCGAAAATAAGTCGGTCTGAAATCAACACAGCGGTATTATACCAAGAAACTAACGGTGTAAGTCTCAGGTTTCTGTGGTATGTGACATTTTGTAAAAACGGTATTACGGAATGTTTGATCTGTATTTTATTGTAGACGTTAGTCTTTTGGCTTTTCCGTTGCCTCAACCGCAAGTTTGTCTTTCAAGTTCTTGAGCTACTGTTACTGTACTTTCTTTGTTGAAGTCTTTTAGTTTGATAAAGACTTGAGAAAATTGCGTGTTCCTGAAATTTTGGTACGATTAAGTGGCGCACTCGATTGTGAAAACGCTTCTTTGATGACAGCTCATAATCATAAAATAGAAAGGCGTCAAATCATCTCTTCATCCCCTTTTTGGGGCTATTTAAATTGCACTCCCGGAAACTGCGTAATAATTACTTCTTTTAGGCGTGAGAAAAAAGGGAATGAAAAGAGGACAAGTTCATTGGACGCGAAATTCTAGCGCTGGATTCACGAAACTCAAATATATAAAAACCGATGCCGTGTTAATTTACCAAACAGTCGCGTTGCAGCAGACCAGGGAATGACCGCAAGATGCTGATGCCACTTTTAGATTCACGTTTTCAATGGTCGAAAACACGATTCCGATGGTTAGCCGCAAAAATATGAGCTCAGGGTGGAGAGACAGCGGATTCCAAAAGCTTTGATGGAGCGATAAAGAAATTCCCAATAAGTTCGAATTATGTTCCTGGTTCCCGATTCCGTAAAAATGCGGCTCTGGAAAAAATCTCTCGAGAGTCGTGTTTTACAAACCAGTGATAAGGAAAGATGATTTTCCACGTTATCCTTTTGCTTTATACGTTCGTATACTAACTGATAAGAGGTGATAAGGGGCGCTGATTCTCGAGGAAAGACCCGTATGAACTTTTTTCATGAAAATAAATTTCTATTTTAATAAAGCGACAAAAGAACATGTTTTCTTCTCAAGCAGACATATCAATCTCATCTTCTTCGTCTTCGATAGAATTGTCTGGTTTCAAGCAGCGCATGATAATGAAAATAATCAAGACCTGTTTTTTGGTTCTACTGTTTGTCTATTTTGAAGCTTGGGGGAAGCTTGTAGAACCCGTTCCAAAAAGAACAATCCGCCCAAAACACCACCAACAATAATCCCGACGTTGACATCTTCAGATTCTTTCGTCGTCGTCGTGGTCGTAGTTGTGGTTGAACTTGAAGAACCATTATCTGGATTATTCGGATCTGTGCCCGGATTGGATGGGTCTTTCGTTGATGTGCTCTTTGTGGTCGATTCTGATTTAGAGTTCCTTCTTTTAATTATTTCCTTTCTGTCTATTTGTCAATCAAGATCAATTCTTTGAGCAAAACGCACTTCCCCAAAGCTTAGCTATCAATGTGTACAACAGTGCGATAACGTTTCCGGTGATTGCGCAGACTAATTAAATTTACATTTTGAACTCATTCCTGTAGGTCCATCAGTTCCTTCCGGGTTGTCAGTTACTCCTGGACCTTGGGTACTGGAGCTTTCAGTAGGGGGACCAGTGTATTTTGTCGATGTTGTCGTTGTTGTTTTGGTGGATGTTGTTGTAGTAGTAGTCGTTGTCGGGAAAATAATAAGGCAATCATCGTCCAACATTTTCCAGTCTGGGTCGGAAACGCAAACAAACCCATGGCTAGTTCCAAGTTGTCCGTTTTGATCACTACTGCAAGCAGTTGTTTCCCAGTTTTTAACGCCTTCGGTATCTGGATAATGAATTCTCATGACAGCACAATGCTCTGTGCGCGAATTCGCATCTGGTGGCTGAAAAAGATAAGGTGGCATCGTTTGATTTAACGAAGTTGTAAATTACTGTTTTCCAAAAAGAAACACCATCATTATCAGAAGCATCATCAATTGGACAATATCCTTCCACATAATCATCATAATTGCCTGAAACGAAAATTCGAAGTGAGAATCTCATTACCGTGTTTAAAAGTGTTTAGCGGTTGCTACGTAGACCAACAAGTGTTTATAAAAGCACGAGCGGACTATTTGCCATCCCATGCTTTTCAGATACTCGAGGGAGCTGTTTGCGGCGGTGTCAAAAATGCGGTAGATGATTTAGATCGTCTTGATCTAAAATGACCAGGCTTACGTACTTGGAAGCTCGAACCATGATTTCCACTGAAAGTCTTTTGTTTTTTGATCTCTTTTGAGGCCTCACGAACTCTTCTGTCGTCTTATATTTTGAGAAAAAGTCGCCCTTTCCTTTCCATGCTCAGCCAAAAGTTACTGTGCATAGCTGCTCCGGTGCCCGTTTCGTTAATCATCTCCTCCAATTTCTCAGTCACGTCTTCCTGGTGATCCCTACTGTGAATAACTAACGACTTAAAATCGAGTTCAAATCAATTAGACACAGCAAAATGACCACCCGTTTAATTCCCTCATATAAACATAAGAAATCCTTTATCATTATTGAAGCTTAAAACAAAAATAAATACCAAACCCTTCCGTAATGATCGACAAAATATGAGAACTCGTTCCTGAAGCCCATGAGATTGGCAAAAGTTAAAAGTATCATTGAAACTTTTGTGCGCCGAGGAATTTTCAGAAGGGAGGAAACCATAGTGAGTTATTGTCCTGCCTGAACAATAAATAAATAATTATTATCGGTACTTCCGTGTTAACCTTTGATTTCGAACTCCCACTGACTTTGGCATGTTTCGACTTTTCCATCTTGTCTCAAATTATCCGTCGGAAGAAAACAAGCTGGCTCGCATGTTACGACCGCTGTCTTAGTGCTCAATTATATAATTAAAAATAATCATTTACATTTATCAAACAGCGTTCAAAATATTGATACTCTTTCGAATCGAGAAATGATTGGTTTTACTCATATTTTGAACTTGCTCGAGATCATCTGAGAATTCAATAAAGCTCACTAAAGAGCCATAATCCCTCTTGGTCAACAAAACACGAGCCTATTTTGATTCTAGCACTAATTCCTGTAGAAGCGACGAGCGCGAGGAGCTTTTTCATCAAGAACGCGACCGGATGCTCGTTTCTCTGAGTTTCTTCCTTTAACAAGTTGAGACATTGTGCATTTCTATCGCGACAGTAGTACTTTTATTTGCAATCTGTCAAGAAGGCCAAACAACGAATTTCAGATCGTTTTTATCGAAAAGCTGCTTTTCAAAGCTTTGAAATGAAACTGGTTGAAGTTTCTGATGTTTTTATCGATTTCTGATGATAGTTTTGATATTTTATATTTGATTGACCAATCGTAATATTGCGCCAACATTGTTAATCGTTGGAAAATAGAAGTAATTAACGAGTTGTATGTTGGAAAATGCTGACGAGCTTTCAAGTTGGAACCATAAACTTGGAAAAGGTCCTCGAGTTAATAATTATTGATCCTAACGGTACTACGACCGGTAGAATGAAGAAAACTAGTTTTAATAAAATGTCAATAAATTATAACTCACTCCATTTTTTTCAGAATTACGTATTTTAGAATATCTGTTTTGATGTCAAATAAAGCGGGCAATAACTAGGCCATTCTTACTTTAGACTCTAAAGTTTAGAGATTCTTAAATGAAAGTAAAATGAGTTTTTATGTTGCGCAAACTAAATTAGGGTCTGAATTTTTCGGGTGACCTTTCGGGTTGATTTGCTTGTCCAAGAGCATTCTTGAAACTAGGTCGGTTATGGAGAAAAAGCGAGAAAAACGTAAGACTCTTTAGAAATATTCAAGAGGGTCCTTTTTAATAAGAGCCTGAACATCCCTTCTGTCTAACTTTTCATCGTTGTTAGAATTAGTTTTTCATAATAATTTATTACATTGGCTTTTAAAAGAGTCCAGTTTTGGGACAGATGTTCTAGTAGTTGGGCCACTACGTTCTGAGCCAATTTCCAAGCACAGAAATATTTTCATAAAACAACTCACTACAGTTTAATTTCAAGCATTTTTCAGCTACCAAGATTGAAAATAATGAATTTATTGCATCGTTAAACTGTAATCTTTTGATCTCAATCTTGACGTTGAACTTCGAAGTTGTGTTTGCTTTCCTACCATTTTTCTGTTCTTCAACTCTGAGAATATTCACAAAGACACAAGCAAGTGCTGTCAAAAAGAAGAATCAACATAAATGCTTCGCAAATTGAATTTCAGGGGTTAGTTTGGTTCTTTCTTTTCTTGCTTGTTTTGGGTTGAAATAAGTTTAACTTATTTGATTAGTATTTACAAGGAAAAAGAAACCTGGAATCGCTTCTGCCACGTCTGCACACTTGAACAAAGACTTCTTAGTTCTTCCAATCTTATTACTAATAAGTTATTAGCATCAATGCCATTTCCTAGAGAAGAACTTTAGGAAAGATAAATTAGCTTATGCTCAGTCTAATCGCCAGAAAAAGTGACGTGAGTTCTGTCAGAAGCTAACAGTAGTTTCGATAAAGACAACAACTGCGCAAATAAAATTATCGGAATATCTGAAACTTCGAATTTCACGAATAAGATGCGTGAAAAAAGAAAAAGTGATTGATGACTTTCTTCGGAGAGGAAACGACTTTTTGGGCGAAGAAATTGGACTCTGTTTAGCGTCAGTGATCCAGAGATTTAGTGGAACAGATCATCGCATGGCCACCTCGGCGGGGGTTTATCGATTTACGTTATCACATATGCGTCGTGTCCTTCAGACCTGCCAAATGTTTTCTCCTGATGCACTTACTGTTTTTTTCTCAAAGCTTTTATTGAAAACCCCATTTTCAAATTTTCATACCAAAAAAATGGCCAAAAAAGGCAACGGGTTAAAATATTTTTAGCCCAAAATATCACGTGATATGAAAACTGTGTCAGAATCATTTTGTATATTGACCCTTTTTTTGGCGATCCTCGTGATGAAAATCACTTGAGCCGATAAAATGATAAATGCATCTCGAGGAGGGGTTAACACATGTCAGCCTGAGAAACAAGCCTGAAGTTCATTTATTTCAATCGTCAGAAGTTTCGAGCGCTTTCTGACGAACACCCGTCTCTGCTTGTGATTTATCGACCCATCCTTCTGCGACAAATCAAATTTATTCAATAATACTGTGCTTTACTACTGTAGCTTTTTCGACTTGAGCTTCAGTAAGAAATTGGTCGACTCGATCTTTTAGAACCCTGACTCAGGTTTTCTACACATGCTGCCGAACCGAGTTTATAGACGATTTTTTTGCGTTTTTTGGCAATTTTGAGCCGAAACGCAAATTCGCGCAAAATAATTTTTTGACAGTGGTAAGCTCGTTCACATCCTGGTAGTGTTGTCAGCTGTCAGCGGCAGGGCTCTGGGAGCGGAGGTGCTCCCATCTGACCCAAGTGATTTTTGGATGATCGATCTGCTCTCCTGGAAATCTCGAATAGGTGTACCATAAGTTTATACACTCGTCGAGGATTTTTACTGCCGCCGCCCGGCAACACTAAAAGTCCGGGGATTAAGCTCTCGGAATCGCTCTTCTTCCAGTTTTTCATTCAAGAGAACGGCTCGGGTGAGCGAGAATCTATGTTTGTATTGTTTTTTTTCCCTGTTACTCCCTGTTCTCGAGTAGTAGCGCGCTAACTGTAATCTCTTCACACTTTTAATTGAACTGTTCGCAAGATTCTTCAATTGCCCTTTTAGGCCTTTTAAAAATTTCAACACGGGAGCGACAGTTTATCAAAAAAGAGGGACTCAAATGCAGACTTTTTAAAAGCAGAGAAAAAAAACGGAAAATAAGAAAGAGACTTTATTTCAAAGAAGAAAAAACTAAAAAAAGAAAACTTTCGAAAAAGGCTGAAATGTTAATAGAATTCTTTTTGCTCTGGTCATCAGGAAAGGGAAAATCACGCAATGAAAAAAAAGATAACTTCTTTTTTGGATCCAATTATCCTTCAAAAGTCAAATCCGCCAAAAGAAAACTATCCGCGGATTCCTTCACATCACCTGTGGTTCTTTTAGAAACGGTCGATCAAGGTACTTTTTTAAAATCTTATAAAAAAATAGTTTCGATTGAATTGAATAAATTTTAAATTCTATCATTTTGGTCCTTTGAAACATGGCGGTTTCTAGGGCAAATCGAATATAAGCATTTTTATTCGATCAATTATCAAGAAGATGCAGAAAGTGCCAGGAGAAATTGCCGCGCTGGAAGCTTTTCAAAGCGGAAGAAGTAAGTTTGAAAAGTGCCTAGTTAGGAGAATTAGACGAATTAATCAATTGTACTTCAAGTTGCGTCAATTACAGTGTAGCTTTAATTTGATTATCGAAGAATCTAGATTTTTTGGACTAAACCAATTTTTAGAGGTGAATTTCTGGATGACCAATAAGATTGCTGTATTAGGCCTACCGGCCAATCAAAACTATTTCCATAAAAATCTGTTCCAAAAATTGGTTCTACCCGATTTTTTAGGTCAAATCCCTTTTTTTATGAAAAGCGCGAAAATTAAAATTCATGAGTTTTCGCGAAAAACATTATTTACTTGTGTTTTTCACGTAACTTTAATTTCCCCGCCTGAAATTCCAAACTGCTGAAATCAAAATTCCTCTGCCCCAACACCTAACTAAAAATAAAGACTTACATGCATTTCGTCAGGGTTTAAAAATAAACCCCGCCGTGTGTGAGTGAGTGAGGGCCGAACTTGACCTTTTGCGGAAATGGAATGGGGCGCGATAAATTGAGCATTTTTGTTGTTTAGGTTTTTGATTAAAAGTTCGTCAATCTGGGCTTGATGAATTCACGAATTTGAACTTTCATTGATTCTTCTTTCAGACCGCAGCGAGGAGCCAGGACGAGGAGGGCGATTAAACCGCAGAAAAATGACGTGAGGAATCGGGACCTAGATCTTTTCACTAGATGAATTTGGTAAAATTGTTGTTGACGGAAACGCTATCTAATGAGTAGGAAATGAAGCTAATTATTTGGTTTGGTCAGTTATTACGTTCATTGAAAACAATAAACAGAACACTAAAAGAATTTCCTTATGGTCTTTGAAAATCTAGTCCAAATCCCGAAATACAGTGTCACAACTCAAGGCCTGCATTTTTATCACAAGATCGATCTGAAGGAGCTTACATGCACTTGTAACGGTAAACACCCTGACGTGGCAGAAAGCCTCTTGACCATCTGGTTTCAATGTCTTTCCCAAAATATTTTCTTTACATCTCTAATCATCCAGTGAAGAAAAAATGGCCCTTCTTCAAAAAAGAGTGTCACTTGATACTGGTCATGAAACTATCCAGCTAATACTGTTTTTATCAAAACTAGAACAGTTCTCCATTATTTTAGCAAAAAGAAAGGATCTACTTTTTCTAAGTAGCTGCAATCGATAGAAACAAGGCATTCTAGCAGCTTAGCATTTTAGATGGAGATAACTGTTAGCACTAGACAATTATTTACGCAATATTGATTGTTGTTGACCTAAACGAAGCTTGATTACGATATAATCGTGTTGCTAAATTACGGAAGCATAACTTGCGAACACGTGATTGACCAAATTAACGATGATTAACGCTAATATTGAATAACAATAAAGCATGAACCTTTCCAAAAGTACCGTAATCTTGAGAAACCACGTTTTATCAACGATCAATTTTGTTATCGTCGAAAGTTGATGGCGCATAACTCAGAGTTGATGCTTATCTCTTTAATGGAGCACCGAGAGTTGAATTTACCGTTCATTTTCAAGGAGAAAGAGCGAGTCTAAAATTATTGCTTTAGAAGAAATTTCAAAACTTGAACGCAAGATCGACCGCTTAACGAAACTTGTGCGGCGACTCAAAGACAAGGTACCTTGCATTTTCTTCAAGCTTTTCATTAAACGCCTCTTTTAGCCAAAGAATAATAAGCTTCAAAGTTCAAAAGAACCCTTGCAAATCCCGGAGATCGCGCCAGTCACAGAGAAGCCTCCTGTGGTAACGACTACAGAAGAAGTTAAAATAGTCAAATGTCCAAATGATTGCTCTGGAAATGGGAAATGCGATGAAAAAACAGGACTGTGTTCTTGCGATGAAAGTTGGCTGGGAAAAGATTGTGCGGACAAAATCTGGTAATAATTTAAAATCGGCCTAAAATCAGAAAGAAGGACTTTTTCTTCTTAATTGAACTCTAAATAAGGCCATTATTATGTCAATTTTTAACGAGTTTTAGCAAATTAAAGCGTAAATATCGTCATGTTAAAAAATACATAAGTTATTAATTTTTATCAAAAATGATCTAATTTTTATAGAAAATTATATTCTTAGATATTCAGGATTTCTAAATCACACTTTTCTTTAGACATTCAACTTGCTTTATTTCATCTTGGAAACCAAAAGCAATTAGCATAATTGTCTAATTAAAGCTTCTAGCCCTAAAAACTGCAATAATCAAGGCGAATGCGTCGATGGCGCATGCAAATGTCACCAAAAAAGCGACGGGCGATTCTGGACTGGGCCCGCGTGCGAGACATTAGCGTGCTTTGACGACTGTAATGGGCGGGGAAGCTGCTTGAATGGAGTTTGCGACTGCGATTTGCCCTGGTTTGGCAAAGACTGTTCCGAAAGAAAGTGCTTGAAGCCTTGCCAAAATGGCTTTTGCGTCGATGGAACATGCAAGTGCGCGAAAGGATTTACGGGAATCGACTGCTCGGAAAAGACCTGCCCGAATAATTGCTCCAAACACGGCACGTAAGTGACGCTCATAAACATAACCGGACTAAACTTCCTCCGTTTTAGACATTTCTTTTCTCATAAACATGAAATCAATCGATATTTAGATGCAAAAATGGAGTATGCCAGTGTCGAAATATCTGGAAAGGGAAGGATTGCTCGATTAGGACTTGTGCTATTGGATCTTTAGCGAAAGGTGAGCCCGCAAAGTTGTGCTTTGGCCATGGCGAGTGCGACGAAAAAACTGGCACTTGCAATTGTTGGAATCAATTCACCGGCTTCAACTGCGCGAGAAAAAAGTGCATTCCGACTTGTACCGGTAAATAAAAATCACGGTGAAAGCAAAAACTGATTTTTTCTAAAAAAACAAGGAAATCGAATTTGCAATGGAAGGACGGGCCGGTGTCTTTGCCGACGGAATTGGCACGGAGAGGATTGCAACGTGCCGCGATGCCCAAACAACTGCAACAATGGCAACGGAAGGTGTAATCCGAAGACGGGCACTTGCACCTGTAAACCAAACTGGACAGGAGACGACTGCAGCATTCCTGCTTGCAACAAGGAATGCCAACATGAGTGTAAGTGCGACGCAGGCTACTGTCTCAGCATTGGACCAATTTTCATAATTGATTATTATTATCGATAGCTAAGTACTACCGTATTAGAAATCGTAGGTCAAGTCGTGCCCCTCCCTTCGGATCAACAGTCGGAAGCAAACGACTACTGTTTCGACTTAAAACTGTCAACTCAATTACTACTTTCAGCGAAGAGTTTTGGTAAAACTTAACCTTCCCACCCCAAGTTTCGCTCATTTCAAAACAGCGGATTAGTCTGTTTATGAGCATGTTCTATTCAAAGCTCGGGTCATTTCCGATCCGGCTCCGGTGTAAAGTTTAATGGTGATGTCTAATTAAGCGCTGGATAAATAGCACTTAGCCGTAATGGCTCTTCTAATTGGGCTTATCAGCGGCTCAGCGGGGAACGCGTGACTCGGCTCATTTATCAAAAAATAGTATTTACTCATCGTATTTTTTCCGGAGAGACGTTCGGATTTCAAATTATGATTTAGGGTACAGTTACTACGTGTCTTTTTGAATTTAAAACTCTTATGAAGGTGTTGACCGCAAAATAAGCGCGCCAATCCCTGCAGGTTAACTTTGAGCTGATGATGTCTTCATTGACAGACGCGATGATTTTCCCTACGGCTTGATTAATTAGTAGCTCTCTGAAACGAGAGTACTGAAAATAAGGGGAACGCACGCTGATGTTTGACATAAAGAACGCGGATTTTAGAAACACGTGACCCCCCTTAGCGCATATCCGGACATTCTACCGAGATATGAACATTCGAGCGTTTCCTGAAGGGGGCTAAATACAACCTTTTGCATAATAAATAGCGCGTCTTATAAATGATAAGTTATGGTAATGTCAGTCTGTAGATCATAAACACCTCTTTCTACTATGACGCGCTTTTTTTAAGGTGGTGGAAGTTTTCTAGCCCACTTCCGCCATACCGACCCTGGAACACCATACCTTTTCTGAATCAGCAGAAAATTTCAAGAATTTTGACCCATTAAAATTCTAGAAATCTTCACTTCCGGTCGATTCTAGAGCCGGAAGTCATCGAAATTCGGGAGTATGGGCAACTTGTGGCCTATCAAATTGATTCTCAGAAGATTCTCTATCATCTAAGAGAAGAATCAATCCCATCCACGGCAGTGTTGGAAAAAACCCGCCCGCGAACCCCGCGGGGGCCACGGGCGGGGGCCACGGGCGCCCGCGCCCCCCGTACCCGCAAGAAATCTCGGATTTGGCCCCCGCGCCCGCCCGCGCCCGTAGAAAATTTTTCATCTGGCCCCCGCGCCCTCCCGCGCCCGTGCAATATTTTTTTCGCGCCCGCGGGCGCCCGGGGCTCACTATAAATTGAATTTTGCATATTTCTTCTCTTGGGATTTCACCGGTCTTTTCGACCACAAAGTTCTTTGAAAGGATAGATTTGGCAAAATCGGCATTGGAAGAAGTCATCAGAAAAACGAATTTCTTCCTTCTTCCCATTTCCAGAAGCCAGTTTTTGGTTTCTTTCGAACATGGTCGGATGAAATAATCGGGCTCTTTCTTGAGGCGAGGGAAGAAAGAGCCACGATCGACTTGAAACGCGTATGGTTCGTAACTGTACTCGAACGAGTTGAAGATGTCATCTTTGATCGTTTAATTTGGTTTAATTGGGTTTGATCGCTTCCGTATGCAAAGCTGAACATGTAACAGCTGTTTAAGTAAAGGAAGCAGATAATTTGTAGATTTTTGGTACTGATGTTTATCACTTGAAGGTATTAAAACGCCCCACCGAGTAAAAATCAACAGCTGAATCACATGTTGCGCCCTCTTTTGCCCAAAAACTGCATATAATCACTTCTTGATTTTGATTTTCATAAAAAAAAAATCATCTAAACAAATTTCAAAAAAAATGTCTGACTACGTTCCAATTTTCAAAATGCCCGCTGACAAAGAGCTTCGCTACTGTAAGCTTTGCTTTTGGGCGGGAACTCGAAAAAGCCACTTGAGACATCTGCGAACCGACCATTCTGAGCTTTTCCTCGACGGAAATCGGCCGCGATCTTCTGAGTTCTGCTCTGCTTCAGAACCAACTGAAGAGCGAACTTACGACATTTCCATCGAGCATTTCATCATCAAAGAAGACAATCAAGGAGGAAAGCAGCTTTGGGCAAGAATCAAATGGAACCTGAACAACAACAAACGAACACGATTTCAACTCTCCTGGGCAAAAGGATACGTTTTCTTCGACAACGCCGATTTGGAAGAAACCATCAAGCGCACTCTTCAGAAACAATATACGAAATGCGGCGCCGAAAAAGCCAAGGAAATTTACGATAAAATGAAAACTGTCGCCACCACCCACGAGTTTTCGAATTGTGCTATCTGTTTCGAGAGAATCGACATCGACGACCTCTGCATCTTCCTGACCACTGCTGAAACGACCTGTAGCGATAAAGTCATCCATGGAATCCACAAAAACTGCCGAAACACCGATATCGCTACTGACTTCGTCGAGTGCCCGCATTGCAGACAGAAAGGCTACTTCTATCCCTTCCTCAACCCTGGAACTGCCGACAACAAGCAAGTACCCGGTGACAACGTGATCATCCTCGACGACACTTTCGACGATATGCCACCTCTTTCTCCTTTGTAATCATTACCAATTTCCACAAGTTTACTTTTGCTGTAATCGTAATCATTAAACTCAATAAATAGAATTGTTAATAACTATTGTTGTTCCTAGCACTTTATTTTGAAAAATACTGGCCTCTGATTGGCTAAAAACTAAATTTGAAATATTTAAAAGATAAAAGGGGGTCAAGGGTAGTTTTTCGAGGGGAATTTTTTTAGGCATTTTATTTTGAGAAATGCCGGCCTCTGATTGGCTGAAAACTTAATTTGAGATATTTAAAAGATAAAAGGGGGTGATGGGTAGTTTTCGAGGGGAATTTTTCAGGCACTGTATTTTGAAAAATACTGGCCTCTGATTGGCTGAAACTAAATTTGAGATATTTGAGAGATAAGAGGGGTTATGGGTAGTTTTTCGAGGGGAATTTTTAGGCACTTTATTTTGAGAAATGCCGGCCTCTGATTGGCTGAAAACTAAATTTGAGATATTTAAAAGATAAAAGGGGGTGATGGGTAGTTTTTCGAGGGGAATTTTTCAGGCACTTTATTTTGAAAAATACTGGCCTCTGATTGGCTGAAAACTAAATTTGAAATATTTAAAAGATAAAAGGGGGTCAAGGGTAGTTTTTCGAGGAAAATTTTTTTAGGCATTTTATTTTGAGAAATGCCGGCCTATGATTGGCTGAAAACTAAATTTGAGATATTTCAGAATTTCAGAAAGGCCTGATCTGTCAGGTACTTTCTGAATGGAATCTCGAGCTTCCGCGCAAATTTTTTTCGAAAATTTTTCCAGGATCCGAATTCTAGAAAAAATGCGCGGGGGCTCGAGCTTCCTTTCAGAAAGGCCTGATCTGTCAGGTAATTTTTGAACTCAAGCTGCCACTTCATCAGCGTAATTATGATCATGGAGCCTGAGAGGCGCATGTGAAGTATACTTTTTTACCAACTCTGTCGGAACCTGAGATTCCAAAATAGAAAGATTTATTTCAAGCCACTCATGAATCATGACTTTCTTCTCGAATGTTGAGCCATTGACGCAATTGAACCGATAAGGGACACTCACACCCCTGTTCAACCGATGCGCCCGGATCATTCCTCAGAAACACATTTTTCGATTTCTCAGAAGCATCTTTTCTTGTTTTTGTCAAGATGGATGGACAGCCTGAGAGAAAAAGAAAGAGAGATGAGAATACTGAGAGCGACGAAGTAAAAGGAGAGATGCGCAAAATTTTATCAAGTTCTTCTAGTTGAATTTTATTTGTCATTTTCAAAAAGAAAAGAAGGTGGTTGAGTTGGTTGCGCGATGCCAAGAGAAAGGTTTCACAATTGTCGGCTTTTCCTACGTTATGGAAGAAGGAGTGCGCAAAATCGCCTGTCGAGGACGCTGCACCGGTCGAAAAAGGGCTTTGGCTAATCTCAACAAGGATGGAACTGCTAAAATAGACAAACGTAAGTGCGCATTTTTTTTCGACCGGGTCTACGGCCTCTTACCCAAAAATGGGTAGATGACTACGGCAAGCGATACTTCTCCTTGGATTCAGGAAAGGATAATTGCGCTTTTTTTTGTCAATTTTTGGAAGTGCGCATTTTTTTCCTTTAAAGATTACAAGGAGGAGTTTGTTGCTTTCTGCAAAAAGGCAAAGAAAAGAAGATTCACCCATGAGCAGTTGATGAAGCTTGGCCGTGATCCATCCGATCCTCGATCAATTCAAGATTACTTCTATTCAAAGAAGATGACCCCTGCCGAGAAAAAATTGTACGACGAACTGATCCCCGGAAATCATGACTCGATGCCTATCTTGAAGAGTACGAACGAGATTCGCTGGGCTTATTGCGGGGAGCGCTACAGTGCTGTTCACATCTGGGAGACGGAGCTGACCGCGATGAAGGATAAAGGAAGGATTAAATCGTTTTAAGTTTGATTTTAAATTCATTAAATTATTCCTTTTCAAGAGCACGAGATGAATTATCTGGTCGAGGACGTAGAGTATCCGAATTTCGGTTACGTAAAGGCTGGGTTTAAAAACTGACTGTACAATTAAACAATTGGCAATCATAAACCTTAAAAAGTCAATGGCTGTGTGCTCTCAGATAATCATGAAAAACTTGCGCAATATGGAGAACCAGGACGCGCGTCAGCCTGACGTCTTCCCTTGCCTTGAAAGAATCATCAAGGACATTGTCAAAGCGCTGTACGATAAACAATTGTGTCGCTTTACAGATGACCAGAGCAAGGTAATTAAAATTGCGCGCATTATTTTTCTTTAGCTAAAAAATGCGCACTTGCATTGTTATTTAAAAAAAACGGCCAGACAATTCTTCGCTCAAAAAGATTGCGCGCTTTACTTTTGCTTCGCTTTCGCTTTCGCTTCGCTTCGCTTCGCTTCGCTTTCGCTTCGCTTCGCTTTCGCTTTTAATCTTTGATTCGCGTTTCTTTCTTTGCCTTTCGATTAAAGCTGCAATACAGACTTTCAAACTAAATTAAATATTTAGAAAACCTACAAGAAAGTGAGCCGGGCACTTCTCGCAAAGATGCTGAATGCCTTCTTCGGTGGATTTTGCGATTCAAATGGTCTAATTCATGAAAACAGCAAAGATACGACTCGAACCACCAATTGCGTGAAAGCTGCCATTTACGTCTCAGTTCCCTACAAAAACTGCGATCTTGCTCGTATAATTCGCTTCATGGAGAAATTTCCAAAAGACAGCTTTCTCTCAGAAAACGCCAAACATCTGCGAAATGTCACTTTTGACTGGAAAAAGATGCGCGGAAATTTATTTCGGATGCAGTTGAACGAATGCACCAGAATGAACCAGCTGAAGCTCCTCAAGATGCTGAAGAAACTGAAAATCAAAATCAGGTTTAGTCTGCGCATTTTTTCAGAACTAATTTAATATAGCAAACTGAGCCAGATTGCAGCTCGGATGAAGAGTTCGATTTCAAGAAGAACACTTCAAGAGTCGCCAAGATTACGATCCAGGATCCTGACATTTTTGATGAAATGAATAGATATGAAGACTTGACCGAGGACCAATGGAAAGCCATCTGGAAAGGAAAAGTTGTCGACGGACCCAAGCACCCGCATTTCACTTCAAAGACTTGCGCACTTTTTTGGCAAGATTCAGCGGTCGTTCGCCAGTTCCCAAAACTGTCCAAAATTGCGATCAAGGTAAATCTTATAAAAAATATCACTTAATAAGTTTTATGATGAAGCTCGTTTCTGCAAGAGCAACAAGCTGCGAAGCCGAGCGCGAATTCGCCAGAGGAAGCGAATACACACGAAACAGCAAGCGAAACCGAATCAAAGCAGACACGATTTTGAAGCTTCGACAATTCGCCAAGCATGAAGAAATGGAGAGGGCGATTAAAAAAATGACTGAAAACTAGAACTGTGAAATTGATAGTTGATTGGAAATAAAACGAGTGAATAAGCGCTTTATTTGTACCATTACTTAACTCAGCAGAAAAGCATTCATATAAATTGATAAGTTTTTAGGAAAAAATTGCGGACTCCCTGGGCGCCCGGGGACCCCGCGGGGCCTACGGGCGCGAGGGCTGCGGGCGCCCTCGGCCCCATGGGCGCTTACGGGCGCGAGGGCTTGCGGGGCCCCCGCCCGCGCCCGCCCGCACCCGCGCAAAATTTTGAAATCGGCCCCCGCGCCCGCCCGCACCCGCGCAAAATTTTGAAATCGGCCCCCGCGCCCGCCCGCACCCGCGCAAAATTTTGAAATCGGCCCCCGCGCCCGCCCGCGCCCGTGGGAAATGTTGCGGGTTTTCCAACACTGATCCACGGTCAAATCAACCGCTAAAAACTGAAAAAAAATTCATAAATTTTTGCTTTTTTCGTAGTTTTGGCGGTCGGTTTGACCGCGGTCGGATAAGTTTCTTTGAATAAATCGATAATAAGATGATTCAGAATCTTCTGAGCATCAATTTGATGGGTCACACTTTATAAATATTCGAAAATTTCGTCAACTTCCGGCTCTAGAATCGACCGGAAGTGGAGATTTCTAGAATTTTAATGGGTCAAAGTGCGTAAAATTTTCTGCTGATTCAGAAAAGATATGGTGTTCCAGGGTTGGTATGGCGGAAGTGGGCTAGAAAACTTCCACCACCTTAAAAAAAGCGCGTCTATAGTTCTCTATCCATGAAATAAAGAAAAACCAGATAATCAATCCCATGCAGCCTACACGATACTAGTAATTTTGTGCTGTTTTTCTCGTGTCTATTCGTTCATTAAAAATCTATGTAAATTATAATCATTTCAACTATTATGGTGTCGATTCAAGCAAAATCTGAAATCAACGTGAGCACAGATTCCACCAGATAACCTGACATAAAGTTATTTCCTGAATATAGCTTATGCAAAAAGCGATCATCCTCAGAGCACCCTGCCGCTTCTAACTACTCCTTAAATTCACGAGAAAGTAGTTCAACGTGGGCATTTAAAAATCCCGAAAAATTCCCGCTCCAAAAGGGGCCACCGAAATTCCACCCTCGAAACCACGTTCTAGAATTTACTTAAGCCTTTATTTCAGCGATCTGCATTGGCGACACCTGCGTTTGCGGCAACGGCTGGACTGGAGAATTCTGTGAGAAGGTGGCAAAGGCGACGAATGTGAATGTAACGCTCAACAGTCCAGATTCTTTCACGATCAAGTGGGAATCTCCAGCGCCAGAAGTAAATACTGGAGCAGAAATCAACTGCGTTCCTGATTCTGAAGGATCGATTACAGTGTATAAAACAGTTGGGCCGAATCAAACCGCGATTACGATTAATGATCTGGAAGAGGGTATGTCACTTCGTAATCTTTATTATCGTGACATCGCGGTCGTTCTCTAGGTACCACTTATACGATCAACTTGTATATGAAAATCGGCGATCTTGTATCTCCCCGACGTCACGCAGCATCACGACAGGGATCCAGCCTCCACGGGTACTTAGTAGTTATCAAGGACATCGGAGCGTATGCATAACCCGTACTTATTTATCGCTTATCAGAAAATGTCGATTTTCCGATTCGTGAAATAAAGACGTCTCAAGTCCGTGCAGCGAAACTTTTGTCAAGTCCTCGCTAAAATCATATTTCAGAACATCAAAGCGACGCAAATTTTCTCCGACAAAGTCTCGATCAGATGGGAGTCTCCTGAAGGCAAAGTCGACAAGTTCAAGCTCATCTGCTCCTGCTCCGGTGGCGGATCTGAATACGAGTTTAAAAACGACTACTTTACGCATAAAATGACGAATCTCGCTCCTGACACAGAATACAACATCACAATGTGGTCCGAAACCAACAACGGGAAGCAATCGCGGAGGGAGACGCTCAGATTCAAGGATCGTTGGATTACAGTTTTTTTGCATAAAATTTCAACTTTGACCCAGTTCATTTTAAATTTTGAGAACACAAAACATCCAAACGGGCAGACGCTAAAGCAAACCTCGAAGCTAAACACGCGATCATACGTGCCACACCAAGCGCAAGCCCAAGTTGTGGCCGACTTGTGCGTTGACATAACAAATAACGGCTCATTTCCCAGCTCAGGCACAAATGAAAACGAAGAGTCAAACAGATTGTATCCCAAGTGTATTTTTCATCAAAACATTTCCGGTATAAAACTCGAATTTCAATTACACTTTCCATAACTACTTTGTCCAGACATTCCTCCACCCAGCGGTGTAGAAGTCAAACAAGAAAAATACTCGACAATCAGCGTAACTTGGCGAAAAGAAGCACTTGCACAAGGTTCAGTTTCAAAATAAATTCCACGACTTAGACATTGTTTTGAGTTTAAACAGCCCGTTTGTTGATCAAAACCCGTTTTATTTTGAATTAAAACTTCAGGCTACTACATCGAGGTGTTTTCCGGGAATGAACAAGTCGCCGAGTATCGAATCAACCACAACGAACTCTTTATCAATGCATCTCTTTTCAACTTGCACGATGATCACGTGTTTAAAATCTATTCCATCGACCAGTTCTCCAAGCGATCGAGTCCGACGATCAAGACTATGCGAACCCTTCCTCTGGCGCCGAAGAATTTGAAAATTGTCAAGGTAGAAAGAACAGTACAGTAGTTCGAAAAGACTGTCTCGCGAATGCAAATGCCACTTGTTATGTTAAACTCGTATTCATTAAAACGATGGGGCGGTACTACCTAAGTCCGCCCCGGATACAAGACAAACCCCAATTAAGCAACGTGAGGTCTATTCTTTCAGTAACTGTTTAGGTAACCCATGAATCTGTATCAGCAACGTGGCAAAAACAAGGAAGCGAGACCGATGGGCTTTACCGCGTCGTTCTAGAGGATCTTTCAACTCAGACGCCTCTGCAATTCAATCAGGTAGGACAGACACCGGCGAAAAGGCCATATTACTTTTCTTATACGATAGAAAAGCAGCAATAGTGGGCTAAATTTAATTCCAACGTTGAATCAATTCGACGAGCTGCGTAACTCGTGTCACAATTTGGCGTGATTAGGGTTGCAGTTTACTGCAGTTAACGTTCAAAGCGCATTAAGAAATTGTGACTGAAGAATTTTTACTTGAACGAGGTCTGCTCACCTAATTAGATTATTTTTACCCAGAAGCCTCAATGAAATTTCTCAGCTCGAGAATGAAATCAAAATCGCAAAACTCCGCCCTGCCAACGAATACCTCTTCTCTGTCTTTACGGTCTCTGCTGACGAAGAATCCCTATCCCTCCCCTCTCAAGCTATTTTCATGACTTCGAACGACCCGCCAGTCGACTTTGCCGCGTTGAAAGTGACTTCTACGTCCGCCCTTTTAACTTGGACTCCACCTATCGCCGCCACTTCCGCCTATCACATAATCGTAACCAACGACGGCGGAAACATCGTCCTCAAAAAAGACATCCCAGCAAAAGACACTGCGTCCTACCAACTCGAGGGCCTCTCCGAAGGGACCGAGTTCACCGTCTCGCTAAAATCCATCCCCTTGGAAAATCGCGGTCTCGCTCCACCAAGCGAAGTCTCGATAAAATTCCAGACGACGTTTCCAGCACCTGAATCGTATAGCCTCAGCCCTGGCGTGGAAGATTTGAAGATAACATTCACTCAGTCGCATTCTGATGAGGTCACTTTTAAGGAACACAGGGTTGAACAAAATGTATAATGCAATTTGTAAGTGTCCACTAAAAATCCAGCCAATATTCTTGACACCTTTATATTCGCGATCCGTCACCTCTTTCCTTTCGTCTGCACGGGAGAATTTTAATATTATTAAAGCTCTTTTCTAAAATACCTGAAGGTACTTGTACTGAAAAAGAGCTCTTTATCTCTGCAATTGCAGCACTGGCTGTGAGACAAATCTGAAATTAGACGATAAATTACGGAAAAATTTAATTGACAAGATGTTTACGTGTAACTCTGTTACTTCCCTCGTTTAAATAATACTTTTCAGCTGTTTTTGTTTGACACAACTCAATTTCCATTCCAATTAAAATCCCAATCCAATTACAATTTAGACCTTTTAACCCTTCAAAAGCTCATTGAAATGATTCCAGCAAGTATACTCGACCAAACAAGAAGAAACACAAAATCATCATCATTCTCTTCCTCCGACATTGATTACATAATAGCGCTGGAAAACTTGCATCCAAAATATTACCGAATGAACAATGAGAAAATCGTGCATGTAATGGCTCTGAAACCAGAAACAGAGTACATGGCCGAGTTGAAATACGCGCGAGGGGCGATTGAGGGAAAGCCGGAATATTTCAAATTCAAAACCAAGAGTGAACAGGCGCGGGATAAATACCACATAATGCAAAATTCGCTCATTGACTGGCAGACACTTGAAGTGTACTGTTAGAAGAAACGCTGCGCTGGGTAAACGTGGTGTTTATCCTTTTGAAAACAGAATAACTTGGAGATTACGTTTCTCGACGTGAAATCGGATAGGAAAAGTCCAAAATATTTTGCCTTGCAGAATACTTGCTAGATTCTAGGAGAACCGTTTGTTTTGAAAAAAGGGGATTTTTGAACATTTGAAAGCGCACTGATTATCTGGGATATCGACGAAGTAGATGAGGTGGATTCATTTGTGCTTACCTACGGAGCGGAAGATATTGAAATTCCAGCTGTACCGGAAGATGTCTTAATCCCGGAACAACACCTGATCCGCATCGTACTCGAGGCAGAAGACACAACCTATACTCTGCGAGACCTAGAAGAGGACACTCGTTATCACGTCGTTTTGGAAGGTCATCTGCGGGGAGAACTGGTCATTCAGGCACAGTTCATGATTTATATTTCAGAAATTGGCTGTCTTCTCTTATTGAACTTTTAAAAGGAAAAACGCAGTTTCTCAACGAAAATCTCTGCGCCTGAGAATATTCAAATGGTCTTCAAATCTTCCACTGAAGCGACGATAACTTGGGAAGACAAGGGTTCTTATTCATTATCAACCATCGATAAACAGTACAAAGTCGAGTACGCCTCGGCCACTCGAATATCCCCCGAGAATCTGGTGCCTGGCGAGTCATCACTCGATTGGAACAGCCTTACCGTATCCAAAAATAGCGTCAGTCTAAAGAATCTCGAGCCTCTGACGAAATACAGAATTCGAGTGGCGGCCCTTGGCAAAGCCGGCCAGGTTCACTCTGCTTTCCGTGAGATCGAAATAATGACCGACCCAGCGCCGGTGCAGGGGCTCAAACTTTACCGCGCCGGAATTCGGTGGTTGAAATTCGTCTGGGATGCGCCAGAAGAAAATGTTGATGGCTACGAGGTCACATTGCTTGACGAAATTGGCTTTGATCAAGTGAAACAATCAAAAATTGTCAAAACAACGAGCTGGCGATTCGAAGGTTTAGACGCGTCAACCTGGTATCGAGTCCAAGTAAAAGCTCTTTCCGGTCCGCTGAAATCCCTTCCGCGCGTGATTCTTGGCCATACAGAGCTACACGAGCCCCGAGCGGTCAGAATCACCGAGATAAAAGAATCCTCCGCCAAGGTCCTTTGGGAGCCCGTGGACCAAGAAACCTCAGGACGAGTAACACTGTCCTCCGAAAATTCACCGGAGAAAGTCATTTCCGTTGGTGCCGGTCAGAATATTCAAGAGCTACTGTACTTAGCTCCCAATACAGAATACAACGTTAAGGTTCAACTAAAAAAGAACCGAATACTATCAGAAGTGGCGGAGATTGAATTTCGAACCGAAATGCCAGAGCAGATTCCAATTTTGAAGCTCGTTCAGGTTGAAGAAAATGAGGGACAGGATTAGCAATTTTTGAAGTTATTCAAAAAAAAGGGCGTAAAATTGTAAAATCCTTAAAAGGCAACGTTGGGTTGGGAAGAAAACGAAACGGGCAGTTATCGACTCTCGTGGAGGAAGCTGAGTGAAGGACTCGAGTGCCACTAAGAGCCCCGCAGAAAGGGATTATTTATAGTGATTAGTCGTTTGAAATCCCCAGTTAGACACTTTTGCGTCGAAACAAGTCGAGGGCGGAACCGGACGTATTTTCAACTTATCGCCAGGAGAAGATTACCTCGCGAAGCTCGAAACAGCAGGAACAGAAAACTCCTCAGTACTCCAATTCAGAACTTTGGAAAAACTTCTTCCCGTCAAAAATTTTAAAGTGGAAAAAGTCGGGACCAACACTGCTACAGTCAGCTGGGAACGCAACGGCGTCATGCCGGATAAATACGTTCTTGTCCAGCGAAATGAATATTCGGAAAGTAAAATAATTATTGAAGGCGATCAAAGTCCTGAAGAAAAGAAGGCACGGCTTGTTTTTTTTCTGTTATATTTCTATATTTAGAATAATCTTTTAAAAGCCACGTTCTAAGGTAGTAACTAAGCTTAAACATCTCTTCTATGGGCTAAAATATCAACTGACGCTTTACAGGTAAGCCAGAGAAATAAATCATCATCGGTCATTTCAACATTTCTAGCGCGAAGGAAAAACAAAGGTCAGAATCGGTCAAGATAGAGTTTGAAACTTGGCCGAAGCTCAAGGACCCGACGAACTTGACGATAAACTACACCACTCCCGCGGGTAATTCTAGCTCGTTAAACGTGCAATTAGACATCTTGACCGATTTTTCTCCGGCTCACCTATTTCTTCAGGCGGGTTGCTATCTTGGTCAATGGCAAGAGCAGATATATTGGATGGCTATCTTTTGACCGTGTTCAACAAGAGCTCGCAAGAACGCTCACCAGTCGCGGTCTTGAACATTTCGAAAAATGCCACAGAATATTTGTTCGACGATTTGCTCCATTCCTCAAAGTATAAAATTGTTCTCCAAGCGATTCGGGGGGATGAGAGCTCCAAGAAGACAGAGGCCATTTTCAGAACTTCAACCGAATTGAAACCTATTTCAAAATGCAGGAATAGGGAAGAAACCATAAGAGGCTTAAATTTTCTATCTTTTTGTATTTAAAGAGTGACATTTAAGATGAATATTCACCTGTAATAAATACAGATGCGTACTCATCATCGGATTCTCCGCGATCAGTAAAAGAATGTTGATCAACCCTTTAAAAGCGCTTCAAACATAAATGAAAAGTTTGCGGAAGTTAACTACTCGTACGACTCAATGGAAAAACAACCAAATGTCTTCATGAAATACACAATATCCGGAACAAGACTTGCTCGAACCGTCATCACAAAATCCTCCAACACAACCGGAACCTTCGAACTCTCCAATCTCCAGCCAAGCACTGACTACATCGTTGAAGTTCGTACACAGTTTCCACACTATGCCTCGCCTCCTTGTATTGTCAACTTTCGGTAAATCCTCCCTCTCGCGTTCATCGTTTCATTTCATCAATGTTTAGTTCGTTTTCAAAGCTGTCGCCGCCTTATCAACTCGAAGTGAGCAACTTGACAAACAGCTCCTTCCACCTCGAGTGGTCTTCTTTAGCAGATCACGTGGACAACTTCCACATCGAAATACTCAACACAGCGTCTTCCAGGATCATCCTCAACCGCGCAATTTCCGCGAAGCAGGACAGGATTGACGTGGCAGGCCTGTACCCCGCAACGAAATATTCAATGGAACTCTGGTCTGTCAGACAAAACAAAAAGTCAAAACGAGCTCAAGTATCAACGACAACGAAAACTAACCCACCGCAGATCATTTACCGCTCATCAACAGAGGAAGACGTGACCGTAACAGTAGTCAAACCGCGATTTAACATCAACAATTACATTGTGACCTTGATGAAGGACAACGGCAATGACAAAGAAAACGCGGTTATAAGAAGAATAACAGTTTCGCCAGGAGACGACTCAGCACGAAGAATAAAGCTCAGGCAGCTCAAACCTTCAACAGATTACATCATCGAAATCTCATCAGTTCTCGACTCACAAAAATCAGAGCCTTGCAGCGTTTCTTTCAGAACTGCTCCTGGCTCTCCCAAGGACTTAAGGTACCCCCTTCACTTAACATACTTAGCCTTACTTTTTAAATAGAGCCGAAGAAGTAACAGATGAGTCCGCGAAAATACTCTGGACCCCTGTGGACGAAAATATCGCCGATACAATCCAAATCGAAGTTCGCAAACTCGAGTACGGCCAATGGAAATTCCACGATCCAGGGTTTTTCACGCTCAACTCTTCACGCAAATTCGTCACTTTACCACAACTTGAAGCAGGAGTAAGTTCTCTCAAATCAATCCAAAAATTAACATACTGAATTGTGAAGGCGCCTTATCAAGTCAAAGCAAAATTCATCAACGAAGAAACGAGTGAAAGTGCGTTTTCAACAATCGAGTTTCGGGCAAAAATTGATGGACCAAAGAATGTAGAAGTTTTGCTTGTTGAACGGTACTCTGCTCAAATGCGTTGGGCGGAGCCGATTATGTTACCGGCGATTGTGAATATCAAAATGGTGCTGCTGGAGACAGAATCGGGAAAAATCGTCAAAGATTACTCTCTTCCTCCGAAAACGAGAAGTTTCAGCTTTGATGAGCTCCAACAAGGGACAGAGTATACAGTCACTTTGCAGAGCATTGGAAAAGGGGATGAAAGGAGCACAATAAAGAAATACAACTTTAAGACGAAAATTTACAACCATAGAAGGTACCTTAGTTTTTTACCTAAAACAAAATCTTTATCGCTTGAATTCGCTAGGCCCGAAACTTGCGTAGAAGTCCTCCAAAACGGCTTCGACCAAGATGGTGTGTACACAATCTTTATCGGCTCTCATGGAACACTCGAAGCGCCAGCGTATTGTCGTCAGAAAATCGCTGGCGGCGGCTGGCAAGTTATTCAGCAGCGCTCGCTCCAGACGCCGTATATTCAGCCACTTATGAAAGATTATGTCGAGGGCTTTGGAAGAGCAGATAGCGACTTTTGGATTGGCCTAGGTATTCTGATACCCGATTTATTCGTTTTTGCTAGTCAATTTTAGATACAATGTCGATTTTGACCGAAAAACCGAAAGAACTGCTCATTTATATTCGCGACATCTATGGAGCAGAGCAAGTTGCGCGCTATTCTAGCGTCAAAGTCGCATCAAAAGAAGATGATTACGTTATCCAAATCGGTAAAAAAATAGATGGAGACATAGAAGACGACTGGACGATGACGAATGGAAGACCGTTTGGAAATTTCGATCATAACAGGCCACTCAGTTGCATCGATCCTCTTGCTTATGGATGGTAAGATTATTTATCCTCTATTGGATGCTTATCATTTTAAGGTGGCACCTGCCTTCCTGTCAAAATCCTAACTTCAACATCTTCATGGGGCGCCAGAGACCAATCGTCCGGCGAATAAACCCCGACGGAGTTATAGAAGACGTTGCCGTGGCAGAAGCCGCGATGATGATTCGTCCACCGCAAATTACTCAAAGCTAGCCACAAAATTGATTAAGAAAACAAATGTACATTTATGATCATTACTTCTTCAAATTCCAGACTGCAAATATCTCTATTGCTCGTTTACTTCTATCAAGAAAATGTAAATAAATCTGTCTATTAAAAAGCTGTTTCTAAGATATGACTCATATGAGAGTAAGAAACTCTAAAAAACGAGCATTTATTTAAAATTTTGAATCAAAATAAGTTATACGAAAGAAAAGATGAACATGGTCGGATTCGTTCACAAGAACACCTTGAGTTTGCCCAGAAAGATCGTGATTTACTCTCGGCGACTCGCGTGATGGCGCTAAAGATGAGTGAAGAGCATCTTCATCGTCTGTTGATTGGACAAGATTTTCGAGTTCTTGTTCTGCAGAATCTTGTAAATCTTCATCGTCGCTGCTTTCGCTGAAGTAAGGAGCTTTTGTTGTAGGAATCTGTGGAGGTTCTTTTTCGATTTCTCTTTCTTCATTCTCGCACGAATTGATGTCTTCAGTTATTTCTTCGCTGACTGAGTCGACTTCTTCAACAATCTCATCTGGCAATTCAGGATCGCGATCATCTTCAGATTCTGCTTCTTCTGAGCTTTCAACCTCCTCAACGATCTCTTTATCAGAATCTTCAAAAGATTGTCATCGACTGCTACCGATTTTGATTTTTCCTCAACGACAGTTTGACCGACCTTCTGAAGCGATTCATCAGGCTCTTCTATTTTCGATGGCTCTTCTGCAGGGTTTGATAAATTGATTTCATCTTTGGATTCGATTTTGATGCCACTGTCGATCTCTTTGTCATCGCATTCTTGATCGTTTTTGGTGAAATTTTGATGATTTTCATCGTTATCAGAAAAGTCAGCTTCTATGACAGTTTCGTTCAAATCTTCCGCCTCGTCGGCTGTCGATACCGCGGATAGATCAACAGAAGTGACTTCAGTGAGCGACATTTCTTCGGAGCAATACTTGTCAGTTTCGGCTTCAAGAAAAGGGTCAAGGAATTGGTAAGATTTATCGGGCTTGATGAGGGGCGACTCGGTCATTTTCGGCTCTGAAGATGTCGGTTTTAGAGAAGATCGCTCGGTACCAGTTGTTTTATCAGAAGGAGATTGAGTAGAAGGAGAATTCGATTTTGGGGAAATTTCTTCCTTGATTTCAGATTTGGGCGAATTGGAGGCTTCTTTTTGTTCGATATTTTCTTTTGTCTGGACTGCTTTTTGGTTCAAAATTTCTTCATTGCTTGTTTGTGAAATAGGTTTATCTACATTTTTCGTGTTGTTCTCTGCACTAGATAGTCAGTAGTCGAGGACACCGACGGAGTTCTCTTCGTCGTCTTCCGAGTGAATTGTCAAAGCTTCTGCTTTCTTTCGCACGTCGTCGATTAGTGGCCCAGTGAGGGGTGGGGACGAGACGGAGTGATTTCGGCTTGGAATTTTGATCGATTTACGAAGAAACTCGATGACATCTGAAACGAGAAAAATGTTCAATTTTTACGAGTTAAGGAATGACCCACCTTTTTGCTGGCATTTTATAGCGTAGTCCATCGGAGTACGACCATATTGGTCCTCGGCTTCGACCGGAACGCCAGCTTTGTTAATGAGGAATTGAGCAGCTTCCACGTGACCTCTCGCTGCAGCGAGGTGGAGACATGTTACGTCTTCGTATCCGGGCTTGAAAGGTCAAATCCGTTGATGTGGGCGAACATCAAGCGGTGTACGTCGTTTGTTTCGGCTGCGACCATTAATTTAATGAGCTGCACGGTTTCTGAAAAATAAGTCAGTTAGGTTTATGATCTCTCATGGGCGTTGGCCAACTCTGACCTAAATCTCTTATTTATTATTAACCTGATTCAGTACTGTTGGAGAAATCGTGAGCCAATCGAACAGGATCGTACTCATGGAAGTGAAATTTCTCGTTGAGCAATTTGGCGAATTCAAGTGCTCTGATAGAGTTGGCAGATTTGTCAATCTTTGGAGAGTAAAGAGCAAAACCACCGAAGTTGGGAATGATGATCATTGTTCCTCCGCTGATTCCAGATTTGGCAGGAAGGCCGACTTCGAAAGCCCAGATACCAGAGTGGTCGTTCATACCAGCGGCAAGCATGCAAGAAAGAGTCGATTTGACCGAGTCGTTGGAGAAGCACTGTTGGCCGGTGATTGGACAGATACCGCCATTTGCTAGAAAAAAGTAATTTCAAGCTTCAATGCGAAATATTTTACCAAGAGTAGCAGCAAGGACAGAGAGTGAGTCACAGTTGACAGTGACGTTGCACATTTGAGTGTAGACATCGAGCACATGTTCGACGTTTTTCTTGCTGGCGATGCAGCCTTTTTCTCTGGAATAAAAATTAAGAGTTTTTAAGTGTTGTAATTATTACCGAAGATAATATGAAATTGAAGAGTTTCGATGGCAATCCTCTCGTTCGGACATAAACGCAGCATAATCAAAACTAACTGCGTTTTCATCGTCTGCTTGAATGCCCGCCACTTGTCTCATAAAGTCCAAGAATGATCCATGTCGATCAGACTTGTTCATTTCCTCTTTGTAAAGAGAAGAAAGCAGAATCGCACCAGCGTTGCCCATAGGATTGTGAGGTCGGCCTTGGTCGTCGAGCTTGATGACATTGAATTGGCCGCCAGAGGTTTCTTGGCCGACAATCGCATGGATTTTTTCGTGACCGAGCTCGTCCAAACTCATTGCGTAGAGGAACGGATTCATGAGGGCCTAAAGAGGGTTAGAATTAATGACTTAGCAGACAGTTCTTGCCTGCATGGTGAACATCTTCTTTTTCGACCCGAATCCGCATCTTTGTCCATCAACAGAGCAGAAAGACACTGCCCACTCATCATCACAATGATACTCTTTCAAGTACTGTGTGTACGTAGTGAAATCTCCTTTGCACTGACCCCAAGTTTCGTCGTACATTTGTCGAATATCACCGAGGAAGGTGGGGAAGTCGGCGATTTCAAATTGATTCTGAATCGCTTGGTAGAGAATTTCCTGGCTGTTCGAAATGACGCCACGGAAGGTTAGGAAGTCGATACCATGAGCATCGTCTCCGTCGAGGTTATTGACAATGTAGTCGTGGCACTCATCAATGTTGCGGCTGAAAGGTTTATTCACTTCATGTCAACGAGCTCTGCAACTTACCGAACGTCATAAAGTCGAGGGTCATCCAGCTGCAAGCCAGTGCGCCTAATGACTCGAATAAATCGCTGTCTATCGAGATTTCCTTGTGGAGTCTTAGATCGATCGAAAATCATTCTCTCGATTTCTTCGTCGCCAGAGCTCGTTCGGCCCATTTCTCGGAACTCTTCAAGAACATCTTCTGTAGATGTTATTCTGGGAAAATGTTAAGCTTGCTTTCTTTCTTACTGTAGGTCTTACGTTTGGGTAGAGTCTCGTTTCTTGAGTTCGAGAAGACTAACAGGTCCGTCATTCGCCATGTCCAAATCTCGACCAAGTCGTTGTCGACCTAACTCAAGAACGACCTTTCGGAATTTGGTCAAAATCCTCTTTCTCTTTGCCGGTCCCAAAGTCATCTTCAATCAGACTTTTTTCGTTTCTTGGCTCGGTATCAAACGCCAAGCTAAAGAATAGTGCTCTCAGGGATCTGGGGCACTCGTTATATCGGATACGCCTAAGCAATAAATTGAGATTGAAATCAGAACTAACGCGTTTACGAGTGTGTTTTATAGCGGTAAATGACAAAGATCGACAAATGATTTCGGCGAAATTTTAATTTTCAACCGGTTTGGACGAGTTCGCGAGTAATTAGTTGGAATGAAAGAGGGTTTTTTAGTGAACCATCGAGTCGGGAATTCAAGCGGAATTGGACCTTTCGAAAATTAGTGACCTAGAATTTTTGATTTTTATCTTCGCCTAGAACTTTTTGGCCATCTAACCTTCGGAGAGTTTTAAATTGACTGCTTCCGTCCACCTTTTTTATTGAATAAAATGATGACCTGAAGATATTGTCACAATGACGATATAAGCTGCGGCAAAGTACCAAACGTCTGGATATATTTATAATACGAGCTTTTTTTAATCATTTTTCTTCGAAAAATTGTACAGTCTAATCGTTCAGCGGCATGAGATGAGCTTTTGAATGAAGAAAAAGCGTTTTCAAGTGGTCGCTGTATTCCTTCTAAACATATGTTTTAATTTTCTGTATCATACCTCTTTCAAACTGACCTGCTCTTCGATTTTCTCAAGAATCTGCCAACTAAACCTGGAATTGTTAGTCATGAGAATTTCTTCGGTTTTTTCATTAGAGAATCTTGCTAGGTTGATATCGCATTTTATCGCAAGGGCAAACGCTAAAAGAAAATATGTAAAAAATGTATTTGGAGGTTTTTCTTACTGAGATAAGAAGCTTCATAAACAGCAATGGTCCCAGATGATGTTGTCAGCATTCCACTTATTTGAGTGCATTTTTCAGTTTCGTTCAGTTTTTGAAAGAATGTCGCAAGTATTCCCATTATCACAACTTTAGGCCCTTGAATGGCAAGAGGAGGATCGAACTCTTTCTCGTCTATAAAACTGAAAAGCTTTTTTGTGTCCAGTTCGTTTCGATCAAGAACAGCTGAGAAATGTCTTCGAATGAGAAAGTCCTCGTTTTCGTTGAAAATGTAGCCTTTGTTCTCAACTGCTGCTTGGTATTTCTTTTCTACGTCTTTTAGACAAGCTTGATTTCTAACCACGCATGCAAGATCTGCAACGATTGCCTCATCATCAGAAAGATCCGTTCTAGTGTACCAAACCAGATTCGAATACGCTTCTTTTATCGAAATTTGAAGATTTTCATCAACCAAGCTTGCTAAATTTCCATCTACTCGGGAGACAAACTCGTTTCTCCAAGAAGCAATTGCTTTCCAAATTTCAAGATTACTCTCGTGCTTGATTATTGTCAGTCCTTGGCGGATGATTTTCTCGTCGTCGTCACTTTCAAAAAGATCGATCAACATATTTTTGCGCTAGAATTTCTTGAAAATAAAGAAGATCGAAACTCGTACCTCTTGAAGATTAAATTGATTAAAATACTCTTCTCTTTCGAAATAAATCTCTTCATATTTACTCTCGACTGTTTCTGACTGATTAACTTCGTGAATTTCAAGAGTTTTGTTCAAAGCTGCCATCAACCAAATCATCGCTAAAAGAAAACATCCAAAAAGATATTGCTGCCGTCGAAACATTTTTGAAAGCAAATGAAGACTAAACTGGTGAGAAAATTGACCTCAACAACATATTTTCAAATGCAAATAGAGATTCTCCGCGTTTATTTTTTGAGGTTTCAGATCAGTTTAAGGATATACCCGATAAAATTGAACTTTTATAGCGCCGAAATGCGACGTAAGATCATATATATTTCAAAAGCAATTCTACGTTAAAATGCACGTAGAACTCAAATCTGGTACTTCTTTACATTTTCTCATTTGAATTTTTCTCTTTAGAGCGATTTCAAATCTTACTCTCTCGATTACTCGAAATTTTTTGTATAAATCGGTCGAGATTTTTCGATAAATAAGTTCTTTAGACCCTTATCTGCAATTTTGATGGTTTACTTTTCGTTAATTCCGAAGGAAACCGATTCTAGAGCCATTTCATTGAGGGCTACTCAGCGCGTAAAAGCTCTACAAAGCGGCGCGCTGGGAGCTCACTCACTCGACTCCTCTTTTCCGAGAGAAAGTGCGTGGTTGAGCGCACCGCTCTGATTGGTAGCACGCGAAGAAACGCGCAGAGAAGAAAAATAAGGGTATAAAAGAAGAGAACACTAGAATGGAAATTCGATCGAGTTTAAGAATTTGATCCCATCAATTTTGTAGCTTAGCATCATTGCAATACAGAATACGGTTCAGTTTTAGCGATTTAGTGGGAAAATTTCGAGAAATCGAGAGAGTTTGTTTTCAAATCGCTCTAGAGAGGAAAATTCTAATGAAAATTTCTAAAAAAGTACCAGAATTTAATTTAACGCACAATTTTAAGTAGGATTGCTATTGAAATAAAAATGATCCGACTTCGTATTTAGGCGCTATGAAAGTTCAATTTTATCGGGTATATCCTTAAATTCTAAGGTCAACAATTGACTCAACACACCTTTTTGAAAAATGGAATGAATCAGTAGATTATTTAAATCTAAAATATGTCATTTGAACATTTTATATGATTTCGATGATACCACAGTTCGGCAAGCTTATCAGCGAAGCCTAAAATATATTTATAAGAGTAAGATCAATATCTAGTTTTTCAAACCTTCTCCTTCACTTTTTCCATAACGATCATCTGTGTATTGTTTCTCATTATCCTTCAAAACACAATCACTTTTATGCAAGATCGATGGTCTGCTGCACCAAGCAATTCTTAGCTCCCCAATCGCGTCTATGAAAAACTCCCGATGTCCTTTTCGTTCGAATTCCGGATCTAAAATCGACTTTTCTTCCTAAAAAAAACTATTTTTGTACCAAAACGAATTTTGCCAACAGTAGTTGTTCGAGCAAGGAAGAAGTTTTCTATAATATCGACCACTTGACATTCATTCTCATAGCCCGGCAAATGAAATGAACTGTATTTCTTTCTATCAAAACAGTATCCATCAGGTGATTTTTGTAAATCCAAAAAGTCATTTTTTGCCCAGCCGCCCATTACATGACTGAATGACATTTTTAGAGGAGATGAAACGGTTCGGCCGAAGGTTAGGGTTCGGGTCTTTTTTAGGTATTTATAATTTGTTGGTATTAATTGACTGTTTGAATTTACCCATTTAAAGCTCCACCGATTATATCATAGCCCGTGTTCTCAGCAACTGCGACCATGTACTCCAAGTTCGTTTCTTCCGAAAAAATGAAATCATCGTCGACCCAAAGGTAGAATTGCGTGCGAACTTGACTCTGTGCTAGAGCTCTTCCGGCGAACCAGCCCTCTCTTGCCGGCATTTTGTATTGTTTAACAGTGACCAGCGGGTTCTTGAGTTCCTGGAAATGATCTGTTGGATTGTCATCTGCGACTATCACAGTAATTCCGGGATAGAAGGCGGCGATCGATTTTATTAACCTATCGACGCAAGGGTACCGGAGATACGTTTTCGTGATGACGGTAACTCGATCTTTGATCGAATTTGATTTTCGCTGCGTCAAAACGGGCAGTTTCGTCCTTTCAATTGTCACCGGGAACTGGATTCTGAAATTGATGTCTCCAACTACTTCGAGAGTGACGACATCTTCAAGTTTTCGACCGTCGTAGGCTTCAGGAATGTAGGTGGTCTGCTGTAGGGCAGCGTTGAACTCTCCTACAGTCATCTCGTTTCTGCTTATGAAATTGTGATATTCTAGTGTGTCGGATCGGAGAAGCCCAGGACCATCAATAGCGCAAAAGAAGCAGGAAAATTTGACATTAATTATTTTTGATGACGAGGCCGTCACTGTTATGAGCAATGCAACAGATTCGAATGGCTTCAAATTGATTAAAAATGGCTGATATTTTGGCGATCGTAATCAAATACAGACTTTTTATCAATTTCCTGAACTTTATATCCACTTGATACATATTCAACCGGAATATTGCTAGTGGCAAGCAAAAGAGGCGGCTTTGCGATTTCAAAATAGTGGTCTCTCTGCCATAATTTAACATCATCAAGATGCTCTCTCGTAGGCCGAGGCTCAAACCCGGACTTTTTGCATTCGCAACTTCCTCCTTCGATTTCATTGAAAATTTCTGGGATTTCTCTTGACCAAGGGCGAAGATACGAGATGTCAGTTATATCGTGTTTTCTGTAAATTCTTTGAGACAGTTTCTTTCTTGCTTCGATTTCAGAGTTGTTAGTTCCTGGAAACGATGATTGATAACAGATTTTTTTCTCGAAAAGATCTTTATTTGATAAAATAAAATATTTTTATAAAGAAAACGTTTATTATTTACAATTATTAATAATTATTTTGTGCTTTGTATCATTCCTGAAATATTAAATCCAAGCAAAAAGCCCAAGATAAGGGAGTAATATTCTCTCATTTAAGAAGTTTCAATATAGAAAATTTTTTCATCCCGCAGGTTCGTAGACAACCGGCCCCCGATTTCATCAGCGATAAATTTAAGACCGGCAACAACTGCTTTAACACGGGACATGAGCTATCAACAGCGGCTTAAAACCAATGAAACAACTTATTTGAAACTGACATGAAGAAGAAGAAATGGAAAAATATTTTAATATTGAATCTTTTTTACGGACAATGAGAGAGAAGTTGTTAATTGAGGTTTATTCGTCTAAGGAGATAAGGTTAGGAACACCCAGAGTTTCTTCCCAACTTCATTTATGTGGCCTTGTACCATGGAGTTGAGCTCTAAGTGGAGATAGGAGAATCTGAGCGACGGAAGCCCTCTCCGTCGCTCGATCTGAGCGCGCCTAATTCAGCGCCAAAAGCTGGAGATTGCCTTCTCGGTTCTGTGATTGGCTGAATCCCTTCATTTCCGCAGAAATGAATTTCGAGATTCTTCTGAAGCGCCCAGCACGCGCTTAGGAAAATTTCTAGACTTCCCTCCGAGTGATCTGCGCGGGAAACGGGAAAGGAGACCCGGGGGCTTTCTCCACTCAGAGTTCAACTCTATGGTACATGTGAGTTTCTCCAGTGTAGGTGAGCCCATTTTCCGAAGCGCAAGTTCCGGCTGGCTTCAGCTGGTTTCCCTCGCAGCAATGATCGGAAGGAGCATTGTAGAGTTGGAATGAGCCGACGCTTGTTCCGCAGCACTTACTCTCATGCTCTAAAGATTTGTAAAATTTTAAAATCAAAAAGTAAATCTTACCGATTCCTCCTTGGGCTTTCAAACAGTTGACATTATCGAAGTTCTGGAACATAGGATTGAGACTGTATCCGGAGAGAACAGTAGCGAAAGCTTTGTCACACTCGCAAATCGCAAGCTGAAACGCATCTGAGGCGTCGCACACATTATCAGTCGGTTGTGGATACTCCCAGAAGCCTGTTTGCCAAAGATCAGTGGTGTTAGTTCCTAATTTGAGAACATCAACTGAGCATCGGACGCATTTCTTCCAGCCGTTGATCGCCAAATCGACTTCATCAACCGGTCGGCCATTATTATGAGCAAATGGCTCTAGAAGACCTCGCCCAGTGCAGCCGTAGTCGGTTAGTGCGGTTCCAGAAAAATCTGGAGCAAGAGCGCTAAGCCACCACTGCATATCGCTCTTTGCTGGTTCGGCGATGAGTTTGACGCAAAGTCGGTCGCTTGTTCGCTGCATTGGATCGTAAGCAATAGCGCAGAGATCGTGGGAACCAGCTGCAAGTTGGAAGAGTGTAGGAGTCCACGAACAGTTGGAGTGGCCGCTGGTTTTGTCGACATCTGTGCAGGTCATTCCTGATGGACCGGAGAAGATGATTCGGTCGAGATCAACAAATGTGTTGCCGTTGGCGGTGTACTCAGCGTAATAGTCGAGAGAAATTGAGCCCGAAACTTTGATGATATCTCCATTTTGAGGACTCGTACCGGTGAAAGCAGGAAGACCTGTACAATGATCGTTAGAGGCTTGTCGACGACCTCGGTGATGTCCAGTTTCGCTGTGATCTTCGCCAAAAAGATTGGCGAAAAATTTCTCACCGGAAGATGCAATCTCTGATCTAATAGAAGAGGCCATGGAAGGAGTCCAGACCGTAGCCATGAACTGAGCTGGTACAGATGATCGAAGATTGCCATTAACATCGTAGTCTTCAACCTGGATGGCGAGAGGTTTTATTCCAGATGCAAAAGCGTCTGCGGAGGGGTCGTATGTGACGATGCAGTTCTCCTCGTCGAGAATGAGAGAATCAAATCGACCCTGGTCACGTGAGAGCGCTTCCGCTTCGTCAATGGTCGCCCAGCGACACTTGACGTTGTCGCCATCTGGATCACTAGGATTCAAGAAGAGCTTCTGGTCAGTGCACCCCGTCATGATGTACCAAATAGCAGGGATCTTGAACTGCGGTGAATTGTTGGTCAAATCGTAGACGGTTGAAGCAAAGTTGTAATCGCCATTGATGAGGCTACCATCATCGTCATGCATAGAAATGGTGCAGCAGCCATTAGCGACATGTTTAAATGGCTGGTTGATATTGAAGGTTTCATCGACGTAGCCAAAGCAGTAGTGGACGCCAGAGTCCAGCGCAGCTGAATCTTCGATCTCATTGACGATGTATTTTCCAGTTGTTCCATTATTGCCGTAGGCGATAATGTCAATTCCGGACATGTCAGTGATGCTCTCGGTAATCATCGAGCCACTAAAAATTATTTAATTGCTTATTTGGAGGTAAACAGCGAAATTTAAAAAGGGCGACAACGAACATTTTTCAGCATACCTAGCACTCTGGCTGGCAACATCAGCATCAGTACAACCCGTGCCATACCCATCCATGCCTCTTCTCCAGCCCATTGTTCGGGTCACCTGAAGATTACCGCCATCTTGTCGATATTGGTAGGAGCCAGCGCGGTAGTGGGAAGCAAAAGTAGAGGAAAGAACTGTCCCCAAAAATTTCATCTTTTTCAGATTTTTTGGGATTACTGTCCGTTCTCTTAGAGTGAGTACAAAAAAAAATATCAGGCTGTATTTATATATTCGTTATCAGCCCGTAGTTTGAGAATTCGATCGGAAAAGATAGTGAAGTTAAAATCGATCAATTCCTTTTTCAATTCTTCGTTTTCGTCTGAGTTTGCGGTTAGCCACAGCCAGCACATTTCTCCGATTACCTTGTCAGCAGATTTGTCTTTGCTTGAATAAACGTATTTTTTAGGTTGAGAAATTTGAAAATTTTCAGGGTTCGAAAATAGACTTGATCAAATAAATGTCAGTTTATTGAAGTTTATTAGTGTTGCAACACCGATTGTTAGTAAAGAAAAAAGGGAATTAGTAATTTGGGTTCACAGGTCAAAGGTTATACAATTTACACACTCTTAAGTTGCTTTTTATCACATCTTATTGCTTCCATGATGGATTTAGTCTACGTGGATTTGTACATTGGGATCGCTCCGGTGTAGATGATTCCCTGTTCCACAGCGCAGGTACCAGCTGGTTTCAATTGGTTAGCTTCGCAGCATTGGTCGGATGGAATGTTGTACTGCTGGAAGGCGCCAAGATCGGTTCCGCAGCACATGCTAACGTGCGCTAGAATTTTTATTAGAACACATTCAAGATGACGGGCGATTGTGATAAAAATAAACTTTTTGATGTCAACTTACCGAGACCTCCTTGTGCTTTTTGGCAATTGGCTTTATCGAAGTTCTGGAAAGCGGCGTTGGGAGTTCCGATTTGCGAAAGAACTGTAGCCAAAGCTTTGTCGCACTCGCAAATTGCCTTCTCAAATGGATCAGAATTGTCACAATCGGTTCCAGTTGGCTGTGTGTACTCCCAGAAGCTGGTCTGAAGTGTTCCTGGAGCAAGAGAATCGACAGAGCATCGGACGCACTTCTTCCAGCCGTTGATGGCGAGATCGACTTCATCAACTGGTCGGCCGTTGTTGTGGGCGAATGGCTCAAGAAGACCACGTCCAGTGCAACCGTAATCGGTCAAAGCATTTCCGGCAAAATCGGTGGCGATCGCGTTCAACCACCAGTTCACGTCGACCTTGGCAGCTTGAGCGATGAGTTTTACGCAAACACGTTCGCTGGTACGCTGCATGGGATCGTAGGCGATCGCGCAGAGATCGTGAGATCCAGCTGCGATCTGGGAAACGGTGGGTGTCCATGTGCAAGTGGACTGACCGGTGCTCTTGTCAACTAAGGTGCAGGACATTCCTGTTGGCCCAGAGAAGATGATTCGGTCCATGTCGACAAATGTGCCGCCATTGGCACTGTACTCGGCGAAGAAATCGAGAGACATCGAGCCAGATACAGTGATAACGTCACCGTTTGCGGGAGTAGAGCCGGTGAAGGTGGGGAGACCGGTGCAGTGATCGGGCAGAGCTTGTCGTCGACCTCGGTAGTGAGTTGAGTCGTGGGAATCATGACCGAGGAAGTCGAAATGATCGTCGCCGTCGACTTCGTCGAAAAGGCCAGAGAAGAATTTCTGGCCAGTTCGGATGAAGGAGCTGGGGGTGGGAGCAACGCCGGGAGCAGATGGAGCCGGCATTTGCGGAGTCCAGACTGTAGCCATGAACTGAGCGGGCATTGAAGATCGAAGAGTTCCGTCAGCAGCGTAGTCCTCGACCTGGATGGCAAGTGGCTTGATGCCTGAGGCGAAAGCGTCGGCAGCTGGATCGTAAGTGACAACGCAATTGTCCTCGTCGAGGATGAGGGAATCGAAACGTCCCTTGTCTCGTGAGAGGAACTCGGCTTCGGTTTCGCTGGCCCATCGGCACTTGATGTTGTCGCCGTCGGGATCAGTTGGGTTGAGGTACAATTTCTGATCGGTGCAGCCGGTCATGATGTACCAAATGGCGGGGATCTTGAACTGGGGCGAGTTGTTGGTCAAATCGTAGACGGTGGAGGCGAAGTTGTAGGCGCCGCTGAAAGAGACACCGTCATCATCTTGCATTGGAATCGTGCAGCAACCGTTAGCAACGTGCGTAAATGGCTGGGAGACGGAGAAACTCTCGTCAACGTAGCCGAAGCAGTAGTGAGTGCCAGAATCCAAAGATGCAGAATCTTCGATTTCGTTGACAACGTACGTTCCAGTGGTTCCAGATGCACCGGTGTTAACTAAGACGTTTCCGGACAAGTCATTAATTGTTTCGGTGATCATAGCAGTACTGAAGATATATTTAAATATATTCTCGTCGTCATTCGAGATGATAAAAATCTCTCTGAATTCCCAAAAAAAAATTTTTACCTGACATCCTGGTTGGCAACATTGGAGGCGGTACAACCAGTTCCGTAACCGTCCATGGTTCGTCGCCAACCCATAGTTCGAGTGACCTGGAGGTTGCCGCCATCTTGTCGGTACTGGTAGGAACCAGCTCGGTAGTGGGAAGCAAGAGAAGAAGAAAGAAAGGTCGCCAAAAATTTCATGTTTTTTCAACTTTTTTGGGATTACTTACTCGTCTCTCAGAGTGTGTATGATGAACCGCAATAATTGCCGTGCGTTTATATTGGCACCGCGCGGTGGAAAGATAAGGATAAGCTTCGAAGTCGGCGCAGGGAAATGTAAACTCTGATATCATAGTATTGAGATAATGTAAGAATCCAAATACTTCCTTCATAAGATTTCGATGTCCAGGCTCCCTGAGAAAGCGGTTGTATTGTTTTCTGATTTGTGGGAAATGGCAATTCGAGGATATGCAAATCTACTCTATCAAAACGGAGCGAGTACTTTTGGTAATTGATTTTTGCATGCGATTTATCTACATATTCACGCAATGTTCCCGCGCTGAACTAATACTCAACAAGTGCTGCCATGAAAAATTCAAGCTCTTGAACATATTTTCTGATGAATTTTTAAACTTTAATAAGACACAAGCCCTCGCTCGAATTAGTTTTAATTCTTCAGACGTATTAAAGAGAGAGAATGAACTCCCTGACAAAAACGGAAAGAGAGAATTTGATTAAAGTCTATAAAAAGTTGGATGAAAATGGCGACGGAAAACTTGCACGCGTAGAGCTTATCAATGCTGTTCGAAATTATTTGGACGAAACAAATCAAGCTGAAACAGAAACCAAACGAAGACAGGGTGCGGTTCTTTATTCGCTTATGATTTTTTCATTTCTTGTTTAGTTCTGAGCATTGTGGAGACAGTTGTAAAAGCAATCGACAAGGATAAAAATGGGCTCATTTGCTTGGACGAAATGGCAACCACGTTTAGGGATGAGTGTCAAGATGGACCAGTTGTAGTTGTTGCTGCAATTTTGAGGAAAGTCCCAAAGAATTTTCGATATTCTAAAAAACCCTTCAGATTTTCTCTTTGGTTTGCAAACGTGGATAGCTCAAATGACGGTAAAATTTCGAAAGAAGAACTTTACGACTTCATTTACGCCTCCCTTCCACGTTAGATCGATATTTTAGTTTTGTGACCTAAGATTAAAGAATAGAAGATTGCGCAGCTAGCCAGAGAGGATCGCAAGCTGAGAACTTGGCTGAAATGGTGACGAAGAAAATTCTCGCTGGAGTTGATGCGGATTCGGATGGCATGATGTCTGTCGAAGAAGCTGTTGGAGCAATTCAAGGTTGTTGGAAAGAGTGGGACAATCTCTAGGCTCGACTCAAATGATCTTTTAGGCTTTCACATTTTCCCTGCATGAACTGACATTTGAAGAATTTCAATAAAAATAATCATTCTTCTTGAAAACTCTGATTTCCACTTCAATATCGCCTTTACTTATAATTCTTTTTTTTTTCTTACTGCTTCTTATTTTTCGCCAAAAATAACCGAGTCGATCATCGTGAATCAATCATATTGCACCTTCAATCTCCTAAAAAGCCAGTTTAATTATCGGCTGTCCTTGAAAGTCTGTCTCAGTCCGTCCGCTAAGTCAGCTTATTCGTTCCTCTGTGTTATTCTTATGAAAGAAGGCGAAGCAGCTACAGCGGGGTTTTTCGCCTTTTTAGTGGTTTTCCCGACAATCGGTACGGAACTGACAGAGAGGAATCGCGTTTACTTTTCATTCAGCTCTTTTTCTTATCTTGAAATGCTTCGCTACAAATCAGCAAAGAAGGGTCAGTCTAATTACTTCTAAATTAATCAACAAAAATTGTTTAGATGCGGCTAAATACACCTTATAATTTGAATTTTGCCAGGTTGAGCATCAAGCCAAATCTCGAGGTACTAAAACAAAAATTAAAAAACCGTCAAGATCTTTTAGCCGTGCATGGCTTGCCATCGAGTTTCTCCGATTCCGAGGCGTAACGGACGAATAAAGCCTTTGATTCCAGTTGAGAAACTGAAGTTTTGGTCGATTTCCTCTCCATCCCTCCTTTCTTCGATGGAAACAACCGCGAGTAGAAGATACGAAAATTTGAACTTCCCAATTCGCGAAAGTTTGATGAGTGTCGACAGAGAATTAACGAAACCACTTTCAGAAATATAGTAATAATTACTTATTGATTAAATCAAAAAGTAGTTGAACGGGAACTGCTCATTAGCAAGGATTGATGATGGTTTTAGTAAAATTTCTCAAATAAATTATTTTCAACAAAACCTCTTTCTCATTAAATATTTTCCAGTCTTCAAGAAAGCTTCATTTTTGAGAAGAAAGCGAAGATAAAACCTGTTAAAGAAACATATTAATTAAAAGCAGATGATCTTAGATTTACGCTGTCTATAGAGTTGGAAGCAGAAAAGAGTCAGTTTCCTCACGAGAAAATCAGATAATCGCCATTTAAATTTAAGAATCAGTTTGCCAAATCGGCCATGTAAGATATCTCAATCTGTGCATACACTGCCAATATAAAGTGCTCTCATCACTTCTTTTGAAGAAAAAGAAGCTTGCAATTGAATATCTTTTTAAATGAACTTGATGGAAATGAGAACCAAATATTCGAAGAAATGGCTCGTGCCAAGAAAAAAGAGACTGCCAGAAAATAGTTGTAGTGAAGATTCTGAGAAAAAATCACAAAGAAAGCGCTTCAGCGAATCTTTTGTTTTGTCTTCAAAATAACAGTTTCGAGTATATTGATCATGCAATATTACTGACTGCTACAGTCACTCCCGGCCATATTTCCACGGTACTATCGTTCAAAAATGCTATGTTTCTCAAGCGCGGTGAAAAGAGAACGAAAAAAATCGGCCGAAAATGAAGTTGAAACTATCGGGTTGAGAATAACCAGGGCTTGGAAAAGCTTCAAGAAAAAAATCACCCCAGCGGAATATATTCCAAGAAGCAAGATGCGATTCTCCAACAGGCGTCGTCCAGCTATCGTCAAAGTTGAAAAATCGCTTCTTTTTGAGCCAATTATTCCTCGAAATTCACGTATTTTTCAACTTTTGCAAGGGCACCAAATAATAATCAAAGAAAGAAAAGATTGTTGGCAGACTCCGTCTGACCTTTCTTGGGGTAAAGGAACATTACATGTACCTTCAGTTCTGAAGTAACTGTAATTCAGATATTGACTTCGACGAAAGTAACCGAGCTGAGTTTTCTGATTTTTCTCAATCAGATCCTTATGAAAATGCGTCGATTAGTACAATGAGCAAAGCGGCCTTGTAAGATGGAATCACAGTTACAGGTATTTACTGATGCTTTTTGTAGCGATGAAGACATTGACTTGGAAATGATGGACGATGGAATCAGCACGAATTCTGGAGGAAGCAATGACATCAACAACGATCAGTCACTTTCTGAGTACGAGGAAAGAAGCTTCAGGTGAGCGAAGAAGGGGACCTTCAGTTTGTAAAAGAAATTCTAGCAACAGCTCGGCGATTGTGTACGAATGGGAAGACCTGAATATCGACGAGATTTCTGCTTTGGTCAGACACTAATATTCTTGTTTTCTTTCTTTCTTCGCTCGCGGTTATTTTTAAATAATGATAAATCGACAATTACGGGAGTTTTGTCCAACGATTTTCCGACATTTTAGGGGTCAGATTATCCTTTTTACAAAAAAAGAAAGCGGAGATATGCACAAAAGCTTATCGCAAAAAGTCATAAAATAAAAGACATTCTATACAAAAATGTGTTCTCAAGCTCTAGAAAATAAAATCGAATTCGTGTGGACCAAAGAATAGACACTTGTTCGTTTTCTGCTCATTCCTCTCTCTTCTGAAAATAAAGCTGAGAAATTTTCAACCCCATCAATGAAGGAAAATTCCTTACGATCTCCGCATCGATTGCGCAACAGTTCGTCTCGAGCCAATCAGCGACGCGGATTTTTGGAAAGTTTGGAATTCGTCGTTTTTCGCGCTTTTCGAGAGATTATCTCCTGTCCAGGAAACTGCCGAGTTGAGAAAGTAAAAGAATGAAAATTTTAGAGATATCCGAAGAAAAAAAGAATGTCGGGTGCTTCTGGGGCGACGTATTTCGGACAACCGGCGCTTTATGGATTGATGAAAAAGGTTGATCTGCCGGAAAGGGATGAGAGAGAATTGAAATCGTCGGAGAATGCTGGAGAACTGCCTACTGTAGGAAAGGGTGACTGCTTGATCAACTAGAAACACTTATCTATTCTATATTGATGATTTCAAAAAACTTTTTGTGGGGCCGGAAATCGTAAAAAACTGCAAGTGCAGTTTTCTTCAGCTCGTCAAGACGAGTCGAATGATGGGTCTAACTCCTGATAACTCTAAGGATTTACCGGTTTACCGGCTGGTTACCGGAAAATACGTTGTCACCGGCCGTTTTTGTTCTAGAAGTGATAGACTAATGTTTGACACCGGAAATTGTTTCTTATAGTCAGTTCTCCTGCAGCCTAAAAGATGAAGGTTGTATCAATTCTCTGAAGAGAGTTATCACTAAAATACTATTTTTGGCGAAAATGGGACTAGAAATTAGGAACGTGCAGCAACAACAAAATTTAAGTAAAAATTACTGTTTTTAGTGATAACTCTCTTCAGAGAATTTATACAACCTTCATCTTTTAGGCTGCAGGAGAACTGACTATAAGAAACAATTTCCGGTGTCAAACATTAGTCTATCACTTCTAGAACAAAAACGGCCGGTGACAACGTATTTTCCGGTAACCAGCCGGTAAACCGGTAAATCCTTAGAGTTATCAGGAGTTAGACCCATCATTCGACTCGTCTTGACGAGCTGAAGAAAACTGCACTTGCAGTTTTTTTACGATTTCCGGCCCCACAAAAAGTTTTTTGAAATCATCATTCATTCCCCTAATCATATTCACCCTTGAAAAGGCGGCTTATCAACATGGATCGCAGTGAACGCATTCGGTGAAGTCCTTGCAGGCCTTGCCGCTCCTTTGGACAACGTCTTTCCTTCAAATCTAACTCCGATTTCAAAAGAAGAACATGAAAGCATTCTTCTGGCGCGAACCTTCGCGATGGAATGCTCCCTCCGCCACGCGAAGAAGAAACAGAAAGAAAAAGAAAAGGCTCTTCAGCAGCAACAAATTGCAAGGCAGAGGGCTGTTCATTTGATGTGTCGGATTTACGTCGGAGCGGTTAATTATGAAGTTGGAGAAGCTACTGTCAAAAGTAAGACTCTCAAAAATTTTAACTAAGATTTGCCATAAAGCTTGCGGCTTCTCTCTTCGTAATTATGAAAATATTAATGTCCATTTTCAGCTTCTTTCGAAACCTTCGGTCCAGTGCGATCAGTAGACATGATTTACGACATCAACACTGGAAGACACAAAGGTTTCGCTTTCGTCGAATTTGAAACACCAGAAGCTGCACATTTGGCGTGCGAAGACATGCAAGGCGCAACTGTTGGAGGAAGATCGGTGAAAGTTGGAAGAACTTCGAATATGGGAATGGCAGAACACTTTATCTCGCAATTCGCTCAAGAAGCCGCTAGGTACTTTTAAAGGGGAATACTGTTAAATTCATCTTAAATTCAGGTACAATCGTATATACGTCGCGAGTGTACACGAGAACTTGTCAGACGACGACATTCGCGCTGTTTTCGAAGCATTCGGCCGAGTTGTCAGTTGTTCCCTAGTACGAGACGTCAGCGATCCCGAAACGCACTGCGGCTATGGCTATATCGAGTTCGAGAATCCAGAATCAATGGAAGAAGCGGTCAAGGCGATGGATCGCTACGACTTGGGTGGTAAAATGCTGCGCGTTTGTGCTTGCGTCGTGCCGCCCAGTTTGCAGAACATCACCACTTCCAACAACAAGGATTTGAAAGACGAGGACAAACTGAAACCGGCGATGATGCTTTCCGAAATGATCAAAAGAACTGAAGCGCTTGGAAGAATGTTGCCAGATGCGGAGGGCAGTTCGCAGCCGATGGAAGTTGACCAAAAAGCTATTGCTGGACCTAAAGGATCTGCTGCTGCGGAGAAAGTAAGGAATAAGGAGGTTTGGTTTTCCGTTAAAATGGAGACCATCTATAAGGACTTTCTCATTGGACCCCAGATTTTTTATTTTACTTATCGTTATGTAATCTTAGGTGTTGAGATCAATATGGATTTAAATTAATTTTGAACTAATCAATTTCTTTTAGTCGATCAACAGCTCGAGCATCGAAGCGGACGCGCAGAATGTGACGCTTTCTGGCCAAGATCAGCGCAATTTCTTGATGAACAAGCTTTCAAGAGCCCCTCAAACCAGAGTCCTCGTTTTGCGAAATATGCTCAAGGCGGATGAACTCGACGGAGAGGTCGGGGAATTTATCATTTTTTTAGAAATAGCATGTTTTGTATTTAGGTTGAGGCGGAAGTGACTGAAGAGTGCGAGAATTATGGAAAAGTTACGAAAGTTGTTATTTATCAAGAGAGGCAGAGTGCTGATACCGATGCTGAAATCGTTGTCAAGATATTTGTTCAATTCAGGTAAATACAGCGATAGCAGCGAGAATACATCAGTGAGAACTCAGAATCGCTTCTGAAGAGAGACTCGTATTCAACTCATTTTCAGTCTTCCACAAGAAGTGCAAACAGCAATTTCGGCCCTGGACAAGCGCTGGTTCAATGGCAATCAAATTTCCGCGCAAATCTACGACCAAACTGCCTTCGACATGAAAGACTACACGGGCTAGTGAAATTAAATGTCACATGACCACCGCTGTTCTGGCGAGACAAAAGGACAATTCAAGTCTCATTTACATCCAAGCGCGAAATCAAATCGAAAAAATAGCTCAATTGTCAATTTCCGTGAAAGTTCTAGTAAAATCGAGAAAAATTATAAAAAACGCCCATTTTTTATTATTTTGGGCGATTCATTTCAAAACTGCCTGTCTGAGTCTGATCGAGTCGCCCTTTGCGTACCGTGGGCGAGAGATATCACGACGGAGTCTGAGGGCCCGGGCCGGGGTTTTGAATATTTCGCGCACATTCAAATATTTTCCCATGCTTGATGGAGGACTTTTATCTGGTGGAAGACCAAATTGATGGAAGATAGGTCTAACCTAGACTATTTAAGATAAATTAATCTTTAACTTATAAATAGATAACAATTTTAAAAAATCTTGATCATGTGACTCTTGGAGGACCCTGGAGGACTTTTTCTGGTGGAAGACCGGCCTTCCTGGAAGACCCTTAAAATTCAGCCACCTTCCATGATTTTTAAATTTAAGGGGCTTGTCGAAGGGCCGTCTAAGCCCCGTCTCTGGCAAATTTAAATTAAGGGCTTGACGGCCCTTCGGGCCGTCTCAGCCCCGTCTCTGGCAAATTTAAATTAAGGGCTTGACGGCCCTTCGGGCCGTCTCAGCCCCGTCTCTGGCAAATTTAAATTAAGGGCTTGACGGCCCTTCGGGCCGTCTCAGCCCCGTCTCTGGCAAATTTAAATTAAGGGCTTGACGGCCCTTCGGGCCGTCTCAGCCCCGTCTCTGGCAAATTTAAATTAAGGGCTTGACGGCCCTTCGGGCCGTCTCAGCCCCGTCTCTGGCAAATTTAAATTAAATTCTTGACGGCCCTTCGGGCCGTCTCAGCCCCGTCTCTGGCAAATTTAAATTAGGGGCTTGACGGCCCTTCGGGCCGTCTCAGCCCCGTCTCTGGCAAATTTAAATTAAGGGGCTTGACGGCCCTTCGGGCCGTCTCAGCCCCGTCTCTGGCAAATTTAAATTAAGGGGCTTGACGGCCCTTCGGGCCGTCTCAGCCCCGTCTCTGGCAAATTTAAATTAAGGGGCTTGACGGCCCTTCGGGCCGTCTCAGCCCCGTCTCTGGCAAATTTAAATTAAGGGCGTTTGACGGCCCTTCGGGCCGTCTCAGCCCCGTCTCTGGCAAATTTAAATTAAGGGCTTGACGGCCCTTCGGGCCGTCTCAGCCCCGTCTCTGGCAAATTTAAATTAGGGGCTTGACGGCCCTTCGGGCCGTCTCAGCCCCGTCTCTGGCAAATTTAAATTATGGGCTTGACGGCCCTTCGGGCCGTCTCAGCCCCGTCTCTGGCAAATTTAAATTAAAGGCTTGACGGCCCTTCGGGCCGTCTCAGCCCCGTCTCTGGCAAATTTAAATTAAGGGGCTTGACGGCCCTTCGGGCCGTCTCAGCCCCGTCTCTGGCAAATTTAAATTAAGGGGCTTGACGGCCCTTCGGGCCGTCTCAGCCCCGTCTCTGGCAAATTTAAATTAAGGGGCTTGACGGCCCTTCGGGCCGTCTCAGCCCCGTCTCTGGCAAATTTAAATTAAGGGGCTTGACGGCCCTTCGGGCCGTCTCAGCCCCGTCTCTGGCAAATTTAAATTAAGGGGCTTGACGGCCCTTCGGGCCGTCTCAGCCCCGTCTCTGGCAAATTTAAATTAAGGGCTTGACGGCCCTTCGGGCCGTCTCAGCCCCGTCTCTGGCAAATTTAAATTAAGGGCTTGACGGCCCTTCGGGCCGTCTCAGCCCCGTCTCTGGCAAATTTAAATTATTTTTGACGGCCCTTCGGGCCGTCTCAGCCCCGTCTCTGGCAAATTTAAATTAAGGGCTTGACGGCCCTTCGGGCCGTCTCAGCCCCGTCTCTGGCAAATTTAAATTAGAGGCTTGACGGCCCTTCGGGCCGTCTCAGCCCCGTCTCTGGCAAATTTAAATTAAGGGCTTGACGGCCCTTCGGGCCGTCTCAGCCCCGTCTCTGGCAAATTTAAATTAAGGGCTTGACGGCCCTTCGGGCCGTCTCAGCCCCGTCTCTGGCAAATTTAAATTAAGGGGCTTGACGGCCCTTCGGGCCGTCTCAGCCCCGTCTCTGGCAAATTTAAATTAAGGGGCTTGACGGCCCTTCGGGCCGTCTCAGCCCCGTCTCTGGCAAATTTAAATTAAGGGGCTTGACGGCCCTTCGGGCCGTCTCAGCCCCGTCTCTGGCAAATTTAAATTAAGGGGCTTGACGGCCCTTCGGGCCGTCTCAGCCCCGTCTCTGGCAAATTTAAATTAAGGGGCTTGACAATGGCTGGGAATGAGGTGATCAATCTCAGTCCCCAACCCCGCCCACTCCCATCGTTTTTAAAATTCAAATTGACAAAGTTTTCAATTATGTTATGGTTTTGAATTTATTTTTTCAATTTAAAGATTTCTTTTTATTATTATTTACAAATAATTATTATTAAGTTTATTCATTATTACTAAATGAAAGTCAAAGTTATAAGAATTGAAGGAGGAAGAAGTTTCTTAGGCCAATTATTGAGAAAGGTGAATTGTGAAAAATGTTTCTAGACGGGGGGTTGTTGTTGTTCTTCGCGGAGGACCCACTCCCACGTGGCGCAAGATGCGCGCCAAAAAGAGCAAAAAGATTGGGACGAGAAAAACACGCGCAAATGCCCCAATCTATTTCCCCCTCCGTCGTGAAATCTCTCGCCCACGGTATTCTCGAACATTCCGATTTCATGAATACTGTCCAATTTATAAATTCGCAGCTCGGCAAGAGAACGAGCTCATTTCTATTTCAATAAAAAGAACCCAATAAGGAAAGAGAAAATTTAGATATTCGGATGGGGTTATTGGTTGTTGGCGAGCCCTTGAACTGGGAAGATACGAAGAAACATGCGGAATATGTCAGGAAAGGGATTTTATTCTACCGCGATTCTCGTTTCTCAGGAAGCCGCATTCCCTACTGGTCAGAATTTATAATCAGGAATGTTATTTTTATGTAATAATAAGAGTAAACAAATATTTGATAAGAGAATTTACTTATTCACTTCGCGGTACCAGTCAGGTACAACCAGATCTGTGTTTTTTAATATCTTATCTTTATTCGGAATAAATTATTCCAGAAAACTGGTGGACTATTCTTGCGTTCGTTGAACCTCAATACATCAGCTCAAGAATTAATCTTTCCGCCGTTCCCTCAACAAATCCCTTATCGCAGAGAGCACGGACTGGAGCAACTCATCCATATTTACAACCAATACAAAGATCGCTGCTGCGACACGCTAAAATGGGGCGACGAGGTGGAGTACATGATCTGCCGCGGCAACGAAGGTAACTTTCAAAAACGAAACCTGATTCAAAGACAAAGAAATCGACCTTTCATTTTCAGCAGTAATAATCAACAATACTAGCGGGCAAAAAGATCCAACTCGTCTTGAAAGGCGAAGATATCTTCGAGGAGCTCGATTGTGAGCAGCAGGACGAGCTCTGGAGGCCGGAATATGCCAGCTACATGCTTGAAGGGACTCCTGGACAGCCTTATGGGGGAACTCTCAATGATTTGCTGAAGGATAGGGTCACGATAAGATCGGATTTTTAAGGTGCAAAAAGGGGAAGCCGAAACCGCAGCGTAAAAATCTGAATAAAAAGCCTCTCCGGTGTGCTACAAAACGAGAAAGCCGCCTGCGGCTTGCGGGTTTCAAGGCTAAAAGAAGGGAGTGCGGCTCTTCTATTTTTCTTACGATTCTAACGATTTTGCTTACTTTCTCTGATGTCCTGCAAAAGAAATAAGACAAAAAAGAATTTTGATGAAACTAGGAACTTGAAGTTCTTCGTCTCATAAAATTAGTTTGTTTTTCTAATGAAATATTGTGTCGTGTTCTTTTAACAGAAAGATTATTGATCGTGCCTTCTTTTTAGAAGAAGCATAAATAGTTAGCGGTTAGCTAACTATTTACGCAAGGTAAGCAGCCCTCTTTTGGACTGCTCCTTGACTTCTTCAGTCAGCGGGATTTTTACCTCATCGCTCCAGCTAAAGAAAAATAAGTTGGATTCCCAAAATTTTAAAAATTACCTCTCAGAATTCGGCGTCGGACCTTCCTTGTTCATGCCAAGGCAGTGAACTGAATGAAAGAGAGTCGATTTTGCCCTGACAACAACTTCAGTTCTAGAGAAGCGCGAGTTTTTCCTGGAAAAATGGTAATCTGGAGATTTTTTCCATCATTAGCTTGTTTCCGACAAAAAGGCTCTAGAGAAGAAAATGGGATTGTAGGATGCACTTATTTTTTAATAAAATTGTTGATTCAGAGAAACCGACTATAAATCGATAGTATTTTGACCCTTGAAACCAGGTCGAGCGCTCAATGCTCAGAAGACGAAAGCAAGTCGAAGCAAAACTTGAAGAAAACGAGTACCTGGTCGCTTATTCAACCTTCCCCCGCCTCGGCTGCGAGAAATTCACCATCCCAGAAGTCGTCATCAATGACCCGGTCACCGACAATCCTTTCACTCAGTCGGAATTCTTCCCCGAACGCGCAATCAACCGCCATCCCCGCTTTCCAACCCTTTCTCAAAATATTCGACACCGAAGAGGAAAAAAGGTCGAAATCAACATTCCACTAATGATCGATGAAAACACAAGTCGGCCGTTCAGAAGCGAAGGATTGAAAACGGAGGAAAGCCGACGCGCCCAAATGGACGATCATATTTATATGGACGCGATGGGTTTCGGGATGGGCAATTCCTGTCTCCAAGTCACTTTTCAAGCGAGCTCGATTTGCGAGGCCAAGCATTTGTACGATCAGTTACTGGGCTCGCATATTTTTAGTTATTGGAGTTCGGAATAAAATTAGTCAGTCATAGAGAGGTATCTTTAGGGACACAAGAAATACGCTAGTAATATATCCAATCTCTTGAACTCTGTAGACATGTTGTCGAGCCCAGACAAGTTAATTCCAATGACTCCAATAATGCTCGCGATATCAGCCGCTTCTCCGATATTCCGCGGCCTCTTAGCCGATGTTGACACTCGTTGGTCAGTAATTTCTGCCTCTGTCGATTGTCGAACCGAGGAGGAAAAAGGCTCAGTGCCGCTTAAAAACGACAAATACGTCATTCCAAAGAGTCGTTACGCGTCTGTCAGCTCGTATCTTATGGACGAGAACCAAAAGTACAACGATATGAAACTCGTTATCAACCCTGAAGCGGAGAAAAAGCTGCTCGATGCGGGAATGGATCCAGTTTTGGCAACGCATTTTGCGCATTTATTCATCAGGGACCCGGTTACTCTTTGGGGCAACAAGTAAGTTCAGATCGGTTTACTTCGGATGGGAAAGATGAATTAATTATTAGAATATATTTGGATGATGAGAAAGAGTCCGATCACTTCGAGAATATTCAATCGACAAACTGGCAAACGCTGAGATTCAAGCCGCCACCACCGAACTCGCCCATCGGCTGGCGAGTTGAATTTAGACCGATGGAGGTTCAATTCACCGAGTTTGAAAACGCTGCCCATTCCATTTTCATCGTGCTTCTTACACGCGTTATTTTAAGGTAGCTTTCAACATTTTTACTGTATCGATAAAATTTTAGTTACCACCTGAACCTGACCGTCCCAATCTCAAAAGTAGAAGAAAACATGAAACGAGCAGAACACCGTGACGCCGTTTTGAAGCAAAAATTCTACTTCCGAACTAATCCTGACGAAGAAACGCCAAAGATCCTCGAACTCAGCTGTGACGAAGTCATAAACGGAGGAAGAGGATTTTTCGGTCTCATTCCATACATGAGAAAGTACTTGGACGACTCTGGCACTGATATTAAGACGAGATGTAAAATTCTGGTGAGTTTACTGGTGTTTATTTGATTTAATGAGTATATCAGAGTATGGCGAGTGTTTGATAAATGAAAATATTTTTTGATTCAGGAAACTATCTTCAATTTTTTCTATAAATTATAGACTCAATTATTGAGTTAGAGATGAAGTAGTTTATGATTTCAGTACGAAATTCTAACTCATTCCTTTTTTTCCGATTGCGGTTAGTTCTTTCCGTTTTTCTTTTCTTGCTTCGACGCATTGTCTCGATCATTTAATCGTTTTAGTTGATCTTCCATCTCTTCTTCCTCATCACTGATGTCTGTGTAATCCGAGTCGGATAAGGAAGGGTCGAGCATCAGTGGGTCTTCCTTGCCAAATGTGTATGGCTTCATCAGGACATCCACGTGCGAGTGAAGACCTTTTTTGACTCCCTTGTTCACTAAAATAGCTTGTTAGTTTGAAAATAAGAGTTTGATTGAACCTTTTTTTCTTGGCTGGGGAGTTTGAGCGTAGTCCTCAAATCCAGGGATCGAAACGCAAGCAAATTTCCGCATTTCATCGGTTCCCTCCCTCCCGAATCGCGCCAATAGCACTTTTATTTTCATTTTCTTCTCTTTGAAATCAGCCATGTAGAGAAAAGTGAAGATGTGATAACGGTGGCGGATCTTGAGTCGGACTTTGATGGCGAAAGTCCGATGGTGGTAGTCAGTCTGAGTATCCGTGCAAGTAGGGAAGTACACTGGGTACTCCCAGCCTTCTTTGGGCGACGGAATCTTGTACCAGTCTGGTTCTTTGTTGTGGATCGGGCAGGGCATCTTTTCCAAGTCCCCGCTGTTCATTTGAACATTCACTTTCTTCAGGTTATCCAGTCGTTGCCGAGCTTGATTATAAAAGATATTAACTTTCCTTATATTTCAGTAGAGCTCACCGTTTCGTATCTTTTCCGCAGCGGCTTCTTTTTCCATTGCATTCTGAGCCGAAGTAGCCTTCTTTCCTTTGTTTACCCACTTATCTCGTACTTCCTCTTTTTTCGGAGTCATTATATGTAAAATTATTTAATAATTCGATTAAAATTGTAACCCTTAGCATAGCTGGCGATTTTTGCTTCCATCGCCGTGGTCATTTGCTCGATCGCTTTGTTCGCCTCGTCGACGACTTCCTCTGGCACATGCCCGTCTTTGAAACACTTGCTCTTGTAAAACTCGATCTTCTCCCGAGCTTTCTGGATTTCCGACATTCCGTTGTCTAATCTCTTCTTGTGATCCGCCAGTTCCTTTTCGCTCAGATTCTGTCGCTTGGAAAGATCTGGGAATCTCGCACAATCTTCATTGATTTTTTTTATAATCGTCTTCGGAAGAGTCACTGTTTTCTTCGGGGGCTTCGCGACTTTTGGCTTCTTCGTCTTTTTCATCCCCTAAAGTAAAGTTTAAACATGATCGTGTTAAAAGCTCGACCAATCAGCGACTTGAAATATATGTTCGCTATTGTCGCTACTCGGTGTAGAATTTACCTTTGTGTTGTTGTTTCTGGGTGGGTGCATGTTGCAAATTTGTTTCGGCGCCTCGATCACTGTAGTTTCAATAGGAATCCCATCACTGTTCCTCGTTGTCCTTGTGACGCAATTTTCATGATCTGTGGATCCGCATCGAGAGCATTTCTTGATCCCTAAGGCAATTAGTAATACACAAAAAATGGTCTCTTTTACCTGGGTAGCTTCCAAGTCGTTCTTCTACTGGAGGCCGAGGTTTTCCATACAAATTCTCTCTTGCTTCTGTGTGAGGGGTGTCAGTATTTCAATAGTCTAGCAGACAGAAACTAAATTCACGGAAATTTCGACCTGAACTACGACCCTGGCTTTGATTTCCTCCTCGGACATGTTAAAAAGCGTTCTATTTTCGTGTTATTTTCAAACTCTTTTTTTTTCTCAAGGAAATTTAGTCGTTGGAAATAACACGTGCTTATAAGCATTCGGCCCCAAATGATCCTTGACCTGGTTGAGCAACTCCTTGTACTTGGGAAAGTACTCTTCTTGTTTTCCTTCGCGCATCTCTTTCGCCTTTTCCATGATAAGTCTCTCGGCCTCCAGCCGCCGAGCGGACTTTGGCTTGTCAGACATTTCGCTCGACTAAAATGAATTTTTTTTTCCCGGCGCTGGATAAACATAATCTAGAGATATCGAGATCTCAAACACAGGAAGCAATATTTTTGCGCGACTACTCCGAATCTATAAGTTTTTTTCTTGTAGAAAATTTTATAAAAGTCAAAAAAATACAAACATATTGATAAAGTATTGCCCATAATTTATTATTGGTAATTTTTCCAAGAATGTACTTGCGGCATATTCCTCGTATCAAAATATCGTCATCAACAGCCGTGAAAACTATTCAGAATAGATTAAAACCGCATTAATATGCACTTTGTTAATAAAACCATCCAAAACTAACCTATTTTCAGTGCTACCTCGATTTTGTTTCACTGCGCGCGAGTGGGAAACTGAAAACTACGGCAAATTGGATGCGAAATTTTGTCATGAGCCACCCGGACTACAAGAAGGATTCTGTTGTTTCTGACAAAATTACTTACGATTTGACTGTGCTCGCCGATAAGATTGTTCAAGGAAAACATCATGGTAAGATTTGACAAACAATAATGGCGCTAGAAATGTGTGTGTTTAGATGCGACTCTACTGCCGAAGCGAAATGACTGTTTTTGATGAAGGCGTCGTGAATGTTCTTTTTAATTTGATTAAGTTGCTGTGTATAATGATTGTTCCCAAGTAAGCTTCTGAATATGTTCTGAAATTTCGATTTCCAATCTCAAGGCATGTCAATCCTGTACTTATTTCCATAATATATATTTAAAATCTTTTCAAATCAACTGGCGCTTTTCTACTTTATCGCGAGAGGAATTCAGCTTCATACAGTTCTTATCGAATCAGATACAGTATAAAAAGCAGGTCATAAGGATAGTCAAAGTTGAAGTGCTGACTTGAGGGGCATCGAGGTCATTCAATATGAAGGGTCGACTTTCAGGAATAAGATGGAAGCTGACAGTGACCTGGCGTGACTGGGACGACTTCCCAAAGTCCTCCAACAAGGCCGACATTGAAGCATCATCAATACCGTATTGAAAATAGGAAAGAGATCCTATCTGCCACGTGGTGGAAACAGTGCATGTTGTTAACCGATAGACGGAGACGTAGAGAAACAAATAAATTAATAATAAATCAACGAGGAGGAGTATAAACTTGGCGTCGTGTGAATAAACGCGTTGATTTTTTAAAAAAGAAAAGAATGAAGAAATATTTTGTATTTGTTGCTTTGGCTATTTCGAGTTTAACACGCACAGATGCGCACAGAACTACGAATAATATGGACATCAGGAGAGGATAGTCGGTAGAGTCCTTGGAGTTTCTTGAAATCAAGGAAGAGTGCTCTGATTATCCAAAATAAGAGGAAGTTTCATGCAAGAATTAGGCAGTGATTCCAAAACATTTGAACCCGATTCAAGTGAGAAACAAGCAAAATAAGCATTCAATCATGTATTCAATCTACTAGATATTATGGACATGGTCAGCCGTATTTTGTCATTTGATAACCCAGATTTGGAATCCTCAAAAAGGCCTCGATCCTTCAGATTCGAACGATAATGCAACTCCTGTATCTGATCCCCTCTCACTTTTCAATGTTCTTCTTGGTTCCAAATACATGTGACAATCGTTTTTTCCTGAGCAATAAATACTTCGCTGTTTCCGGATTGATGCATCTTTGCCTTCTTTTTTCAGAAAAGTGGCGAGAAAGTGTTTGGTTTTGAAACCAAGTCCCTAATTTGCGCTAATAGTCCTCAATTTGCAGAACCGTCAGAACTCTGTTCTGGTCGATTAGGCGGCGAGTGTCGGTAAGCGCTCACTTCTAGGCTAGAATAACAGACCGATTTGGCACACACTGCAGCGGTGCATTTGTTGGAGTGTTCAGGCAAGATAAACATCAGTGCACCGCTAATTTGCTTTTGATATTAACACTGGCGCTTGAAGCCGTTCTGAGATTCACGCTGGGAAAGATGGATCATTAATCCCTTTGATATACATTCAATACATAAAATTATGTTTACTCATCTCTCTTTGCATGTGGCCTGCAGAAAGTCATCTTGTTCGATTTTGAAAATCGCCCTGTTTTCGCAACTTTAATCCAATTCAGCCGCACATGAGCTGTAATACGGCTCAGAAGGAGTATGAATCCTGTTGTCCCTAATTTCAAATTTGCGATGGCTCAAAATTACCACGGTTGAGTCTTTTCTCGCTCTGACGATTATTTCGTTAGTGTTTTGGATTAGCCCCCGTTACCCGTCATTATGGCGATTTAGCTCATTAGGCACCCAGGGAAGTTATTTCTATTCGAGCAAAGTGTGAGGGGAGCGCGATTAGTCTCCTGCTGCTTGGCGACAATACAGAATTAATATCACGTGGAACATACTTTTTGACATGGAACTTTTTCCAATTTCATAGTTTGAGTTGGTTTTAAGGGTGTTCTTAGCTTTTTTTCATAAAAAAGTCTAAAATAAATCCCGGTTTTTGAATCATGAATTCTACGGACCAAAAATTAGGGTTCATGTTGAGTTTTAAAAGTTCAGTTTTTTTGGAATATGCGATGCTCATTTCTATCGAAACCGCCAGGTAGTTTCAGGTGGTAAAGAGGAAGTGTTTAGCAGCTGGGCGGGTGTTTAACATTGTCCACAACTCGACTAGTCTATTATATCTTCCTTTACAAAGGCGGCGTCGAGTATCTGGATAATAGTTGAGGCGTTTCCGATTTGGATTAAGATTTTCGCAGAGCCCTGTGTAGTTGGCAGCCCTTGCGCTCAGCCACTTCCGCCAGTAAGGGTCCAAAACCATTTGGCTAAATTCGAAAGACTCCTTTTGTCCACAGCTGAAACGTTTTTGTTGGCGACTTCCGATGATTACTTTTTCATTTGAAAATGGTGCTAGTTGATGTCATTTTCTCATCGTTAACTTTTGTGACGAAGATGTTTGGTTTGTGTATTTGTGTCTGTATAAAATGAACATCTTAACCCATCTAGTATGACTGTATATCTTTGACTATCGCACACTTATAATTTCATGGAGCTGACCATGAATTCAATAAAATCCCCCGTGGATTTGATTTTCTTTGTATATTTTCGCCGGGTCAAGGGGTTCTCAAAGGGCCATTCTGTAAAGCTACTGTAGCAGGTTCGATCGTTGAACATGTATTGTTCGGAAAAGCGGTTGACGAATCGAAGATGACAGGAGCTGTCGGAATGAGTTAGCCATTGTACAAGTTAGCATTGTTAGTTATAGCTGGAACCAATGGCCGATTTTATGCACGAAATACTAAATAACTTTCAATCACTTCACCTGGCTAAGTTTGGCATTGTACGGCCTCGCAGGGTGCTAATCGTAGAAAATAACAGAAAAGAAAAGAACCTCCTTGAATAGCCCAGTTGAAAACAAATCCGCTAAAGGAGACACACTGACACTTTTCGAATTACTAATTGGACTACTGTATTATCAAGTACTGTGTTGATAAATGGCCCTGAGAAAAAGAAGCGAGCAAGTTAGATAAACTCACTTCCGCTCAGCAAGCTTCAAAGGATTACCGGAACATGCATCATTTGTCAAGAGGAGTGAAAAATTAGGGCTCACTGGGAATTAGGAATTGTGAAAAATTAGCAAAAAATGCAGCGCTAGAATCAGATAAGGCGGCACTCTTCCCACAGCTTAGCTCGGGAACAGTGAAAGCGGCCGACCATAAATCCGTTTTGTTTACTGCAAGTGCAATTTTATGGGACTTTACATAACTACTTTTTTTTGCCTTTGAGATTTGTATTTGAAAACAAATTGAGAATGAAGTTTTTTATCAGGCTTATCAATAATTGCCTATTATCATGTAAGACTCAAATGAAAGCTATTAAGAGTAAAAAATTATTGAATAAATATTAATTTTCAAATTGTCGATTTTCATAATTTTGGTTCCTGTAACTCACGATTCGCGAAAAATTTATTTCGAGGAAGAAAAATGGCCAGGTGATTTGAGTATCGACCTTCCTTCCCACTGAGCGCATGGCGAAATTCGCGTGTAACTGTAATGGCAGGTGCAGCTGGATCAATCTCTGGCTGCGAATTCCGAAAATTAGCAGCTATCTTATGAAATCGGAATTCCACTCAATGCAACGTCGTACATGGCGATTTTTGAAATACTGTTTCTCGTGAACTACGTCTCTCTCCTCTTCCTTGGCGATATGGATAATCGTGTCGATCGCGTCCTGAATTCAGAGACACTGGCGATTTTGGTTTCAAAATTAGCAGATCAATCCGGTGACACACCGCAAAAGTGCTCTTATCAAAGCCGGAAGAGACGTCACAGTTATAGCCGCTATACTTTTGCACATCTCGTCGTTTGCGGCCTCCTTGGAATTTTCAAGGCGAGATAGTTGCATGAACACTTCGCAAAATTTTCAGTTAACGCCGAAACGCAGGGCGACCAATTAATTGGTACAAGGCCGTTTAATACCTCATAACTCAACTTTTACTTTACGCTAGAAAAAAATGAACCCCCACTTATGGAGCTCCTTTTTATCGAGGAATTCGATTCCAGCGTCAAAAAAAAATTTTTTTGAAAATTTTTGATTTTAGCTATTGAACGAAGTTTTGAACTCGGATATTTTTATATTCTTTCAACAATAGATCGCCATTACGTCGTTATTCGACACATTTGGAAATTCGCATATTTACTCATATTTATGTTTTAATATGGGTAAAATATGGGGATGAAATTGAAGCTAAGCGTCTGAGAATTATTTATCTCTATCATTTATTCAGTAAATTTGACAGTTTCATTGTTAAAAAGGGGTAAAAGGGGCATACCAATTAATTGGTACGATCTGCGTTCAACCTTGAAAAAATTTTATGCGTTCCGGCGTTAAATACTCATTTAGGGGTCTCAAGTTTTACTAGGTTATCAATTTACATTTTGAAAAGAAGTTTCTACGATTTTGAATAAAGAATATTTCGTTTTATCCTCACCAAGCAGCTTGATAAAGAATTTCTCAAAAACATCAAGAGTTTTTTAAGAAATCATCATCTCCCTTGAGAGCCATTATAGCAATTCTTCCGCTACCCCTGCTGGCCCATTCATTGTCATCGCCGTCTGATCCGCCGATGCTCGTCCTTTTCGAGTTTTGTTTCCGGCTTTCGTCTTTCAAGTTACACGAAGACCGATGCTGCTGACCTTGAGAAATATATTTGGTAAACAATTAAATCGTTTGTGATGTGGAGCAGTGCCCATTGAGCTAGGAACAGGGCGGAAAATCGCTCCGCGCAGCTGACAAGCCTGAATCTTCACTCATCTTCTCGCCATTGGCGCTAGAGCGGCTCCAGTTCCGAACAGCGCCGCCACCGGCTCGTTTAGTCTTCCGGAGCTTTATAAGTCCCCTCTTCATCGATAATAGCATCATTATAATTCGAAATAACTCAGAGCAAAACGCAAAAATACTCAAAACAAAACTTTTTGAAAACCAGAAAAACAGAAACAGAAACCAACAAAAATGTTCAGTCTTTTCAACTCTGCCGCAGCTTTGACTGCAGCGGCTGCTGCTCCAGCTATGCCTTCTCTTTTCCCTTTTTCGCCAACTTCGGTAGCTCAGCTTTGCACCGTCCTCGAAGAAACTGGCGACTACGACAGATTGGCTCGATTTCTCTGGAGTCTTCCCGCTCTTCCACCAATTTTAGACGCCCTTGCTAACGATGAAATTCTCCTCAGAGCTCGAGCAGTTGTTGCTTATCATCAGGTAATTACAAGCTCATGAAAAACTTTTTTTCTAAGAGAACATCTTTAGGGAAACTTTCGCGAACTCTACCGCATCGTCGAGTCCAAACGATTCTCAAAAGCTCACCACAGTAAACTCCAAGAACTCTGGCTCGAAGCCCACTATGGCGAAGCAGAAGCAACTCGAGGTCGATCTTTGGGCCCAGTCGACAAATACCGAATCCGCAAAAAGTACCCACTTCCTCGAACGATCTGGGATGGCGAGCAGAAATCGCACTGCTTCAAGGAGCGCACAAGAACTCTTCTCCGCGAAAGTTACATCAAGGATCCCTACCCAAATCCAACCAAAAAGAGAGAACTTGCCGAACAGACAAATCTGACTCCGACTCAAGTTGGCAACTGGTTCAAGAATCGACGACAGCGGGATCGAGCAGCCGCAGCTAAATCTCGGTAAGCAATGTTATGATACCATTTTCGGGAATAACTGATAAAAAAGACAAAGATTTTCTTTAAAACTTCTTAGCCGTTTCAATTTCTCTAATCGATATTTTAGACTTCCTCTTGACGCCTCTCCAGACTCCGGCACCGCTGGTTCCGTGATCGAAATCCCCTCCTTCCCACCATCTTCACCCGTTTCTTCGACGCTTTCTATCACTCCCGAGAAGAAATTCAAGCTCTTCACTCCCTACGATCTCACTCCAAACGACTCCTGCGGCACTGCTGCTTCCAACCCTTCAGTGACAAGTGAGGAGGAAATTGACTTCGAGGAAGACGAAGATGACGAGCTCGACATCATTGTCGACGAAAAAGACGACGAGAACTTGCAGATCTAAATAACGAATCTGAAATTATTCTTCTATTTGTAAAACCTTTCTTCATTTTTGTACATCTTCAACCCATTCATCCTGTTTTCATAATACAGTCAAATTCTGCATGAAAAATAACTTGTGTTAGATTTGAAATTTCGAAATATAAACTACGAATCTACAGTAAGATCAAGCAACTATTCAAATATGCTCCACTTGTCGTAACAAAAAACATCTGAAGAGGAACCCCGCGGAGAATACCTAGGGCCCACACGCAAAGAAAAAATCGGTGACCGCATGGTTCTATGTAAAAACCACCAATATGAAAAATGTAGCTCTTAAAATTCTGGTCAAGAAAAGATAAAAAAAACTGGAACGCGTAATTGAAAAATCTAGAGAAAAACGCGAAAAACGGACTTCCATATATGGTAATGAAATTTGATCGCATGCCCCTAGGCTACCAAAAATTTTTTTGAGGGTAGATTTTTATGCGCATATTACGATGAGCAAATAAAAACTGGAACGCGTAATTATAAATTTCGAGATATTCGCCTCTAAAGCCGAAAATTGGCCTCTTTGCGTGTGGACCCTAAGAATACCCTTCTTGGCACCTTCACTCGCACTTATCCGCTTTCATTTTTCGATGATTACTTATGTTGAAGAGTTTTTTTCAGTAAAAATCAATGAGTTTGTGTCAGGCGGGCGCTTCAACTCGGACAGATGAGTCTTCCTTGATTTCAAGGCTGAGAAATAATATATTTCATACATCTTTTTCGTTGTCGAATTGCCTCCTGTTTTTCAAAATTCATGACCGGTCTCTTTTTTGTGAATTTAGATTAATCGCGTTATGAGAATCATTTTGATGAAACACAAGAATAAATCTTAATTAGCTTGCGTGAAGATCGCATTTTCAGACTTTTCAATGTCATCAAAAGTAAACTAATAACGGCGTAACCCTAACCCTAACGGTTAGGGCCTAACCCCTTATTTGTCAACTTTTGTGAGCATTACATTTTTTTTTTATTTTGGAATTTTCGCTTTATTTGAAAGATCTTCCGATAGGAAAGCAGATCATCTTCCTTGTTAGAATCTGGTTGAGCCTTTGCAACCAAATGAACCGTTTTTTCGTGTTTTTGCTCCCGTGAAAGTGAAGGCCAACGAAATGACCTCAATCCGACTAGACAGTGTTTCGAGAGACTTGTCGGAGACTTGTTATGCATTTGCACTTTCACTTTAGTGGAATTTCTTGGTCCGGCGTTCTTAATAGTGCGCACTTTCTCCTTTACCGTATAGAGTCTATACGGTATAGTGTAAAGCACGGTTTTCAGTCACCATAATCAGAGATGAAAAAATAACTTTCCATGGATTTCAGTGGATCTTAAACACTAGTCAGCCAAGGTAAAAGAAAAATGTATTTTTATAGTCCTTCCACCTATCCTACTCTAGTTGGTTTTCCTTACAATGCTTAACAATATTAATTGACAATTATAGTAGTACGTTGTAAGAACTTTGTTGTTAAAACGTGCGATAAGGAAGTCAACACATTGAATCCGCCTAGTCAATGTTTTGAAAAACTTGAACGGGGCTTGTTATGCAAAGTGGAATTTCATGTTGCGGGATTCTCAGCAGCCTGTCTCCTTTCCTAAGTTCTTTTTCGTGAGCACTATTGACCATAAGAAATGTGACGGGAATCCGTAAGCTTCCTTCAAAAGTCACCAGAAAAGTATTGAAAAAATTGCACTCTTATTAATTTTTCAAAATTATTTGAGTCATTAAAACGATGTTTTTGGTAATTATCACTTAATTTCCGTTTAAATTTGTACCTCAACTTTGCCAGAGTAGCTTGAATATTCTAACTCTTGAATTTTGAGCCTAAATAAAATACTGTGGTGATAACAAAGGTCGCACGTTGTTGAACAAGCATCCTTTCATGGATTCACGGGGAAGTTTCCAACAAGGATATTGGCTTAGGTAATTCAATAATTAAAATTGCTTGATTTGCGAAATTTCCTTCAGTTGATCCGTAAATATTTTGAAACTCTAACGATAGGTCAGAACTCTACCATTTCTGCCAGAAGGATTCTAGTAAACGTGAATACTAACGTTTTTTAAATAAATAGTTTAATGTCTGACAATTAGATTCCGCGGAATTGAAACCGCGTTCACATGACAAGTACGCAAGTCTGCAAAATCCACTGTTGGCACTTGGCTTCATGTTTGGTATCGTGACGAGCGTACGCGTAATTATAATTGGTCACAATTATAGAACCGATCAAGTTTTTAGGAAAACACGCACCTGGGCGCAAGGTAGGTAATTTTATAATTGTCAATTATCAATTAACAATTGTGGACTCATCCGATTACGAACCCGGTTAAAAATTATCTGGATCGACAGAGATAGCACACGCCATGGCCCATGGGGCTTGATCTTTTGTCCCTTTTCATATTTTTTTTATTTTATATTTGTTTTAATTTATGTTGAATGGGAAAATTGACGTCCGGGAATATTACCAACTACAGTTATTGTATCAGGGTCTCCTTATCTCGTCACAAATAGACACAGCCTGTAGCTACTTATACCGACACATCAAGCTGAACTATTCGTGAACTCCAAGACAGAAAAGTCCGATTATGAATTGATTGCAGAAGAGGTTGTCCGGCTGGTTTTAGGTTGACACTTATTGAACCATTTCGTCATTATTTTCGTAGGAATCAAAGCGCCGTAGGAATCAAATGAATCCCTCCTTGTATAGGAATCTACGAGCGCTGTGATTTTCTGGTCCGTATACGGTAAACGTTCCAACTTTAAATTAAATGGAATTAGAATTATCGATTATTGCAAACGATTTTAGAATATTCAAAAATTTATTTCGACATTGAAGATCGAGTTGTATGTTACTTGTAACAACAAGTAGAAATGGTGGCGCAGTCGACGCAACGTCAGTAGTTTGACTTTATAACCGGAGGGCCTAGTTTCTAATGCTTATAAACGAGGTGCTTTCAGATATTTATTAGAAGAAAAGAGAGATCGTTTTTCTTCGTCGTAAAGATGAAACTTCTATCAACGCTTTTAGCTTGTGCTCTTGGTAAGTAAAACTACTCGTACGGCTAAGATATCATTTCCTTACTATGGGGGTAGATAAAGTAAAAAAAACCGTTTTCGGTCGTTATTTTAATTTTTAGCCGATCGAGGTCACACGGAAGATGAGCTCAACACGATCATCGCTGCCCACAGAATGATTCGAAACGGCCCACTTACCGATGCTGTCTCTAGCAGCTTGTCAAGTGTGGAAGCATTCGCTTTAGAATCCGTTGAATCTTTTGGCAGTCAACGATCCTTTTCTGACGCCGAAAAGATCGTTTCAATGGCGAGAAACATCACCAACCCATCATCCAGCGAACGAGCTGGCTACTCCGATGCTGACGATGAGTGCGATTCAGAATACCCCTTCATCGATGGACGATGCAATCATCCTTCTGGAAACGGACAGCCGCTACAAACTTACGCTCGTCTGCTGCCAGCCTCTTACTGCGATGGATATGGCTCCCCAAGATGCTCTTCCGATGGACAGCCTTTGCCAAACCCACGCGAAGTCTCCGTCTATCTTCGCAGCAAATTCGACCCCGCTGACCGACCGAACAAGAAAACCAGTCATTTTCTGAACGTCGCGGGCCAGTTCATCACACATACAGTCCTCAAGACTCCAGATCGTAAATCGATCGCGACTTGTGGCTGCGAAGAAAATAAACATTGCCTCAACTGGTCGACAGAGAATGATGCTGTTTTCGCGGAGACCGAGTGCAATTTCATCACGCGATCGTCAGTTTCCCTCGGAAACTATGATGGAAATCTCGTTTTGGAGCAGGTCAATCAGCTGACTGGAACATTTCAAGGTAAGAAGATATTTAACAAAAGGAACCAACAAGTAAATCTTTAGCCGGCGTCATTTACGGTTTTTCCGAGCACCATTTGAACGCCCTTCGTCTCCCGGGAACTCCCTTCATCGATGGAAACGACATGACGATCGGCGGCGATGTGCTCCCAAGAACAAAAACAATCAACGCCCGCGACAGCTCCTTCATGAATGTAACAACTCCCTTCGAGTTGAATCCGGGACTCAACGAACGCGGCTACCCGTCTTTCGTCTCTGGTGACCCTAGAGCTTTTGAAAATGCTTTTCTCGGCAGCTTCCACGTTCTTTTCCACAGGACTGGTTGATTTTTTGCTAAGAATGTTTCGTAAATTATTTCAGCGAGCGTCATGACATGTTTCAATACTAAACTTTCATATATTTTCGCTCCATAGTGCACACGTTGTTGACCAAAAACATCATCAATTTTTATGGTTGCAAATAACATAAAAATTGAGATGAACACGACTAAGGATAATTATCAAAAACATTCACCAGCCTAGGCAATTTGTACCACAAACATAACCGACATATTTTATTGTTATTACTAAAACACTTAGATCAAGCCAGTTTAAGACTTCACAATGTAGTTGCACAAGAACTTCAAAACGTTTTCCCCAACGCTGACAACGAGTACATTTTCAACGAGGCCCGCAAATTCAACATCGCGATTCAGCAAAAGATGCTTTACGAAGAAATGATCCCTGCGCTCTTTGCCGAAAACTTGGAAAAATTTGATGGAGGATCACTCAAGTCTTCTGATGTTCCGATCTTCCAGTCTGAAGACAGACCGATTGGACCTGTAGTCTTCAATGAGTTTACTACGTCTGCTTTCCGAATCGCTCATTCCGAGCAGCCTAATCACGTGGTCTCAGCAGACTCAAACTACAACATCACCCGCCAAGCCGAGCTCAAAGACAACTTCTTCGACCCGCATGTGATGATGCTTGACGGACCAGGTGCAATTTGCCGTGGCGCTGCCAAGTTCCAGTCTCTCTCCGCCGGACCATCTTTTGCCGACTCGGTTCATCACAACTTGCTGAAGCCACACACAGCTTCGTTCGGAACTGATCTTTTCGCGATCAACATTGCTCGTGGCCGAGATCACGGAATCGAAGGATACAAAGCTTACTTCGACCTTTTCAAGAAAGATCCTGAATGTGCAAAACTCTACCGCGGCTGGGACGGAATGATGCCAAAATGGCGAAGTCTTATCAGAAACCAATATCGAGAGCGAGAAGAAGACGTCGATCTCTACGTCGGTCTGCTCATGGAAGAACATCTCCCCGGCGCTGCCACTGGGCCAACTGCTTCGTGCATAATGATGAAACAGTTCAAAAACTCGAAAACTGAAGATCGCTGGTTCTACGAAAACGACAATTTCTGGAAGAGTCGCGCCAAGTTCGATCTCGTCAAAAAAATCGACGTCGCCACGGTCATGTGTATGACTTTAGAAAACATGGAAAGCGTTCCTGATATGCCATTCATTGCCGAGGGATCCGAAATTCTTGGACGAAAGAGGCAAATGGTTAAATGCGCGGACTTGCTCAGAAACGTTGACTTCAAAAAATCATACGGACTCGACATCAACAAAAAGGGCGAAGAACTGTTAGACGCCATTGAAAAAGGGCTCAAAGACGCCGGAGCTAGAAATCCGGACAAGAACGTGAAACAAATCAAAAAGATCATGAAAAGATTCGACTGGATGAGCGAGAATGCCAATGTAGTCGGATGCGAGAATCCTGCTGGAGCGGGAATCGGAGCCGGAGACCACTCTTATTTTGACTTCGCTGTTGCAGGAGCTGATAGAAATATTTTCACCTTAATTTCTAAGAAATACTTTTAGGAATAATTTCATTTTACACGTCGAAAAATGATTAAAGATTTTTATCCCTCAAAGACTTCGACATTTGCTACTCGATTAAAAAATACATTGAATTCACTTTGAAGGGATTCTACGACGATTTTGTCTGCCTCGATAATGCTCCATCTCGAAAGCTGCAAAACTTCTCTCGTCACGTGAATAAAGCAAACAAGATTTTCAATAGGGCGAAGGGAAAACTTGGTTGCTTCGGAGAACGTCGCTGATTGCATATTTCTGAGCTTCATAATTTGTATTTTTAATAAATTGAAACTATATCATAAAAGGACTGTCTCTACAATAAGCTGATTTATTTATGAATATGAAAGCATTCAAATCAATAAAACTTATGTACATAACAGAGTGGCAGGAAGACGAGGTATCTAAGACTTGACTGAGACTTGTGAGTGAAGACGAGAAAGAGTGGCAGCGTTATTTCGTAACCTTGTAAAGGAGCATTTACGGTGTTGGCGATTCTGTTAAACTCCGGGAACGCGAGCGATGAGCGTGCCTCCTTTTCAGCACCAGTTCGCTTTCTTGCTCTTCAGTTGGCTCTCGATATCTTGAGTAAGGATTGTATGCTTGCCGATGTGGATGCTCAAACTCTTCAATTCGGGGGCCATAAGACGAGCCATCGTCAATCAGTCCAGTTTCAGAGTTCCAGAAGAGATCTTTCGACAAGTCTGGCATGTAAGCAGGCCTAAAAGATGCATCCGAGCGGCATTCCGGAGCGGTTCCTTCCACTTTGCACACGCATTTGACTCCTTGAGCAGTCGTCCAAGGCTCGTGAAGGGGATGCGCGATAGCCTTGGTTTTTCATTGATAAGTTGGGGATAAAATGAGGGCGACTTACGCTTGTGTTGTCTTCGTAACATGCCAAGTTGCTTTGATCGCGGGTGGTGAAATCTTTAGTCGTCGGGGTAGAGTCGAACTCGTGGTTGTTTCCCGATCGACCAGTTGCTTTTATTCCGAGAGTGATGGTGATCATATATTTTGTTCCAGGTTTAATATTGCTAAATGAGAGTTAATAAAAGTCTCAAACTGATTTACAGACTTGATTCTGGCAGCTTGAGTCATTTCCGAATTTCTTCTTTCGATCGGCTTGTGGCCTACTTGGGGCATTTTGCATTCACCTCTGCACCTGAAAATCAACAACAGTCATTTATGCCAGACTTTATCAAACTTACTCTTCCTCTTCTATAGAAATATACGCAATTTCAGTTATATCATCTCTTTTTGGATAGGGCCATTTCCAAAAGAAAAGAATTTCTGTGCTCAAAACTTGCCGCAACTCTGTATCAATGGCAGGAGCTGCTCTTGTTCGTTGAGTGATGGTTGTTCGTCGTTTTGGGCCAGTTTTGAAGCTGCAATGCATGTCGATCTCGTACTCCGAAAATGGCTCCAGATTCAACAGTTTGTAAGGACTTAATTTGAAAGATCAGAAAAAGATAGAAGATCTGACCGAACCTGTTTGCATTTTCGACCGTTCCAGCAACAGCTCCAGCTGTACTGTACGTTAATTTAATATCACTGCAGTGCCTGTTTGCCTTTTCAAATTCAAGCTCGATGAAATCTTCGCCAAAACTCTTGACCTGTACTTCTCTTACAGTATATCTCTTCGTAACTCTTCGCGATCTGTCACAATGATATTTTTCCGAGTCTTGACAAGAAAGTCCAAAAACGATGAGTCGGTAGTCTCTTCCTGGAATGATATTTTGGAAGACAACTTTTGTTTCGATTCCGACAAGTGGGACGACTTTGGTTTTTGCTGATCCGCCGCCGACTGTTGCAAGTGAGACTTTAAATGACTGAATTGACTGAGCACGGTTTTTCAAGGGTCTTGAGGTCAGAATAGCGCTAGAAAAAAAGAATCAGATATTTCCTGAGTTCTTTTGCTTACGTTATAGTTCCCGCTTCTTCATCAGCAACAATATCAACCGTCGGTTTCGGAATTATTTTCGGAATTCGCTGTTCAATAAGAGTTTCTTTTGAAGCATGAGGCAGAGCTTCGCAAGTATCAATACTCTTCTCGTTGCAACAGCTGCATTGGTTACAGTTGCACAGGTCTTCATTTCCGTCGGAGTAGTCAGCATAGCCATAGTCGCCGTAGGCTTGGTATGGGCCGTAGTTGCCGTAATTGTAAGAATAAGGAGAAGAGTAGGGCAGATTGGAGCCGAAGAGAAATTTGTTGTAACTCGTGCAATTTACATTCTTTACAGCGCTCACCAGAAATCTATTGAAAAAAAATTTACCTGTATTTTCTATTCAATCTTGAAATAAACCTGTATTGGGTGCCCGAATCGACAGTATCTTCGTAACAAAGGACATTGCTCTGCTTCGTGAACTGAGAGCACATGACCTGCGCTGTGCGCGTGATTTCTTTGGGTCGAATAGTTGTGGAAACTCGTGTCGAGCCGCGCTCCTTGATGACTTCGTACTCGTTTGCTCCCTTGATGCCTTCCCACGTGAAAACAATAAAATTGCTCGACAGAAATCTGAGAATTATGTTATCTTCGTTGACAGCGGGCACTTTTGTTACACCAAGAGTTCTAGCAATATCCGATTGTCGGCTCAAATCTCCTTGGAATGCCTCTAAAATGAGCTTAGTTACAGAGATGGGTGGAAATAAACTCACCCAAAGAGAGGGTATAAGAAGTCGATGGATCGAGTTTGCCAAGGGTATATTTTTTGATGTTGTTCTTATTATCAAAATAAGCGAAAATCTTTGTTGGCTGTGAAACGTCGCTGCTCCATGAAAGTTTGTACCGCGTGATTCTTGCTTTTGGAGGAGTCCATTCAAGAGTTATCTCGTCGCTCGTGCACTCAGTCACTCTGAGATCAACAATTGGATCGATTTCAGTTGAAAAGTTGAAAATCGCAGGAGGAGTTTTTATATCTTCGCCAGTGTTCACATCGACTAAAGGGATGACCCCATAGACCTGAAGAATGTTTGATTATTTTTTTTTGTGATTCTAATGGACCTCGATGTTGTATTTTTGTCCTGGATCAAGGCCCTCAATGTCCAAGACCTGGACTTGTTTCCGTGTCTCTAATCCGTACTGATCTTTCGGCAAGGTATATCTCGGGTCGAAGTGATCAATCACTTGTGAGGAGCGAGGATCATACGGATCAGACATAACTCGAATGTGGTAGTCCCTAACGGGCGCATCTGGATTCTCCCATTTGATCGTGATTGTATTTTCTTTTCGATAGTTCATTTCAACTCGCAGCGCTTTGGGACGATCGGGTGCGGTTTGGACGATTGTTGAAAGTGCTTCTGATGGAATTTGTTTGTTATCGACTAGGACTAAGGCTCGGAGCTGGATTTCATATTGTCGGCCGGGTAAAATCATCGGAATGAGGATATATCGGGAATCTTGACCTGTTGGAATTGGGTACGTTTGGGACTCTCTCACGTGATCATCAGTCAAGTCAGAAACATTAACTAGGTATCGGATGACTGCAACAGATGGTGGATTCCAGGTCACACTTGCAGTGTTGTTTCCATGGAGCTTGACGACCAAATCAGTTGGATTTCGTGAAAGTACTGTTCCTTTTATTTCGGCAAAGTTGGAAACAAGTCGATGACCCCGCTCTTCAAAAATTGAAGCAACTTTGATCGTGTATTCTTGATTTTCTTCCAGTCCCAAGCTCCTTGTCTGATAAATATTACACGGATTCTTGTGGCGGTGGGGGCAATAACGAGTCGCCCCGTGATGCAGTCGGTCGATTTTACTCGTTTCTTCGTTGATGAGCTTGTTATTCTTCCATGTTTGCACCTTGAAATGAGTCACTGGCCCGTCTGGCTCTAGCCATTGAAAATCAAGTCTTCCGGAGCTTGTACTCGTGATGAAAATCAATTCCATCGGGGCATCGAGTTTCGTAAAGATCGAAATTTGCTCACAACGTCCTTCTTGTAAACTGTCATCAACTTCCACAAGCGCGGAAATATTAACGGAATATTCAGTTCCTGGCTCTAGTCCGCTCGTCCTCCATGTTTGCTCGTTTTTATTGGAAACGTGGTTGATTCTGTTGATTTGGAAGCCATGATTTATGTCGATTTTGTATTTTCTGATTTCCACATTTTTGTCGAGAACAGGTTTTTTCCAAGAAATAGCGAAGCCGTCTTCATTGGTCTCAACGAGTTGAAGAGCTCGAGGCGGCGGAATCGATGTCAAATGCTCACCGAACGCGGCATCGGAGTATTTTCCATTTCGTTTTGCTTTCACATTCACTCTTAATAAGTTTGATGAGCATAATTGGAAAAAAGAACTTTTGACTTTTCTTTTTGATTAATGTGTCGATTACCTGTAAAGTGTTGCTTCTGATAAATCAGAGAAAGTAACTGATGTGCGTCCCTTGTCAACCCTCTCGTGCTTGATGACTTTTCCAGTCTCTACCTCAAGACATTCAACGAGATACTCTTCAACATAAATCGCGCTTTTGCGGTTCAAAACACAACTTTAATTTATCTCAACTATTAAACTGTTTTTGAACTGTGCCTTGGATGCCACGTGACTTCAAGTTCATTTTGTCCTCTCTCGACAAAGTCAATTTTAGACGGTTTTGGAATCGCAGTCGCCGCAGTGATCGAAGTCGCCAGCGATTTCAGCGGCGGTTGATTGTTGCGCGGAATTATAGCAGCGACAGAAATATCATAGTCTCGTCCAGCTACGAGCCCTTTTATCACCAGATTTTTCTCGCTTGTATTTTCTGCTTCCGGCGCGCCTCCCTGCTTGCTTTTGTAAATGACTCGGTACGACGGATTTTTAGTTTGACTGTTGTCTTTCCAGATGATGTGGAGATAGTCGGAGCCCGAGTCGACCACTTGAAGACCAGAAATAGCTTCAGGAGGCATTTGGAAATTGTAAACGGCTTGTTCAGACATCCCGCCCTTGTCAGACACGCCTGTGAGCTTGACACTGTACATGTCCAGTGGATACAGTTTGTTAAATACAAAGGACCAAACTCTTTGGCCATTAATCATCTTCTGATTGAGACCGTTTCTTTGATTCACAACAAACTCTGGAATGAAGTGAGAAGGCTCCGAACTACCGACGAACATTCGAAACTCATTTACATCGCTTCTCTCAAATTTATCCCAAATAAATTCCGCTGACGTTGATGTGATAACTCGAGAATGTTTGAAATTTTGTGGCGCGATTTCTAGCGTTTTGAAAGCAACAGACTCTTTCGGTGACTCCCCACTATTTACGATTGCCACAACGTCGATCACATAATTTTTGAAGGGTCGAAGATTCGTTAGTTTTCTATAAGTATCTCCCCCTGGAATTTCTTGTGAGTTGCCGTCTTGATCCGAGACCCTCCATTTCTGAGGAAAGCCATCTCTCGGTGACCATCTAATGGTTGCTGTGGTGGAGGTTACCTCTAGAACTTCCAGGCCAGTTGCTCCAGCCACATTTGCAGGTTGCATTTCGATTTCACGGACAAATACGTCAGATTCTATCTGCTCGTCGCCGAATCGAACTATCGCTACTGCTGTCAGTTTTGAGACGCCCGATGGAATGTTGGGAATCGTCAGAGTTTGTTCAACACCAGGTTGTAGATTTTGATTCTTGAAAACATCGACATTGTTGAGTGAAATCTTCACTTGGACGTTTTGGGCGTTGTTGAGCGAGGTTCTCCATTTGATTGTTGCTCTCGGGAAATCGCTTTCGACGGAAAGAACTTGCGGTGCTTCGGGTTTTGTGTACGCGAAAATTGGTTGCTGGTTGGTTCGACCGTTGAGGGTGTAATCTGCGCGAATGCGGTAGCGTTTACCAGGAGTGAGGCTCGTGAATTGAACATAAGAATTTCTTCCCTGCATCCAATGATTTGTAGGAAGCTCGGTTCCTCTGTCAGTTTCGAGGTAAACAATCACATTCCCTGCCAGAGGTGGCAGCCAAGTCACAACAATCGTGTCTGTGGACCTTTTTTCGACAACTTCTTCGAATCCATCAACTCGGAGAATGGGCGGAATTGTCTTCTCAATCGAAACTTCCCCATTTTCTCCAATCAATCCAGTAAGAGTCAATATGGACTCAGAGTAAGAATTCACGCCGCTAAAAACCACTTGAGTTGCAAATTTGGGAGCAGTTTCTTCTAGCGGCTCATTATTGTTCCAACTCAACTTGGCGACCCATTTTTCAATGGAGGGCATTCGTAACCAATTCACAATCAATTTATTTTCTTCCCGGTTTGTTGAGAGGCGCCTTTTCAGGGTTTCGAAGATTTTCATTGCCTTTTCGAGATTGATTGGTTCACTCGGTTGGTTTGATTTTGAGCCATTTTGATCCTTGGCGAAAACGGAGATTACATTCGGTCCTGATTTTCGGACAGGCATTGTGAACGTTTTGCTTCGAATATTGTGCGATCTTTCGTTGTATTCAACTACATAATCACTTGTCGACCCGGTCCAGCTTACTTGAACCATTGGGTCGTCGTTTTTATCGGCAAAGACCCGGTAGTTCACATCTGCGATTGACAAGGGCTTGGTGTGGAAAGTGAGTTCTCTTGGGGCAGAGCGCATTCCATTTTTTTCGACAAAAATTCTCAGTGTATATTGCGTAGATGGAGAAAGATCTTTCCACTGAAAACTAGTTGAACTCGGATAAAGTGGGATTTCCTCAGATGTTCTGTATGGCTTCTTTTGAAGAATGTAGCCCTCAGCGTTTTTTACTGGCTCCCAGGAGATCTCAGCTGCCATGGCGTAAATCTTTGAAGCTCGAATATTTCCAACTCGTGGGGGAGGGTCGATTTTTGTCGAAGCGGTAGAAACAGGAACGACTGAGTTTTCATTTTGAATGCTGAATCGGAAAGAAGCTGGTTCTTCTGCGCTGCCGAGGACCATCACCTGAGCTTCATAATCATGACCTGGATTGAGTTCATTGGCACGAATCGCGTAAAACTGAGTGTTTCGCGTTACCCAATCTGGCCAAGAGCGGCCAACTTCGCGCCATCGAAGACGATAAGCGACATTTTGATCGGATTGAAAATTTTCCTTGAACTTCCAAGTCAAATTGTATTGACTGTTTGCCGGGCTTTTACTTCGTGAAGTGAACATCAAAGGATTCGGAATGTTAACTCGGCTCACGACTTCGCCAGCGTCAAGTCGATTTGCTCCCCAAATTTCAACAGAACAGATGTATTCGCCTTCTAAGTCTTTGTCTGGTCTCGTGAGTTCAAGATATTGCTTGTTCTTGTTCCATTTTGGGGAGTATTTTTCGAAGTCGTTGTCGAAGGCGTATGAGTATTGACTCGTCGCTTCGTAGAGCTTTCTTCTTTGGTTTTTGTTTTTGATGAACCAGGTTATCAATGGATCCCCTCGCGAAGAGACGGTCCTGTCGTAATCGCAGTGAAGCTTGATCGTGTCGCCTAAAGTATCGACATTCGACGAACGGACATCCAAAGAGCGAATATTTCGTTTATTCACGCAATTTGGCTCTCTATTCTTGGGTGGAAAGCAATAAAATGAGATTTAGGTTAACTTGCCCGATTTAAATAGTAGTTTGCTCGCCCAAGTCCTGTCATGAAAAGAGAGACATTTACAGTAATGAACTTGGCCGTTATGAATTTCATCCCAAGTTTCACCGATAGGCTTGTAGCTGCCTGTATTCGTCTTGCAATAATTGTTGTCTGTGCAATGCCATTTTCCATTTCCTCCGCCGGTGCATTCACAATATTTTGGCCGAGAATCTCTGTTGTCGATCCAAGTTGATCCAGGCTCGTATTTTCTGATTTCGTTGCCAAATTGGTCTGAAAACATTATGAACAAAAATTTATTATGAAATGAAGGCTTACATTCGCAAATGTCTGGATACACGCACTTCCACTGAGTATCCGGGAAGCAAGTGCAAATCATTTCTTTATTTGTCGATTCTTGCATCGCCTTCCATTTTTCTCCCACTTTGTAGCTGTGCTTGTTGTGGACGCAGACTTGCTCGCAGAAACCGTATGATTTGTCCTTATCGTAATTGGAAGTGGTGGCGCACCATTTTTGATGGCTGCTCTCGGTTATGCCTTCTTCTGTGCATTCGTTGAACACTTTTCCATTGTAGAAAAAGGGAAAGTGGCAGAGAGCGGATTCTAAGAACGTGAAAGCTTCTTTTGTTTTCAAGACCTACCTGAGTTGCCATGAACAGTAACAATCGTAGCCGGGTCATTCTCAGTGTATTCTTCCTTCGTCTGAATACAGTAGCCCCAGTCGTTCTGAGACCTTCCAATCTGACAAAACTGCTTGCCTCCTCTAGGCGCGCAATTGAACCAAGCTTTTCCATTGTAAAAGAACGGAATGCGACACTCTTTGATTTCGTTGTCTTCGTTGAGTGCGTGAAACTTGCAGTCCGCTTGTTTTCCGTTGCATTTGCACAACTGAAAGGGAAATATTTTTGAGTCAGTCGAAAGAGAAAAGTTTCAATCAGGGAATTTCTTTTGTTCGGAAATGGCGACTGGAGTCATCAATTTGAATTATTTGACTGGCAAAACTCGTTGATGGAGATTAATTTGTCGACTTTTAGGCGTCTTTACGCTACATTCCGACGTTGACCGCATTTTTATTGGAAAAAGAAAAGAATTGAAGAATTGATCTTTATTTACCTGCATTCCTCCGAAATCCGGATTGTACTGTAACCAGGACTGTTCATTCGAATACTTTACTCCGTCTAAATCTTTAAAAATGGCTTGAGAAAACAAGCCATAAATCATTTTTACGGTTTGGCCGTATTAATATGTTCCGGATATGTATCGGATCTGTTCGAGCTATTTTTAGATCGTGTGAGCTATTTTCGTTTTCAGCCGCAGATGCGACACGATTTTAAAAAAATTATTCTCAAGACTGGCCTTGGCATCCTATTTGGCGATTGCGATACTGAGGAACATCGGGGGAATTGTCATCGGAGCATTCGTAGTGTCCATTTCCTTATTTAGGTGCACTAATGATTCTTTTACTGAAGACCAAATCGATTGACCAATAAAAATGAGGATTATGAAACTCGTTAACGAGACTAGTAACTATAGCACCAAACCCTTCGCAATGACAAACTTGCGATTTGCCATTACTGTTGGTCGATTTCCAAGACTCGCCTTTGTGGTAATTCGTCGATGTCTGCTTATCAAAGCATCTGTCGCCGGTACTGCAGCTTGTCGATACTTTTCTACCATTGGCGACGCAGATACAGTCGAATTCTTGCCCGTTTGGCTTGGTCAGCAACCACTCTTCACCGACCTTTCGCCACGTTCCCAAAGCTGAGTCTTTTTCGATGCAAGTTTCGTCCCGCAAAACGCACTGTATGCTCCCTCTTCCTTGACCTAGACATCGGCACATCTCGATTTGGCCACTTGGGGATCTTCGATCAAAGGTGTTTCCAGGCGCGACATATTCTTGAGTTCTAGTGTCGAAGCAAAAGCCTCTTTTTGCGCGACTGTCGTTTTGTGGCAATGTGTACTCGGATACCTTCAACGGGTTAAAAATAAGAAGAAGCATGAACTAGTTTTTGATGCAGTTAAATTTTGATTAACCCTAACTTTCGCTGGGCTTCAACATTTTGCACTAATAGGAGCGCATAAAGTCCAGTTTTCATTTGATCTCTTCTTTATCTGCAGAATTCCGAAATTCTCTGAGATTTTCTTTGTTGTCTTCAAGTTAGTCTCTTTTATTCTTTGAGTGATTTAGTAGTTGGAAAAATTCTGCTCCGGTCGGCTTCATAAAAGTACTCCTATCGTGGCGCTAGAGTTAGATAATTGGTTTTTCCCGATTCTGGTAGAAGGGTTTTCTTTTCGCGCGCTCACTCTGATTCGACCTAATTTGAATAAACAAATTCAAATTGGCCAAAGCCAAATTCTCGTCTAAAGGATAAAGTGGGATGATGACCCTGGCTTGGCGAGGAAATCCGGGATTGGAAATGTCAAAATCGTAAGGCTTCGTATTTTTGACAGACGAGAAAGAGACGAGCAGGAATGTGATGGATGGGTTAGGCGCCGACCAGTGGTCGCCATGATTGACGCAAATCTGATCAATTAGGCACCTTTAATAATCCATAAAACTCGAAATGATAATAACAGCACTTCCGGACAAGCAACACCTTCAAAGAACAACAACAAGCAAATTGTCCTCTAACAAATATATTTTTCAATTCATTCTAGGAGAATGACAACATTTTTCTTTTAAATTTTAGTCAAATTTGCTTATTCAGTGAAAAGATTACGACTTGAAGACAACAAGGACTCTTCAAGAACTCCTCGAAGAAAAGCCCACTCAAAATTTTTGAGTCAAAAACTATCATTAAATCTTCTTCTCTTGAGTAATCGTGTTTTCTTCCTAAAAAATAAAACATATCCCAAAATGTTCTCTTTGAAATTTGAGAAAAAAAAATCAAAAAAGTTACTTACCTTATTACCAATTACATAACAAAACTTTTCAACCGGAAGTCTTTGATTTATCATATAAATCCTTTTTAAAATGACAACGCTTTTTACCTCAGAAGAGGAATCAGTCCTGAAAGTGGAGCTTCAACCTGGCTTCATCGGGCCAAAAAGAGAAAGACGACACATTTCTGTCGGAACATTCTATGGAGAGACATTTTCAATCGGCCTTTTCGCCGCCCTCCCAAACATGTTTTTTACTCCACTGGATTTGGCAAAAGTGCGAATGCAATCTAATCCGTTCAAAAATACTTCGATCCGGCAAGCTTTGAAAAACGGGAAGATTTACAGAGGAGTCAGTGCTTACACTCTCCAGGCTTGCCTCACAGCCGCCACGCGGTTTACGTCGTTTACGTTCATCACTTACGAGTTACAAGAACGAGGATTCAAATATGAAACACCCCAGAAAGTAGCTTCAGCTGTAGCTGCTTCGATTTTGGGCATTTTTGTTGCATCGCCGATGGAACAGATAAAAGTGGTGCTTCAACGGCTAGGGTGGGCAAATTTTTTGAGCAGAAGATCGATGATCATTTTCGAAAGTTTTTTTTTCTATTATTATTTACTAAAAACTTTGGAAATCGTTTTTAATTCGTCCAGAACATCACTTCCAAATTCTTTAATTTGAGAATTTTGTCCACCCTAGTGTAAAGAAGTCCTAAACCGATAACACTTGGAAAAGCAGTAAGCCATATTGTTGAAATGAGAGGCTACAGTGGCTTCTGGAGAGCCTTGAAACCGAGACTTATCAGAAACATTATGTTTGATTCGATCAACATGGTCCTTTTTGCTCAAACAAAAGAATATCTCGACAAGAAAAGGTAGAAAAAATAAGTGAAGATTTAATTAAACATATTCAGACCGAAAGATGAGCATGAAGGTTTTCTGGATAAGTTCATGAGACTTTTGGTGATTGGAACTTTTTGCGGCACGATTTCTTGCATGATTTCTTATCCATTCGATTCAATGGCGCTTGTTATGAACCAAAGGCCCACTCTCAGGTACCAAGAGTTTTCTTCTTTGCCTTATCGCTTTTAGTTTCGTGAACTCCTTTCGAATCTGTCGGCAAAAAGGCTTTTACAACGGAATATCCGCGCGCTGCTCCTACATAGGAATTCAACTTGCGCTTTCGTGGATTATTTTCGACGCTTTGAAAACTGCCCTCGACCATGACCTGGCTATTGTTCAGTCTTTTTCTAATAAATTTTCTATATAAAACTTTCCTTCTAGGTTTGTTTGACTCTATAATTTTGATAAGAAGACGTCATTTTGAGTGTTAGTTAGTTTTTGTATATTTTATTTCTCGTCAAAAGATTAAAAGTGCACAGAAAAGATTTTAGCAGCAGCAGCATTTTCGTGAATCGTTATTTTGAAGCTAGTTTTCCTCGTCGAAGGCTTCGCTTTTGAGATTGAGCAAAGTGACAACGAAGTCTTCCTCATCTGATGCATCGTCTTCTTCTTCTTCTGAGAGTTGGATATTTTCGACAGCTGCGTTCGCCTTGATATTGTCGATTATCTCGGTCTCGGATTTGTAGAGCCGCATCTTTTCTTCGAGTTTTTGTTGAAGCTCCGTGATTCTTTCTTGAAGATCCATGATGTCCGCCGAATGCTCGCGCCTTGCCTCATTGTGCTCCTTGAGTAATCGCATGTAGCGTGATCGCTTCTCCGCAATCTTGTCTTGTCCTGCTGCGTTTTGGGAAAACATCGGACGAGAGCCTTCATCGACACTTGGAACCGAGAAGCTTTCTTGTGTTTGGGGAGCTCGTTCTTTCGTAATCGTTGCTTCTTTCACTTGATTGTGTTTTGTTTGGCCACGTTTGCGGGTAGAGACGGTCTTTTCTCCTGGTAAGGCTTTTTTCGCTTTCCTAAAAATCAAATTAGTATAAATTCTTCATCTTTGTGTACAATCATTATCATTTCTTTACTTACTTGTAATGATATCTTCGCATGTTAAACCATTTACTGAGATAATGGATCGGGACATCAAGTTCGGAAGCAAGTTCTTCCCTTTCTTGTCTTGTTGGGTACGGTTGCTTCTCAAATGCTTGTCTCATGAGTTCTTTTGTATTTTCGCTGGCGATATAAGATCCTTTCCTCATGACGTTCTTTTTCTGCGTCTATTTTTGTCTTAATGGATTGATGTTTAGATTTGACTTGTAGATTTAATTCACTCCCTTCATATATACCCACTGTGCTCGAATAGAGGGCGCTGTCATACAGTGTAGTGGTGATACCAATTAGAGGATCATTAACTATCTAATCCACGCATTCCCTCTCCCAACTCCCGCTGTGCCACCAACCATCTTACCGACTGTATCTCCCGGCTCATCCCTTTGCACAAGTTCACAGCCTATATAAACTGACCTCCAGTCCGAATAAACTATCAGTCTTCTCTACTTTCGAGAGTTCTCTTTCCTCAATTAGTTCCCACTATATTTTGGTGACTGAACTCTTCGAAACCTACAAGCTCCCGAACCGCTCGACATTTCTCTACACGAGATTTTTAATCAAGAGATACATCATCAAATATTCTAGAGATCAAAGAGATATCAGGAAAGGGGAATTTACATTTAGAAACTAATTTCTGTCGCCTATTCTGACTGATCATAGGCACAGATTTATCATTATGAAACCTAAAAGCATATTAAAGAAAACGAAAATAACGGAAGATAATTTTCCAAAATCGATCCTACTAGGATTAGGCACGGGGGTTAGGACCGAGATTCTCGCGCGCCTTGTTAGACAATATGGAAGTTTATTTAAATATGAATCGACTACTACTAAAGAAGAAATGGTCACTTTTTTGAAAACAAAAGGCTCGTCTTTTTCGGCGCTCGTCTGTGACCTTGAGGATGAGAAGGACGATCAACTGTATGTTTTTGTCATCCCTATCGCTATGAACGGAAGCGAATCGAATCAACCGATTCCGGCTTATAAAACATTCATTACAAATCTGAAACGGAGAACAGATGAATACCTTTCTAAATATTCAAATAGACTTTCTGTTGAAACCCTTAAAAGTAGCGCTTTCATTAAAAACAAGGACGCGAACGTCAAGGAACTTATTAAAGGGTTAATTGAGACGCCCGCTACTTTTGAACATTGTTGCGTTCATCAAGTCCCACTGGCTGATGCAGCGCTTTCTAGTGAATCTGCCGACGATACGGATAGTGAACCTTTCGATAGACCCCGCTCATGCCCAACGTCATCTTCTGATGACCCTCTTCGTAAGATGGCTTCAGCATTCGAAAGAATGACTATAAGTAATTATGACAAAGCAGCAAATACTTTCGGAAAAAATATTGATTTACCGAAGTTCAATTACACCGACAGTAGTGACGTTTGGGTTAATAAGGCTACCACGTTACTTAGATTAGGCGGCACTCGATCTGAAAGAGTCATGGTCTCGTATTTGACTTCTAAGTTACCCGAGGATATCCAAGATCTGGTCATACAAGAACTAAATTCACAAACTATCATTACGATAGGAGTCTTCGCTGACATTTTACGTAAATGTACTAAGGTCGATGATGGGGTTATGGCCAGGACGCTTCAGGAACTTATTTTCGATCCGGCTAAATTTTCCAATTTCCGCTTATTTTACTATCGAATCCGCTCGCTTGTCACAAATTCATACTCTGGAATGGATGAGGATAATATTAATCGGATCGCAATTAAGGAATTCCGTTTGAAGGTCCCAAAGGTAGTAGCTAACGATCCGGTTTTTAATACTACTTACAATGAATCCCCACTGGATATCGTAGAATTGGCCCAGAACATTTATGACCGTAGTAAAAAGGGACGGACAGAAACCCTCGATCATATCCCTAATCCCAAAACGGCCCCAAGAGGTAAATATGGTGCTTCACGTGAAACCAGATCTTGCCATTTTTGTAAGAAACAAGGTCATCTTATCAAGGATTGCCGGACATTAAAATACAAAATGAGCAATTCCCAGGGAAAGGCCCAACGCTCTGAAAAATCGGATTCACCAAAGAAAATCATTTGTAAGCGGTGCGGCAAACCTGGCCACAAGTCGCCCGAGTGCAGGGCCCCCTTCCCAATGAGCAAGTAAATTGATGGCACTTCCGGAGCTTAGTTTTGATCTTATACAATATTCACCTAAATACCTATCTCTACCTGTACAAAACTGTCTCTTAGACAGCGGAGCAACTCAAAATTATATTTCGAGGAAAATTTTACCAGATGAGATAAATCTAGATCGACTTACGAATCCTAAGCAACTTACGAACGCGTTTCACGATGATCTTTCGATAATAAAATATACTGTCACTCTTAACATAAAGCTAGATTCTAACCTTGAGATTCCAAATATTACTTTCCATGTGCTGGATAATATAATTTCTTACGAAGCAATCTTAGGATATTCATTCATAAAGTACCACCATGTAGACTTTAAGACACCCGCCATTCTAAACACTATTTTTGAAAAGAAGGATATTGAAAATAACTTTACATTTAATGAATATATTGAAGGTAACTACTCAGATGAGGTAACTTTCCGACTGGTTCATAATTTATGTTTACCACCTCTGTCGGAAGAATGGGTGAAGGTGAAGCCCTCTAAAAAGTTAGATAAAACGCATCGATATAAGATAATGGCCACAGAAGAATTAGAGAAAATGCAAGTTAATATAATGAACAATTTTGTGACAGCTAATAACCTTTGTTTACGGCTAAAGAATTACGGGCCCGATTTTGTCACGTTTTTATCGGGTGATAATATCGCTATCAAAGCGCTAGATATAGATATTATTACGAGTTTCGAACACCTTAATTTCTTACTTGCTTCAAGCAAACTTCCGGAGTTCGAGCGCCACATCCATGAAAAAGAACTAAAAGAATGGAAGTCTCAGAGAGATGACCTCGTTGCAAAAACTTCAATTGACGGCGAACTCCGAAGGGTTCTTGAAGGTGTCCCTCTTGATTTTGTTGACGAACTCAGAACAAATTTAACAAAAGTTAGTTGGAATTTCTCTCGACACCTTGATGATGCTGGAATGAACAGTCACTACGTGGCTGAGTTGATATTAAATGATTCTGATCCGCCAACATTTTCGCCCGCTTATAAACCTGATAATACGATTCTTTGCCAAGTGGAAGAAAGAATGAAAAATTTAACAAAAAATCATATACTCGAGAAAACATGCTCTCCCTGGAATTCGCCCGCTTTATGGGTTAAAAAGAAAGACTCATCATTAAGACTCGTGAACAACTACAGCTCCGGTGGTAATAAAAGCCTCAATTCACGTTTACTTGTTCCAAAATACCCTTGTCTGCCCATACGCTCCGTACTCAGTTTAATTAGTTCTAATATTTCAAAAATCCACAATCTCTACCCAAATCGCCCAATTCGGTTTTCGAATTTGGATCTCAAAAACGGATATTTCTCAGTCGGGTTGAGGGAAAGTGACAGAGACTACACCTCGTTTTTATTTTCACATGCCCAGTACCGTTATAAACGCCTCGCTCAGGGGTTATCATCAGCGCCCTCTGTTTTTTCGTATTTTATGTCTCTTGTCACCTCAGACATTGAAGGTAACGGTGATAAATTTTTCGTTCTAACATATTTAGATGATATAATCATCCTTTCCGCTGATATACACCATAATTTAGCAATAAAAAGAGTCTTAGAAAGACTTGTTCTTCATAATTTGGTCCTGTCGCTAAAAAAGTGCGAATTTTTCAAAGAGTCGGTCCTCTTCCTAGGTTTTCACATAACAGATAAAAATATTCTTCCCGATAAAAATAAGATACAAGGCATTCTCGATATTTCTTACCCTACTACACTTAAAGCTGCCCAAAAAACTCTAGGATTGTTCAATTTTTATTCTCGCCAAATTCGTAACATGTCTTCTGACCTAAGTCCCTTAAGCAAAGCGATTGGTCTCGGTAAGGACTACGTTCTTACGAATGAAATAAAATTAGCTATCGACAAAACCAAAGAAAATATTAAAAAAGGCACTTCTACTGCTCATCTAGAATACCCAGATAATGATTCTACCCGAGTGCTCTTTGTCGCTTGCGACACAAGTCTCAAAGCCACCGGTGCTATAATTGGAAATTGCGATCTAATAAACGACAGTATTTCGAACGTCTCTGTCGCAGCTTACTCAAGTAAACGCCTTACTGAGCAAGAAAGTTTTTTGAGCTCGCGAGGCAGGGAGCTCGTGGGCTTGTCCACAGCTCTTCAGAATTTTAAAGACCTCCTTCCGAAAGACAGGCGTTTCGTCTGTTTTTGCGACCATAAATCTCTCGCCCAAATTTTTAATTCGGTTAATATGAAAGGTTCTGGATCTACACGTGTTCGACTTGCCTATTCAAGGGTTCTTGAGTACCCACTTATGGAAGTTCGCTTCCTTCGTTCAGATCATAATTTAATAGAAATAGCCGACACTTTATCTCGCCTCGATACTGTTGATTCAGAACCTCTTGATGTAACAATATTTCACCCACGTAATTACAAATCAGCTAATGAAGAGTCACTTAACAACGTAAAACTTCAATTCGCTAAACCGAAAATTGACATTTCCGTCATTGTTGACGAGCAAAAAGCTGACGCTGAGTACAGTAAAATTAGAGATTCTCTAGAATCCGTTAATCCTAGTGCTAAAAATTCGGCGAAATACAGGTTATCGAATGATATTTTGTACCGAGCCGTTGGTAATTCCAAGAGATGGTTAATTGTTGTTCCACAAAAGTGCTCGCGTCAGCTCGTTGAGTACTTTCATATCGTAACAGGCCACAGTGGCCGTGACTCCCTTAGTCTGAGGCTGAAGAAAGAACCACTTTTTATCCACAATAGAACAGGCCTAATTGCAGATGTCATAAAAGGTTGTCTTTTATGCCACTTGCATCTACCCGAAAGGTTTTCAAAAAATGTTGAGGAGAGTCGAAAAATTGTTCCCGCTCTAACACCATATTCTAAGATCTTCTTCGACTGTTTTGATGTTGTCCGCGAAGGCCGTACAGCCGTTTTTCTTTCATTCTTATGCGGATTTAGCAACAGAATTTCAGTCCGAAGAATACGTTCCAAAGCTAGCAAAGATATAGTCCCTGTAATGATGTGTCTACTCGT